ATTATTATTTCAATTTACTCTAGGAATGATCGATATTCATCGATGTTGAATAAACATCGATGTTTTAAATTGGATAACATCGGCATATCGATGTTTTCGTGCCAAACCTCGATGTTTATGAATAAAATGTCAAGATACCCATTAGGCCATCTAACGTGCTCTAGATGATCTCGTATATCAAGTTCAACTATTTTATACTAGATGTCACCGGTTGCACTCGTAACTGGAGTACGCAAACAAATAGTTATTTCTTTGCTTGTATTTTCCTAGGAAATTAGAAATAAATCTGTCAACTTCAGCGCTCGTTGGTATCTTATAAGTTACTTTATTCACCGGTCTTAGTTTAAAAGATCCGTACATTAGATAGTTCCACGTGCGAATGCGGAATCGAAAAAGGTACCACTGATCCCGTCCTCTTCAACTGTCTGAAACAACCTACTTCATATGAGCAACTTCCATCTAAAACCCCCCGTCCAATTAACCTTAATACTATCTTGTCTATTTCTAACATACCTAACTTTTTGCGTCTTGTAAGCATATTAAAAAATATAACAATACACTTATAATCTACTTGGCACTATCATATATTTATTGCGATATTTTTTATTTAATTTATTAGTACAATTTGTGACGTTTGCTTTGTGTTGTACTTTTAGAACAAGGGAGGAAGAAAACTATTAAAAACCGTTTCTCACTATCCCGTGTAAAACGGAAAAAGGTCACTTATGTATTTAAAAAAAAAGTTACTTTATGCTCGTTGGGCTAGTTCTCTCTCCGTGAAACTCCCGCGTGATTTTTTATGACACTTGACATTTCATTACTTTTATGTTAAGGGGTAGAATCCACCTATCCCACATTAAAAAAGATTGCATTAAAATATTTACTTTCAAGGCTTCAGAGAGGCTTTTTTCTAAAGCTGGTCAATTCCTTTAACAGCAACACGATCGATGTTTGGGGAACATCGATGGTTTTCATCGAATGTTGACTTCGATGTCAATATCGATGTTTTTTCAATATCGATCATCCCTAATTTACTCTAAAGACAGTTGTTACCATAGACATAAAAGAAGAGGACCGGCCATACCTACAAAAAAAGCGTATATGCCTAAACTTCAAATGCAAATTCTTCGATGGCGGATTGTCATAGGGCGTAACCCAAGATATCGATATTTGTATCGACATTGAAGTCATATTAAATATACGTTAGTATTTCGTGAAACTGCTGCAATACTACTACTTATTAAATAATATAATATAATTTTCATTGTTAGGGGCATGGCTAAACTATTACCTATTACACTTCTATTCATTTCACACTTACGTACCAATCCTATTTATGATTATTATTAATTAAATTGAAAAATTCACGCCAGTATCAAGAAAATAATATTTTTTTAAAAGTGGCGTGAATTTATCAATTATTTATAAATCATTAAGCAATCTTTTGCTCGTATTTTGTTGGACATCTAAAATTTCTTGCGTTCTTTGTTCTTGCGACTCCGTTGCGTCACTATAGTAAATATAACATATGTTACCAGCGTATGATGGCGCTTCCCACGGGTAAAAGATTATTCGTATTCCAAATTTCATCAAAATCCGTTCAGTAGTTTTTACATGAGAGTAACCAACATCCATCCTCACAAACTTTCACATTTATATTATTTAATAATATGATTGTACCTCGATAAATATGTTTCTTTTTCCTCTAATATAGCCAAATTTTACATAGTTTTAAGAACTATAATACCAAAATATATATCTTAAAAGTTTTACAATAATATCAATCGTGTTTTATAATTATTTCCATATATATTGTCATGTTGACATTTTGCAATTATAATTAAATAGTTTTTTTAACATAAGTTTAATTTTGCATCCACGGGAAGTGTGACTACTGTCCATGATAACTACCACGGTAACTATAATAAGCTTTTAATGAGTCGATTGACGAATGAATTATTATGCTTTTTTTTGTCTGTTATATATTTTTTATTGTTTTGGTGGAAAGTGACATTTTGGTCCAATGAAGTCATTTTTTATTTTTCAGTATGAAATTAAACAGGGTGCAAAAGCAGCCCTTGCAGTTTCTTACCGGTTCCTTTCTTACAGTTTCTTCATTTCTCGGTACAAGGTTTCCCGTAATAGATTGCTGAACTATAAGCACAGAGTTTCGACTTTCTTATATGCTTGTAACTAGTAAGCCAACTTGTCTATAAATTTATTCAATAAATTGTTTTGACTGAATAAATTTCGCTTCCTCCTCATTAAGTGAGATACCGTGCGTACTGTGTCACAATTTTAGTTCAAAACATCTTGTTTAGTAGTAAACATAGAAAACTTGAAACACCTACAAAATCTTTGTATTATATTATTGGTAAAAGAACATAAAAATACTGTAAAGTTTGATGAATAAACAAGAGAAAATAAAGAAAACAAAGTTGGTGATGAATAAGTAACAATTGGCATAACAGTAACATTATTAAAGAAGTAACAATTGGCATTTTATTAAAAAATTTGGTTAGCAAGAAGAAAACAGCCGATTAATCAATAGGCAAGCATACAAATATTTTCTCAGCACTAAAACAGTCTGCAGTTCATGTTCTGTGAACAATCAAGATAACGGTCAGCAATTTAAATTCAAAGAGGTAGCGTATTTTATGATGCATCAGCAAAATAAACATCCACGCCGCAAAATAATTATTTGGGTATTAAGATTATACTATTGAACAGCAAAGCAAACCTTTAACTATGCCTTTAATTTGATAAGTGTGCATATTTTAATTTTTATTAAAATTATTTAACTCATTTTATTGTATATTTTACTGGGAGTATATTATGATTAGAATTTTATATTTTAATATTATTATATATTGCATTCTGATTTTTTTCAATTAAAATAGTCATCATATGACCGCAAGACTAAAAATAAGGTACATTTATAGAATAACAAAATGACTATATAAAAAACTAAATATAATTTTTTTTTTAAATATGTTAAAAGCAATTGTCAAAAATTCTTACCAGAGTATTTGATTGGCAATGCATCATCTCGTAATTTTATTATATTTAAAGTTCGATTCAAACAACTTTCCCTAAAATGAAGTGAGCAGATAAAAGTAACTTTTTCATTACATTTAATATTTTCTGCTTCTATGTAACTCGGCCATTTTCCTCTTTTGTTTCATCTTTTGGTAATCTAAAATAATTAATATATTTTTAAATATTAAAATTATCGATATAAACCATATGTTAAAGTAACGACACTAGCCATGTAAACAATATTATTTACGGACCGAAATATTATAAAAATATAAACGAAAAGAGCAATATAGCATAAATAGAACACGCCAAAATACGATATGTATCGATTTATACACGCAATCATTTTCAGAATAACTTACTTACGTTTTAAATACTGTTATTCCAAGAAAGTGTTTGACTTACCGGTGAAACGTAATATTGCTCGGTTTGCGGGATATTGATGACGCACAACCAATTATACAGCACCTAGGCATTGTTTTGCATAAATAATTTACAATTTTCTGCCATGAAAGTTATATAAATTAAAGTTATAAATGAAAATAACCACAAAACTTATAACACTGACAGCTGAACTACTTCCGAGAATACGCAAAGCAAATTTGCAAATGGCTGACAGGTGGTACGATAGCTTTATCTCATGACGTCACGTAAAAAATTTTGAACTGTCACACTAGTGTTATCTTTGTTTATTAAAGAAACTTCTTATTAGTTAAAAAAAGACAACATGATGTTTTTGATGTTAACTTCAGATTGCATGATATTTATATAACCATAGAAAATATTTCCACTCTACCTTACTCTATGGTTGTTACTTATGGATTTGACATATTTACTGGCCCTGTGACGTCACGATCAGCGCCATTACATAGAGCAGCGTTTTTCGCGCGCTTTTGGCTATTTAAATTTTCACAATTATTTTCACCAAAAATAGAAAAGATTCCAATGAAATATTATGATAGTGTAGCAAAGAACGATTTAAAAATAGTTTTCAGAAAAGTGTCAAATACCCTATTGGGTAGTCTAATTGCAGTTAGAGAGTTAGGGTCCCCATATCGGGTGAACGTGGGCGCCCGATCGCCCGATGAGAGTTAGGGCCGATTTATCGGGTAATGTGATCGCTGTTAGGGTGTTAGAGCGCTCAGTCGGTTGTTGCGCAGCGTGCGTGTGAGACGTCAGTGACCGACAACGAAATTTGCGAACAGACAAAAATGTCTTCTCAAAAGGAAAAGAAATAAAATTAAGTGTAATTTAATATTATTACTTTTTCTTATATATATATATCTATATGATATAATGTTTTAAACATTTCTAGATAGCCTTTGCATGTGTCTGGTACAATTATAAATTTTATATAAATTACAATAATAAAAACTAATGCTATAATAAACTTTATATTATTGTTGTGTCCGATAGGATCCATAGTGAGACTAACTTAATTATGTAATATTATTTTAAATTACCTATGGAAACAATAAACTTATTGAGTATTAATACTTTAAGTCATGATATGCATTTCCCGTTGCTAAAAATTTTAATGTTACAGCACAGCTAATCGCTGTTTTGCTATATAAGGTATGACTAAGTTTAATATATGATCAAATTGTGCAGAACTCATTCTGTAGTAGTTCAAACTGCATAGTTGGTCATTTAGAAGCAAATATTTTTCACCCAACATTTTGTTTTATTATTTACGCCCGCAGTTAAAGTATGGGCTATGCCAATTTTTTGGTACTTTGTGAGCAGAGGAGCCATCCTTTCAACGCCACGTTTGCATGCCAACTGAGTTAGGGAGGCGATCTAGTGCAGTGTAATCACAACGACACCAACCGCCCTAAATCGCGGCCGATATATCGTGCCCGATAGATTGGGTAGTGTAATAGGCGCCTAACTAAGAGCATAGGGTTTTACTACCAAAGACTACAGTGTATAATATTTACTACCTACGAGTTTTCGCAAGTCAGTGCACTCGGCAGAGTATGTACCTACGTACTATGCACAGCGTCACAGCTGTGCGCAACCATCGTGCGTTATGATTTTAAGATTTTATTTAAAGAATAACTATTGTTTATTTATATTATGTTTCTTTGGAAAAATATTTTATAATAACATTTTAAAGCGGTTTTCATAAAAAAATGGATTTTTTGTTTTCACTTTGACATCCAATATCTCCGTGAACTATGGTTTCCCAGGATTATTCTAGAACAAAAGTTGTCAGTATTGATGACCCCAACATGTACCTTTCGGCTTCGTTATGACTTTTGTTCAACCCGTTATTAAAAATATCAAGACGTCTTCATCCTTTTTTTAAATTGATTCCAATGTTGATCGATCGCCATTGCGTTCGAGAATAAGCATATTGAATTGCTAAAAAATAAATTATTTATCGTGTAAGATTTTATAAAACCTGAAATAACGAAGGATTACTATCATTCATATCATTGATAAAATCTAAAAGCACGTAACGGCATCTAGTTTGATTACGAGAATTATTATTTTAAATACTTTTTCATTCGATTTTGTGCGATTGATCTTATAATCGATGGTTTTTGACTTCTCTATAAATGTATGTTTTTTGACGCTTTTGACCAAAGAGTAGTACCTATTATCTTTTGAGTGTGCATTTGTGATTGATAATTTTGTATGAATAAATTTGAATTAATTATTTCAGAATTTGATTTCTATAGTTTTAGGGTGAACAAAAGACTTAAACTATTACTATATTTAAGTATACATAATATTAGTAAGAAAAGAAAATAACATGAATATTTCAATAGAAAGAAAAAAAATGGATTGTTCAGCATTGCCAAAGGGTTGGCAAAGAGAAGAAGTTATACGGAAAACAGGTCTTTCTGCTGGCAAAGTCGATGTATTTTACTATAGGTAAATATTTTATGCTTTAATTTTTGAAACCATTTGTAAATATCACATTTTCTTCTGCAGTAAAAAGGCAATTTTCTTACCTTTTATGCATTCTCAGTCTCATTGAATGAACCAATCAGAAATATTTAAATTCATAATTTTATTCACTATATACGTATAAAAACTTATGTTATAAATACTGTTAGTTGTCAGTGGATTGGGTTTATTTTATAACTCATAATTAGTTCAGGTTCTTTCTGTGTGTTTAGTGTTAAATCGGATAACTGGCAGTGGTGTCAGTAGTCATATTGCATTTTCTATAGCCCAACAGGTAAAAAATTCACCAGTAAACCGGAGCTAGTTCGTTATCTTGGTGATAGTATGGACCTGTCGTGTTTCGACTTTCAACAGGGTCAAATAAACACTGTGTTGCTGTGCAAGGCCAAGAAAGCTCGAGCGCAGTTTGATTACAGGTTCCCAATAGTGTCATTACTTCTCTCACTGTGTTGTTGTCAATAGTGCAGTCTTGTGCTTTTGATCTTTTTTATGCTATTGAATAGAAGCTTTTAAGTGTGCCTTAGACTAGCTCCTTGGTGGCATTGATTTACTTGTGTGAGAAAGTGTTATTTGGTGTTCATATGTATTTATATATAGAACTTGTAGAATAATCAAAGTTATATTAGAATAGCACAGCTTCTGTCACTATCACTATGTCAGTATTTAGTTCTGTTTGCTTATCCACCAGAACACATATGTGAGCTCAGGCTTTTCATTTAATAGTGTAAAACATTCTCATATTTACAGATTCACATTTCTTATTTTAATAAACATCATCACATAATAATAGTTTTACTAATACATGTTATTCAAAAAAAGATCTGTATCTGATTATTTTTTTAGTGTTTGTATCATAATCATTTCATTCATTAACCATGACGCTTGATCATTATTAAATTCCACACAGAGTTAAAATTTATTTTGTATCACAAATAGTCATACAAAATGAAGTGTATGTGGAAGCTTAAGCTAATTGTTAAACACCTGTTAATGATTTTATTTTATCTTTTAATTGCTTCTACTTTGTTCAAAAAAGATATACTATAAGGAAAAAGTAATAAGGTAGGTTAATGACTAAAAAAGTAGTAAAAAGATTATTCCTATATTTACACAGATGTTTATTATGTGCAAAAATATTCCTGTAAAATTCTTATCACCAGGCAAGAGATGTACTAGGTAATCTCCAGTAATGCCCATTCAATGATTAATTGGACTGTTTTAAAAGAATATCATAGTAATTTAAACAGAGTAACTATTAAGATCCTACTAATATAACAAATGCAAAAGCTTGTGAATATTTATCGAAGAGTAGTAATAGGGATGATGATAGGGTAAAAAAAATCTATTCAGTTAATCGGGATACATATTTTTTTTTTCAATTAAACAAGAAAAGGCTTAGTTAGTTGAGATTAAAGTTAAGGTGTTGGGGCTGTTGAATATGCAAACAATAAAATAATATGTGTTTAATATTCTTTGATAATCTACCTAACGAACAGACAAACAAAAATTTACCATCATTTCTATTGGACCAAAATCAAATATTGACAATATTAATATTTTTCTCATAAAAATATTTTCCATCTCTATATTGACTTTTGAATGTGCTGCTAATTACATCTTGAATTTTACACAAGCACATTAATTTAACATTTTAAATACTGAAATTAAGAAATGTATGGGTTAACTTGAATGTGCAAAGAAGCAACTATCTTCCTTACCACTCTTAGCCTGTTCTCTATTTCTGTCACATAAGTTATGTAGAGTGGCTAGCATGCTCCTCATGCTTTTTGGTCTGAAAGCTTTTTTGAAAGGCTAACTTTGTAAGCATTGATTTTGAGATGACAAGAGCCATAAGAAAATTATAAATCGCCCTGACAATTTATTTTTACCATGTATTAAATAAAATAGCTTTCTTCAATGTCTGTTAATGTTTTATTTTGTATCACTGCTTACATTATATGTATAATTTTAATAAATTATATAATCAAAGAGTTTATTGAATTACAATTTATTAAGTTGTAGCATGAAGATTGAATTTAGTTATTTATGCAGCATGATCAATGTCTGTGTTAAAATCTTATCACAAATTATGATTAGTGCTACATAATATTTAGAGATTTAATATTTCCATAATAACAACTTTACTAAAAGTTTGTAAATCATATCATATATTTTAGCTTAAAATACTTGAGTACAGCCATGAAAGATGTATTTTATTTTCCAAAAATTTTTATGATGAGATAGCATTGTAAAATTCGCAATAACAATAATATGATATGGAATAGAACTGACAAGGAGAGTGCCAAATGGCCAACCTTCATAGTTTTCATAAAACACTTAATATTTATAAGTCCTTTGTAATATTCCAAATTAACCTATTTATTCTAAATAGGGGTCTCCGATCTGATGCTTCATTGGTACCACCAATAAGACAAACAGCTTCGATTTTCAAACAACCTGTTACTGTTTATAAGACTCAGGACAGTAAAGTGAAGACAGATTTAAAACATGGCACACAAGAAAAACCAAAGCAGCTATTTTGGGAAAAACGATTGGAAGTAAGATAATGTATTATTTTTCATTTTATAATAGAGGATCGGACAACTTTCAAAAAACCGACCGAATATACAGTACAAACCACTAGTTATATAAGTAAAAGGTAACTTTAAAATTATATTTTTATTATATGATGTAACTACAAATTTACGGTTTTCGCAAATTTTTTCTTTATCTGTACAATAACAAGTACCCTGTAAGTTTTGATTCCCTTGCTACCTTGTTTCGAAAATTTGCGGCGTTAACGGATGTACAATGCCAACACAATCATAAAATACAAAGCATGACAGAATATCTTCATAAGAATGTTAGTAAAATTGATACTTTGACATTTTTAAGAAGTATGTATATATACAGGCCCGTCTTTACACATGGTGCAAGGGGGTGCATTGCACCCGGGCGCCGGGCGTTAGGAGACGCAGCGCCGATGATAGTCTAATCTTGTAGTACCTACTCATCGATGACTTCGGTCACAAATTTTTATATTTTCGCCGCCGCCGCACCACCAATTTTTGTTTTTTTGTTTCCTTTTTAATATAAATATGTCTAAAAAAAATTCAATCCTTTTTCCCTGTAATTGGGCGGAGTGTGTTTAAGACGGGCCTGTATAAATACGTAAAATAAGTCTAGGTGTTACATATACTATTATGTAAGTATATGATGTAAAATACACCAGGGGCGCGACCGCCAAACTCATGTACGTAGCCGTAGTCGTAGCTATAACCTACGCTTTAAAGATGTTTCACATGAATCTGTTGATATTGCTTTAAAATTAATCGTTTTTTATTATTTACATATTATTATAAAACAACCAAAAACATTGCTTTTGGTTGTTTTTGTATACCAACTGAATTATTAAAATTACAAAATGTCGAATTGATACAAACAAAATATATAAATAAATAAAGAACAATTAATATTATAAGCTCCTACATAAACAGATTCATGAGGAATATCTATAAACCGTTGGTTATAGTTACAACTACGTGCTGTTTTAAAATAAAATGTTATTTTATGTAAATAAGCCTTATTAATTATGTACTATCGGACTGGAAAAAATCGGACCGCCGGACCTGAAAATTCAGTGTAGTGCACAAGCGCCCTAAGTCACAATAACATAATTACATGTATGCAAAAAAAGTCGCAGGCAGAAACTAGTGTGCTATAATTGTGAAATTGTTTAATGTTGTGAATAAAAATAAATTCAGTAATAGGCAGATACTCGTTCATATCTCCTGCTTAAACAATGTGTATTTATAGTAAAATAGAATTTTGTACTTATTAATACGTATGAAGAATCACATAGTGCAGCTTCTACTAGTATTGTTGATATTTTGAAATTGATCTCGTAAGCTGTTGATTGAATACACTATGATAAAGTAGGCAGTCGACGTAGTAACTTTTGACATTTTGAAGTGTTTATTTTCATCTTTTCACTGTTCCTATCTATTTTCACCTGACGGCGTGTAAAATAGGCTTATATCTTTATTCATCATAATTCTCTTAATTGATCGATGCTTTTTGCATAATTAACTTAAGCAATAATTTTTAAGTTTCATGTGACGTGAAACAGACTACAAATATTGAAATTTTATATTTTCGTTTATTGTCTTAAAAATATAAATCATTGTTATTAATCAAAATTATAATTATAAATTAAAATTATAACTTTATTAATTTTTTAATCACACACAATTTTGTTTTTTATATAATTGTTGTCCGAACCCCTATTACTATTTATATATAGTATTGACATTCTTATTGGTATGTAAAATTTAGAGATAAGTTCTACTACCTTTGATAGCTTGTACTTTTCACAGTGTGCATGAATTGTTCAATGTAGAGCACCGACCCCTAAAGTTTATTTAAATGAGACAAATGCAATAAATCCTGCTAAAGATTTATTATGTCTTAGGGATTGTCAGCCTGTGATGCAAATGGTATGATAGGCACCACAACATTACCAAAGTACATCAAGCCATTGGGTCCTTACACTTCTGATGCCACCACTATACAATCTCTAGCTACTGCACTGCATGTGTCATCTCAGCCTATAACAGGTATTTACAAACTAATAATATAGATAAGTCAATCCCAAATACGCACGATCAGTTTATCGTCACGTTTGCAGCGCACTTAAAGCGGCGTCAGGTCAAACTTGGCGATGAATTTTAGACTAAGTATGTAGTATAGCAGCCATAAATGAATAACACGTTATATCTTAATATGTGGTCTATGTACTCTTGGGTTAATCAATAAATCTTGGGTTAAAATAAATCGAATGATTTAAATTGTCGTAACAAAAAGTAATTCCATCTCCCATTTCAGGACAAACCGGGGGCAAGCAAGCAATACTTGAAAACCCTGGTGTTTTTTTAAACCCTGAGCAGCCTCTAATCGCGGCAGTTACTATAACTAAGGATGATGTGCGACGCCAAGAAGAGCGTGTGAAACGTGCACGACTGCGTTTGCAAGAGGCTCTAGTTGCCGCGTAGGGACACGCGGGCGGGACTAACCCCGCCCTCGGTCCCGCAGCACCTAACTCCGCTCCCGCAGCACCTAACTCCGCTCCCGCCCCTGACCCCTCACCCGCGCCTGCCAACACCCCCACACCCACGCCTACATACACCCAATCACCCGTGCCTGCCTACACCCCCTCACCCGCGCCCGCATACACCCCTTCACCCGCGCCCGCCTACACCCCCTCACCCGCGCCCGCCTACACCCCCTCACCAGCACCTGCCTACACCCCTTCACCCGCGCCTGCCTACACTCCCTCACCTGCGCCTGCTTACACACCCTCACCCGCGCCTGCCTATACACCCTCACCCGCGCCTGCCTATACCCCCTCACCCGCGCCTGCCTTCACCCCCTCACCTGCACCTGCCTACACCCCTTCACCCGCGCCTGCCTACACCCTCTCACCCGCGACTAATTACACCCCTTCATCCGCGACTAATTACACTCCCTCACCTGCGCCTAACTACACCCCCTTACCTGCGCCTGCCTACACCCCCTCACCCGCGCCTGCCTATACCCCAACTCCCGCGCCTGTCTACACACCCTCGCCCGCGCCTGCCTACACCCCCTCACCCGCGCCTGCCTACACCCCCTCACCCGCGCCTGCCTACACCCCCTCACCCGCGCCTGCCCACATCCCGTCACCCGCGCCTGCCCACATCCCGTCACCCGCGCCTGCCCACATCCCGTCACCCGCGCCTGCCCACATCCCGTCACCCGCGCCTGCCCACATCCCGTCACCCGCGCCAGCCCACATCTCGTCACCCGCGCCAGCCCACATCCCGTCACCCGCGCCTGCTCACATTCCGTCACCGGCACCAGCTCACATTCCGTCACCGGCACCAGCTCACATCCCGTCACCCGCGAAAGCTCACATCCCATCACCCGCGCCAGCTCACATCCCGTCGCCTGCGCCTGCCCACACCCACTCACCTGCACCTGCCCATACCCCCTCACCTGCGCTTGCCCACATCCCGTCACACGCGCCTGCTCATATCCCGTCACTCGCGCCTGCCCACATCCCATCACCTGCGCCTGCCCACATCCCGTCATCCGCGCCTGCCCACACCCTTATCAATGTCCATGCCTCCACGCCTTCCCCGGTTCCCGCACCCGCTCATTCGACACCAGTGCTCTCGGCCTACCTTCCCGAACAAGATCTTCCAGACTCTACTACTGGTATGAACAGTCCAGAACCCATGTCACCTAAATTATCGGTTGATTCTGCTACCGAATGTAATGAATAAAAATTAATGTTCAATCTTTATGAATTCATATATTATTCGGGGACTTTATGCTGCCGATTTTTGTCTATTTTTATTTTAAGTACGATATTTATTTATGAAATTAAAAAAAATTGTCAACTGGCCCATTCCCAAGACTTTTGATTTGAATATAATTATGACATAGTGTCATCAGTATAACAGCATCATGTTGTTGTATTTAAATAGTAAATTCTTTATTAGCAACCCAAAAAACAAATAAGTATTTAAGTGATAAGTAAATCTATGGTGATAAATTAGTATTGTATGCTAACGTAAACCCGTACGAAAGCACTTACTTTATCAACGCATCTTCTAGGATCTTGTCGAATAGCTTGGACAGTTTGTTAATTAATTACTAGTTATATAGCTAGCTATTTGCTATGTTACAACGTTATATAGCAAATACATATTATTCAGAAACGTAACAGCATTTCTTGTGACGAATTTATAAATTGGCAGCTGAATAAGGAAAAAACAAAATTTTAAAATTCAAAAGGTTAGCGCTACCGTACACACAAGATCTTTATGCTTTAACTCAATATATTCCAAACTCGCAGTATCCAGCTCGGTACGTGTATGATGATCAATTGATAAATGTAGGTTATAGTACATATTGTTAAGTAGCTATGTGGTATAGCTACTTCAAACTGTTAATTAAAAATTTGCACGATTATCAGCCAGTTACTTAAATGCCCATACGACATAACCCACAGAAATTTGACATTCATTAGAGCTTTTGACGTCATTAAACCCTAATGGACGTTTGTACAACTTACCGATTACCGATACAAATTTATCATTCATTAGAGCTTAAAGGCGTTATTAAACCTTAATGGACATTTGTGCAACTTGCCGTAATTGTGTCGAAGTTCAAGTCAAAATTGTCAGTTTTCGCTAACTGATTTTAAAACCTATCTAATTAAATTTTGAGTACCCCGCACACTTATAAGTAATCCTATCATTTTATTGACACTGCTTCAATTATATTCATATTAATCGAAAAGGGTAAGAAGCTTTAAAAGTAAACCTGTGTGCCCAGTTCAAGAAGCAATCTTTTATGTATTTAATGGCACAGTTTCACCGCCGCGCCGTTCCGCTTGCTGCCGATTCCTTATATAGGTCCATAGTTATTCTTAAAAATCTTAAACGTTGTTATATAACTAACAAACATGAATGTATAGGCATAAGTCGATTTCGTAATAAAACATTTTGTACTGTCATATTGTGTTTATTCATTTGTAGAATGGAGAAAATGTGTAATAATTGAAAGCTTAATATTCAAAAACTTACTAGCAATATGTAGAATAAATATATGTACTTGGAATATAATAACAAGTTTCAATAATATAAATGCAAATCAATAAATTAATAGTCACGAATATTTTATTATAGTTGTTTTAGTAGATACGATTCGTCTCGTAGGGCTGGACCCGGCGGGCTACTCGCTGGATCATCATGGGTTCTTACCGTCGTCAATACGATTTGTCCTACTCCGTGGTCTTAGAAATAACTAGTCATGTTTACAACAAGGTATACAGAGTTGATAAAATTAGAGATTCTCGCCAGTTGCCGGTAGTGGTGCCTGTACCCAACAACCCACATCCACACATCCATTTCATATTTGATAATAAGGATAGATGTTAAACTCTTACTTTGCAAAGCATTATGTTTTTACCAAAACCGAATAACAAATACCACATAAGATATCATTATTATTATTTTTATTATATGAAACTTATTATATTTGATCAATTTTGCACTATGCTATACTGAAAAATATTCTTAATAAAAATGCTTAAATAATCCGCCCCGTCCCTGGATCCCAAAGTGCCAGGGACAGTGTGATATCTTGAAACTTGTGCGATTGTTCTATATATATATATGGACGGCGATTTGTGCCATTATAAGCGAAGCAAGCTATACGCATGGCAAAAACTATAAATTTCTTGAATACGTAATATGTTAGACAAGTATTTTTTGTAAGCGTACAATTTTATACCTACGGTTTAATAGAATAGTAGTTTATCAAATCAAATCATATATTGGCCATAGAACTCGGAAAGTTACATTTGGCAAGTCTTTAAATAAACATTTCAAATTAAATACAAACACAAAGGTCATGCAAGTCAAATCATTATAGGAATGTCAAAGAAATTAAGTATTTTAACAATATCAAGTTTGCTATTTTTACAATTTTTAATAATCTATTATATCAAATAGTCAATTAACTGATAACATTACAAATAGTATAGTAAGTTCCAACTCATATGGCGCATAAATCTTCATTTTCAGCAACGAATCTTGTATCAATAACCATAAGGTATAAAATATAACGCAATAGATGTCCCGTCTCTTCTCACTTGTACTCTAATAGTTAGGTGCGTTTAATGGGGATTCGCTGGGTTATGGGTAATTAGACCGGATCCTTTTAAGGGGTCGTAGGGAAGGTCATTTACGAGGGCGGGATGATAAATAGCTAGCCTAGCATAGAAAAACTTAAATTAGTGTGTTAAAAGTATATTTATTTTTCGACATAGTCTCCTTGAAGCGCTATGCACTTCATCCATAATGCCATCCCTGAAGTAGTTTTCTTCAAGCCCTTCGAAATAACTTTCCACGGCAGACATCACCTCGTTATTATTTTCAAATCTTTGTCCACCTAAAAATGTTTGAGCTTAGGGAATAGATGAAAGTCAGATGATGCCAGATCAGGAGAATAAGCTGGGTGTGGTAGCAAATCATAATTTAATTCTTTGAATTTCGCTATCGCAGTGATGCACGTGTGAACGCGCGCATTATCCTGATGAATGATTATTTTTTTTAGCCAGGCCGGGTCTTTTTTCACGAATACACACTTGTAATTTATCCAGTAGATCAGCATAATATTCACCATTTATGTTTTGTCCTTTTGGAAGGTAATTAATCATCAATATACCCTTCGAATCCCAAAATACTGACGCCATGACTTTCCCCGTTGATTTCACGGCTTTTGCTTTCTTTGGAGCCGGGGATCCTTTTTCCGTCCATTGTTTAGACTGAATTTTTGATTCAGGTATATAGTGGTGAACCCAAGTTTCGTCTGTAGTAATAAACCGTCGCAGAAAATCAGTTATATTATTCTTAAAGCGGTCCAAACATTCTTGTGAAATGTGCATACGAACGCGTTTTTGGTCAACGGTATGCAATCGCGGCACCCACCTTGCGGATAATTCTCGAGTCAAAATGTAATGCGCCCGTACTTAAGAGATGCCTACAATATCAGCTATCTCGGAAAGTTTCAATCTTCGGTCAGCTAAAACTGCATCATGAATTTTGGTCACAATTACTGGATTGGTGGCACTTTTTGGACGTCCTGGACGATGTTCATCTTGGGTGCAGGTACGGCCACGTTTAAATTCGGCCACCCAATTTTTTATGGTCGCATATGAAGGAGCATTTTCTTCCAAAACATCCTTCATCTCAGAAAAAAATCTCTCCACCTTTTAATCCTTTTAAATGCAAAAAAAATATCACAGCTCGTAGCTCAATTTTATCCATTTTACAGAAAAAACAAAATAATGCTTTTTGAAATGTCAATATTTAAAAGAAAAACTATACGATCGATTTGAAACTTGGAACACTAGCAGCTAATGAACCAATGAGTAAAATACTAAGGAGATTTTATATCGTTATTATACAAAATATGGGTTGCGCTAGCTATTTATCATCCCGCCTACGTACAATTATATTCACCTCACATTATGTATCCGAAAGTGAGCCTGTAGGAACTGTTAGGTTGAAGGACCGCGGTCCCCGGGCTAACAACACCTAACTCGTTAGTCTCCCTTGCCAGTTGTCTCCATTATCAGAGACCACACCTTCAACCTAATGTGCATGTTAGTGCGATGTATTAGATGTCACTATATATTAGCCGCCACAAGCCATTTTACTGATAAATTGCATTGTTTTTTTTTTTTCAAAAAAACTGGATTCATTTTCCAAAAAAACTATGGTCAGAATAATGTAAATAAAAGTTTGATTATAATTTTAATTGTTTTAGTTCCTTCAAAGGAATCACTAGCCTCATTATTAATTTTTGTTTCCTAACTTCTCGTCGTATTTTATGTGCAACTGAGTAACCAAATGCATTGTTTTTTACCTCGTTGGATAGCTAGAGATGTTTATAAAATAATAACATGCAGACTAAGGTAAAGGGCATTTTATTTTTTAAATGCATTTTTGTTTGCAAATTTACAACAACAAAAAACTTTTTTTTTAAGACTAGTTTTTGTTTGAGTCAAGATTATTTGGGTTTTATTATTATTTATCACGAACTGGAACGAACGTTTTGGAGTGATAACTCCAAAACTGTCAACAAAATTACATTCTGACATTTTTTTTTCGTCTTTTTAAAGATTAATCGGGTTTTTTGAAAAAAAAATACAATTTATCACAAAAATGGCTCACTTTCGGATATATCTACAATGTGGGATGAAAATAATTATTAATGACCTCCCCCTACGATCCCTTAATATGATCCGGTCTTATTACCCGTAGCCCTGTATGTAAGATAAAAAAATGTTTTCTTTTTTTTTACTATGATTTACAAAACGAACACGGACAATATCAAATTTTGTGCATTTTGTTCCTGAGTAATTAATTACTATGATTAATTAATTTGGATACAAATTGAAAATCCAAAAAAATACTTCTTTTTTACGTTTTTTTCTACGTTTAATTTTTTCATACATTATTACTTCATAGTGATGAATTCTCATACTAACTTTTTTTTTAATAAAAATTTTAGTCCTAGATAATAGGTCAGTAACAAACAATGATCTTTAAGAGTGTGGTATAATTTTTACGACTGATCATTCTCATTATCTCATTACGACTAGAATCACTTTTCGAGTTTGTTATATTTAAGACAAGACATCAATAATTACAGCAATTATGGAAGACTATTTAAATGTACCTAATCTAGATTACTAATATTTTTTATATATACAGGATGTTTGGTAATACATGTATAATCCCGAAACATGGCCATACAACCTAGCACAAAGAACACAATTAATATGTCAAAAAACAATTTCACGTAAATTGAGATCTTCATACAAATATTTGAACAATTTGTTTTCAATTAATATGCTACAACCCTGAAAGCTTATACGTGCCGTCCCGGCGTACTCGCTCTCTCTCTCTCATTACCTCTCACTCTCTCTCTCGTTTCCTAGAACAACAGCTGTTTTTAGGGTTGTCAGCGTACAGTTTTACTTCGAAAAAAAAGCTAAATATCTAGGTCATGTGCCGGGTTTCAGTCTTAGTGATCATTTTTCTGGGTTCTATTCATAATACCGTATGTGCCATATTCGGGATTATAGAGGTATTACCAAACACGCTGTATATCTTGATAAAAAATATTAGTATATATATATCTTGATTAAGGTAATCGAGTACTTATGCCCATCTCGGGTTGGAACTTATTTCAGTATTGGTTTATTCATAATTGTGCGGTCAAACAATTTTTGCAGCTAGCACATAATTAAAATGTAAAGAAATGTGCCAAAAATAATTTAGTTGCTATATAATAGAAAATCCTACCTAAAATTCTTACAGAGGTACTTAAATCATTTTATTATCACTTTATTATTGACGTTTGTATTACTATTATTATTTCTCCTAAACTACGTTATAAACAAAGAAAATTTTTGCGTGTTACTATCAGCTAATTTTGAAATGTTATCTTCTGACATGCAGACATTGGTATATTAGTTTTGTATTATTGTACTTTTTTATAAAAACTTCTATGTATACTACTAGAATGAGTTACGAACGCGTTGCCATCTCGTTAACTATAAGAAGTAAGCGAGACGGTAAAACAATCAACTAAACGATGTCTTATGTTGTCACATCATAACACATTTCCAGTAGCTTGTCTACTATTAAACATATAAAAGTCTCTCTTTTTATACAAAAAAAATTGCCAACAATGTTTTCACGTCATGGGAACCACAGACTGAATGTATCTTAATATTTCTTTTCAAGTTTCACTACAATCATGATAGAAATATTTTATATTGAGTGAAACACGGCGAGCCCTTGCCTAGGTAAAGTGGAAGGATAAATAAAGGCATGAATGAATCATTCAAAAGGCCTATATTTTCTACAGTATTATAAAATACTTTATGGTCTGCCAATCTTCATATTAATTGAAAATCAGTTTTTATTATTTATTTTTGAAGTATTCGCCAATTTTTAAAACTGAAAATATGCCTTAAACTATATTATTAATGTGACAGCCTTAAAATTTATAAGAGAAATGTATTTTTTTTTTATTATGATGCTGGTAAGAGGGTTCTTATGAACAAAATCTTATTTAAATTAGATAAATATTTCATAAGTAGAAGAAAAAGGAAAGTACATTATCAGTAGTGTAAATTCAATTTACAATAAAAAATACCACTTAGAACTGGTCCCTCATCCCTTAGAAACTTATTACAAACATCACATTAACAAAAATTAAGAGTAAAGCTATATCATCATTATTTATACTTAGTAAGCCAATATCTTTTATTGATGACTAGTTAAACAGCTCTTAACATTTAAGATAAATAGGCAAAATTTTTACCACCTACATAACTTTAAAATGGACTTATCTTGAAAGGCCCCATGCTTGTATATATGTCTATATCTAAGCAAAACTTATATTTTGAACACATTGCTAAGTGTTCCTATGAGATCATTACATATTCTTTGGTAATATTCTGAGAAATGGATTAGAAGCGATTTATTAGTAACAAGGGATATGTTTATTAAGATATGTAGCAGTAGAAAACAATAGCAAGTATACTTTAAGTCCATGGATAAAAGTTTGGGAATAAAATTATTCCCATTATAAAATATCCTAAGAAATAATACTGTATCAGTCTTGACTGAAAATCAGGCATTTTTCTGGAAATAATGAAAGTCTTCCATTTGCTGTACATATTATCAACTCCTTCTAAATTAGCTATAGATAAATGATGGGAAGGTATTCTTTTTCCAATTCCGATTCGACGAAAGTGCTCATTAATAGTATTTTGATCTGATATTGGAGTTGGGCCCATGTTCATTTTACTGGAACATATCCAATACAAGATTGGACTTGCTGAAGCCAGCAGCCTTGTCGATACTTGAATATGTACAAAAACTATACAGAAGATAGTTAAAAAAATCATATGAACTACATAAACAAACAAAATAGGATCATTGGCCCCAAACCCCCTAGAAATTTGCTTTGGCTTATAAGGTATTCTTTGACCATAACTAAATATATGAGATCTTATACCAAACCGGAAACATAACTTTATATTATTTTTTAGGTATGAAAAACAATTGCATGTTACTAAAAGAAGGATGGGCGAAGCTAACATGAAATTGGGAATTTGTTTTAATTGATAATATTTGAAAAATCCAACATCCCAGTAATTGCTCTGAATATATGAGTATGCAAATGGCAAAGAATAGTTGCACCAAGGACTCTCTGCACTCCCTGGCAAAACATATTCAGAATTAAAAAGAAATTCAGGTAAGTTGTGGTCATTATGTACACAATATTTAAAGTAGTTGTATACTTGCACTAACAAAAATGGTAACAAAGCAATTACTATACTTAGAAATAATGCAACACAAGTTGTCAACAAAGGTAACAACAAGAAAGGTAAGATTATTCTGCGTTTCAATGTTTTGTACTTGTATAGAATCTCAGGTATAGTTTTCTCTATCACATTTTTGAAACTAGTATACAATATGAATCCTAAGTTCACTGAGCCATTTGATCTAGTAATCATAGAGAAGCCAGCAGGCAAACTACTTGTTATATCAATATTAGCAAATCTTAATGTTTCATTTTCAGTACATTTTAACATGGTGTAAAATGACATCCACGCAAACAATGTCTCAGAATATGGAGCACTAAAAAATATGCTTGCCGGATTTACACAGTATAGTACTGTAGCCTTGTATGCTTTACATTCACTCCTTAAAACTCTTAAACTAAGTTTGTGTAATATATCAGCAGATTTAACAAACATAATTAAATTTAATATTGTTGCAGAAATTAATAATGAACTATGAAAATTCATCAATGATCCAAATAAACTACACAATCCATATGCAACATACCTCACTATTATGGGAAATAGTGGGAAAAATGCTAAACAATTTTCGTAAGTATATCCATATTGTGCAATATGTATAAAATACTGAGCATCCCACCTCTTCATTCCACCAAACAACTTATCTGTTATAGAATCCACATAGGTTTTTCGTAGTGTTGGATCTTCTGGACTGACGAAAACGTTGGCATTATGGTCTGGTATAAGGTTGTTTGATATTGCTTGAAAAATTATTATAGCAATTCTTGTGTTGAAGGCAAACCACAGGATTTTCTGACGAGGTGAATACATCTGAAATTTTAGTAAACTTATAAACTGAATAAATAATTTACAAGTAAACAGTTTATAGTAAGTATTATTTTACTTTAGATTTAAAACATCACTTGAATGATAACAGAATAAGTGCCACACAAATAGCCACTATTTAACACACACATGATAGAATTGACATGTTATTTTATAATCATTTTTCACGAGTAACCTTCTATAGCAATAAGTAAAGTAATAATGTGATGATTAAAACACAAAAATTAATTGATCCAACATTAACCTAAAATCAAGCAAAAATCTAAGGAATTTATCTGACAGACAGACAGACCATTTTTTTTAATTTTACCTTTTTTCAGGGTAGGCAAAGGACTTTCATCCATACAGCCACGTCATATTTTAATAGTCTCTCGATTTTCTTTTGGTGAAAGCTAACGCCTATTCTTCAGTTAAATATCTTTGAGGGTTGAGGAGATCGCCGTCTTTTATTCATTTCATTTTACATGTAAAAATTAATTAATTTACTTGACATTGGCAAAATTGTGCGAAATGCGCAGATAAGCCATTAATTAAAAAAGAAGAAGAAGAAGGAGGGTTGAGGACAGACAGACCATATTTTTGACATGATAGAGTTTCAATTTGATTTAAAATGAAGATATCTGAGATTATACAGCCTAGTCTATTGTAATATTTTTGTTTTCATTTAGCCCTTCTTACCATCTTCATATGGCCTGTTTCTAGGGTTGCCAAATAGCCGGGATTTCCAGGATTGTCCCGGAATTTTACGTGTTGTTCCGAGTCCATTATGTTTACTGTGCTGTCGAGGAATAATGTCAATAATTAAGCCTTAAATAGTTACTAACAAAATTTGAATTACATTTTTTCTGTCTGATTCCTTTCGTGGCACCAGAAATGTCCAGGAAATTATCAGCCTGGATCTAGTAGCCCTACCTGTTTCTGATTGATACAGTAAAAAATCTCAACTGATTATTTTCAAAAACTTAAGTTTTAACTTTTCACTAAGCAAAGAGTCCTAGTTTTATCAAACTGATAGTAAACACGAAAACCTGTTTAAGTGACATATAAGTACATATGAACAGTTTGAGAGGACCGTAGCTTTAAATTCTCAATTCAGCAACGGGGTGTTACATAAGGCTACCCAAATCTCCGAGTCGAGACGCGACCAAAACACAATTCTGCCACTTTTGGGACATACCTACTTAAAGTGGTTACACGGTTTACTTACACGATGGCTCTATCTTCAAAGACGGGGCAACTTTAGAATCTGTGATCTATGCCACCAGATTTCGTGCGTCTGGCTAAAATGAATAAAATCTCAGTAACGCGATGATTTATGCTCAGAATAATAGCTTTATTATTATTTTGTGGATTTATGTGAACAGACGCGAGCATTGTATGCTTTATTTTGATTGTCCATGTGTGGCTATGTAGCGTTAGTTGTAATGCGCCGGGTACCAGATTTATACGTCCCTTACCCAAGGAGAATAGCACCTACAGAACGAACTTAAATAGCATTCGACGTCTTTTGTGAGTTTTTGTGTTACTTAAAAAATGTCCAGAAACTCTACAGAAAAGTAGTGACCCGTTCGTGTCCACACGCTAGGGTCACGTTTTATCAAACACAACCTAAACAAAAAATGGACGATGCCCACCAATCAAATCAATGACTATGTATGAAATGCGCAGATAAGCCATTAATTAAAAAAGAAGACTATGTATGATTTATTAATATCAGGCATAGACTATGATCTAAGATATATAACAGGTTAATATTGAAACTTGTTACAGTATCGTTCCGGTTCAATAAAAATAACAGATTCAAAAACCTTCTAAAATAACACACCGTTGTATAGACTTAAGGTAAGGATCATAATATACGAAGTCCCTTTTAACACATGTCATCGAACCATAAATAACAAACAAGTTCGATATAGAATGAGGAAGTATTTAAAAAAAATAAAGAAACTATGGAAATGTATTTCACTAGATGGCAGCACAACTTATAGGATCCAAATGTGTTAGAGAAAAGAGATTTTGAAAACAACCTTCTTCTTGACAATAATATTATTTTTCTACTACTGTCAATTACTGTTTTTGCTTGAGGCCATGAATTAAAAAAGAAGAAGAAGTGTTTTTGCTTGTCTTGTTCTTTTGTCTTTTTTCACTGTCGTTCACAAGTCATTCATTAATATAAATATATTTTATAACTAAAATATATTTATTATTTGTTACAACCAATTTATTCTTCGACACTCCGAGCGCAACTATCGATGAGTGCCATCTAATAAAATGTCAATGGGGAAGTATTTAAAAAAACATTAGTTCCCGAAATCTAACTAGATGCCGCTACGGGGCATTCTTGATTTCTCCATGACATCCTTTCCGGTTTTCTTTCATGTTTAAAAGTAAATTAGTTTTCAAAACTCAATAAACAACTCATATTCTATTTGGCCTTTTTCGTATTTATATTGCTATCTAAGTTTCGAACTTTACAAATTTCTAAAAAAACGGAGAACGGAGAGACGGAGAAAAGTGCGAGTGAAAGAACTATTCCTCTTTCTCTCTCTTGCATCTAACGATCAAAACCATGTTCTAACCTCTCTATAGACACGACGATCTACGTCGACTCATGGTCAAAAGTCATTTCGACCTAATGGTCTCTAAAATTCAAGCGACGTCGGAATCCCCGGCGAGTGTCGGTATCCATGGAATGCGAAAGCATATTCATTAAGAGGACTTCTTCAAAGCGAATCCCGTTGCTAAAAATCTTTAGGTTACAGCTAAGAGTTGGTTAGCGCTTACACTAGTTCTAAACAGCGTATCTTGATTTTTTTTTATATACACCTTATATAAAAAAAAATCAAGATACGCTGTTTAATATAGTTTAATATATTATGATCAAATTGTGCAGATCTCATTCTGAAGTAGTTCAAACTGCATAGTTTGTCTCTTAGAAGCAAATATTTTTTCACCCAACATTTTCTTTATTTGTTTTATTATTTACGCCCGCAGTTAAAGTAAGAGCTTAGCCAATTTTTGGTACTTTGTGAGCGCAGGAGCCATCCCTTCAACGCCACGTTTGCATGCCAACTGAGTTAGGGAGGCGATCTAGTGCAGTGTAATCACAACGACGCAAACCGCCCTAAATCGAGGCCTATAAATCGTGCCCGATAGATTGAGTACTGAAATCGGCGCTTAAGCATTTTTGATTACTATATTTAACAGAAGTTCTAAACAACAATAAAAACTACGCAAGTTAGCTTTATTGCTCTTAGTTGTTAGTTGAACTCATAGCAACAAACTACATCAAGTCTTGTGGTATGTTTATAGATTATTATTCCTAAGCGAATGAGTTACTATGTTACTAATCTATGATATACTAGATGTAGTCATTGTTGTTTATAACAGCGTAAGGGCGCTTGTGCGTGCTTGTGCACTACATTGAATTTATAGGTCCGGCGGTCCGATATGTCAGGCTATATAAAGGTAATGCTAGCCTGTGCACTGTCAGGAATTTTACCGTTCGGGATTTTACTTTTCTCTATTCTGAACCGGTTTTTTCAGGTCCGTAATGGCGGCAATGAAAAACGTGCTTACGCTTGTGCACTGCTGTGTCCGCGATCCGGAAAATTCATAGGGAATAGGCTTGGGAAAAAATAATCGATTTGTGTAAAATCTATATTTATTTCGGCGATATCATTAATTTCCAATAAACTTATAATCGATATTTACTGTAGATTATAAAATGTTACCTATATTTTATATGATGATTTAATATAGTTGGTAAATATCACTGCATACGCTTTGGCAAACTCGATATAGTTCTAATTTGATCAGCGTATGGTTCTAGTATCGATACTTAGCTAGATTTCAGAATCGTATTATAAGTATCGATAACTTAAGGTAAGATAAATTCACAAAATTATAAAAATAATATTTTAATGTTCAGTGATGAAATTAGCAGAAACATGGGCCGCCTGCTATTCGATAAGGGCCATTAAAATTCTGTATGCCTAATTCCTCTTTTAGTGATATTTTGGAAAAAGCAATTAAACAAAACTACAGCGAAAAAACCACTTTATTGTTTTTTATTGGCAATAGAGGTACTTTGAACAAACATATTTTTTTTTTTTTTATGGAATAGGGGGCAGTTGAACAGGCGGATCACCTGATGGTGAGTGATTACCGCCGCCCATAGACACCTGCAACACCAGAGGAGCTACAAGTGCGCTGCCGGCCTTTGAGGGACGCATAAGCTCTACGCTTGAAAGTTTGAAGGTCGTATCGGTCCGGAAATACCGCTGGCGACAAACTGTTCCAAAGTTTGGCTGTGCGAGGCAGAAAACTTCTAGAAAAACGCACAGTTGAGGACTTCCAACCATCCACATGACGGACGTGGATTTCTTGTCGCGTGGAACGATGGCGGAAAGTAGCGGCAGGTATAAGTCCAAACAATTCCTCGGAGCATTCCCCGTAATAGATGCGATAGAAGATGCACAGTGAAGCAACATCTCTACGCAGGGCCAGTGGATCAAGCCGACTTGAAGTGTCCCGGCAATCGACGATTCGAGTCGCTCTCCGCTGAATGCGGTCTAGAGGGAGAAGCTGGTATTGGGGTGCACCTGCCCAAAGATGAGAACAGTATTCCATATGGGGCTGAACCTGCGTCTTGTAAAGCTGCAGGCGAAGCTGCAGGCGAGGCGAAAGGGGCTTTTTTGGCGGTGAACGCGCAAACCTGTGTCTTAGTAGGGTTGAAGTGGACCAAATTAAGTCGACCCCAGTTAGAGACTTCCTCTAACGAAGATTCAAAGAAAATTAATGAAATATAAATTATTTAAATATATTAACGAATTAAATTCATTAAGTGTTGGGAAAGTCATGATTTTTACGTTGCCGCATTGCAATAGTTTGTCCAGTGAAGAAAACAATTTGCGGTACAAACTGAATATGACATTGCACGCTATATGCAATACTGCAATGTTACATGTCATTGACACTAACAAGTATGTTAGAAAATTTTATTTGACTAAAGATAAATATTATCTTTCCAATTATTATAAGAGATAAATAGCTATTTCGCTATCATATTTTTTTTCTATAATAGCCAAAAATTTGGCTAAACAGATTGCTCCTATTGAGCACTCTTCTATTGACATGACTGTCAGTAATAATCCTACTGACATTGCGACAAATTAGTCTTTAAATTAGATATTAAGACAACACAGGATTCCTCTTGCTTGCTATTGAATAGTCAAAGTAATAATGGAACCAAGAGTTTATCAGTCATCATTTCATTAGTCACTGGAGTTGAATTAAACCATTAGTCTCAAATGGTTTATATCTTTTCATATTATGATATATGTGCATAGTACAATGTGCAAATAAGTTGTCATCCCAATAAGTTGTTGACCCACAATCAATCTTTAATATGTTGTTTATGTATCGACTCATTCTTTCATTCTAAGCAACTCAATATTCAGCTGAGTGAGGCGTTTTATCTGTATAGGGGTCGCTTGCTTTCCGCGTGTTGACTCTGAGGAAGTATTTAAAAAAAACGAAAGCACTAAAAAAATACCTCTACTAGATGACGACTCTAGCAAAAGTTGATTTTTGCAGGAAACGAATGGACCAAAGACAGTCATTTCCGTTCCTTTTAACTAACATATCAAAAAACTGAAATTTGTAATTTCAAAACTTAGATATCAATACAAATACAAAAAAGTATAAATAAAATGAAGTGTTTATTAAGTTTTGATAACTAATTTACTTTTAAACATGAAGGAAAACTGGAAAGGTTGTCATGGAGAAATCCAGAAAGTACCGTAGCGACATCTAGTTTGATTTCGGGAACTATTTTTTTTAAATACTTCCCCATTGATCGATTACTGTGAATAGGGTATTAGTCTAGGAACAAGTATTCGTAGACAAAACAAGTATCCTAGGTGTCAGTTAAAATATATGTTTGTTCTTCTGCCTTGTGTTTGTACTTTACTCACTCTTTGAATTTAAACATGCCCGATTTGAGATGTGTGAGTAGTTTTAAAGTTTTTCTAATGGTTTGCGATATTATTTCCCGAAATAATTCGACAGTAGAGTAAATTTTATATGTTTCTCCATTATTAAAGCCAAAGCCATGGACGAGCATACTTTACGATATGAGAAAATTGATTTCTTAGGAGAAGGACAGGTAAAGTGTTTCTCAATCTTTGTAAATGTTTACTTTTATTGGTTATTGGTTTACTTTAAAATTTTCAATAATCATCATTGTTTGATGTATACTGTTTTCAGTTTGCCACTGTTTACAAAGCAAGAGATGTGAAAACAGATAAAATAGTTGCCGTAAAAAAGATTAAAATTGGCTCCCGCCTTGAGGCACAAGATGGGATTAATAGGACAGCTCTTAGAGAAATAAAACTGCTGCAAGAGTTACAACATGTTAATCTGATAGGTTTATTAGGTAATTTGATAGGTTGTATTTAAAAGTATTTTTACTTTTTTGTATTTTTACACAAACATGTGTTCACTAATTTTAAATAATAAGCATTTAGTAGGCATTGATGAATCTCTAAATGTGTACAGTACTCAACACAAAAACAAAATAATAATTTTGGGTCTTAAAATTAGACAACATCATGTACATTGCTAAGATTTCAAGATGAGAAGCTAAAGCACTCATTCTATGAAGTATCTGAGATAAGTTATACAAAACTAGCAATTTGTGTTTTTCTTTTGTGTTATTTTATACTACACAAACTCTGAAAGTTGATTGTCATTAATCTATAAGTTATCATTACTGATTAGTCGTCTCAAAAACGTTAAAAATATTGTGAGAAAAAATATTATATCTGGGTTTATTTTTCTAAAATTGTAATTGAATTCTGAATTGTTTTCTTTTTAAAGAGACTGTTTCTCAATATGTTTTATGATAAGTTTTAACTTCTTTTTTTCATTACTTGTTTGTTGAATATTCACCCAAAATATTTCAGAAAGATGTGTTGAGTAACTGTATCAGTGCAATTATAGTGTAGTATGAAATATTATACACATATTTCTTGGAGGTAAATATTGATTAATCACTTGTTAAGTGTTCAGTACCTTACTCCCTTTGTTGTATAAATATCTATAATTTTAGCAATGTTTCTATGGCTAACCCAGTTCAAAGACATTATTCAAATTGTTGCCTAGAGTAGTAGTTTCTTGTCAGTTTTTAATTTATGAAATGCAAAATCTAAGAAAGACATTTTTCTTGTTACCTTATATACAAACAGACATGCTAAAAATAAAATTTCATGTATAAACATGCACTATTTAATTATGAAATTAATTCATTATTTACAGATGTATTTGGCCAAAAATCAAATGTATCTTTAGTTTTTGACTTTATGGACACAGATTTAGAAATAATAGTTAAGGATAACAATATTGTACTTACTCCTGCTAATGTGAAAGCTTACACCATTATGACTCTAAAAGGTAAGCTTTTTAACTGGCACCACATATTGTTTAATGTACTTCTTCATTATTATAACTGTGTTTGTTATGATTTTTTTAGGTTTAGAATATTTACATCAGAACTGGATATTACATAGAGACTTGAAACCTAATAATCTGTTAATAAATAGAGAGGGAATCCTAAAAATTGGTGATTTTGGTCTTGCAAAAGCATTTGGTTCACCAACTAGGATTAATACTCACCAAGTTGTCACAAGGTGGTATAGGTGAGAGAATTTTGTGTTGTTTAATAAATATTAGATGCAGTAGATGTATACAAATGTCATTTAATTATTTGTGGTGTTGGATGTTTTTAGAAGCTTTAAATTTATGTGTGTATGTTTGCCAAATCTTGCAACTTTTATTCTGAATCAATCTGGCATAAAATTTATAAAAAAAATATATCCATAATTTGTGTTTCTTTTTGTTAATCATATCTGCTTATAAACAGCTAGATGATCAAATATTAATATTTGTTAACATACTTATTGCAAATGTACTTGGTTTTAATAGGACTAATTTTGTCTTGAATAAACTGCATTCATAGTACAATACAGGGAAAAAAAAAAATCATTAGCCTTATAATGGAATTACTGGGATCAGGAGGGTCTTACTATATGTTTTTGTAATTTATTGTTCTTTACAGATCTCCTGAGTTATTGTTTGGGGCACGACAATATGGTACTGGTGTCGATATGTGGGCTATAGGTTGTATCTTAGCAGAGCTTTTGCTTAGAGTGCCATTCTTACCTGGTGAATCAGATTTAGATCAACTCTCTCGCATCTTTCAAGTATTTGGAACTCCAAATGAAGAAATTTGGCCTGTAACTATTTTTTGTTATATATAAATAATAGACAACATTTATTTATCAGTTGAGACCAAAAATTAAGTACCTAAGCCATTGTTTGTAGAAATCTGAGACTGTAGAATGTAACACAGACACCCAGATTCAAAACGATTTAGGAAAGTTAATTTTCTACCATGACTCAACTGAGATTTGAACCTGAGCCCTCGGATGGCGGCCATTCAGTCGTGAAGGTCTTTGTATGTTATTAAATTGTTTGAGTTATTATGATTCATAGATTGTAATTTCCGATACAATGAAATATTCATTGTATCGGAAAGAATTGTCATAAGGAATAATTACACTAATTAATTATAATAATAATAATATAATCTTTATTGCACACATACAGATAGGAAAACAGAAAGAAATTACACAGTAAAACAATACAAAGTACACAATAGGCGGCCTTATTGCTAAACAGCAATCTCTTCCAGGCAACCTATGGAAGAGAATAATAAAAGGAAAGGGAAAATATGGGGTATTGGGTGCAATGGTCAGAAGGATATGATAAGATATATCTTTGCATAATAAATAAAAAAGTATAAGTAAATAGTATTAACATAGAGAAAGGAAATAGCTTTCAACTCAATCGCCGAAAGAATTAAGTGAGCGAGTGTGCCTGACATTCTGACATCCGGAGAGAATTCCATAAACGCTAATTGTGCAATTGTTATGTATATTAAGCCTAAAGATGATTCTGACATTCAAAATTATGAGTTCTAAATGTATGCTACATGAGTGTATTTATTTCTAACCACTAGTTTATGCCAACTATTCTGCCATCTGCATAATAGCATTATAACAGATGAAGCTCTGCCATAAAAGAAGGGTCCCTCTTTTAGGGGAAATTCTTTCACAAATTCTTTTTCTTTTACAAATTTTAGGGGATGAAAGGACTAACAGATTACGTGCAGTTTAAACAATTTCCACCCCAGCAGCTGCGACATATTTTCAGTGCGGCGTCGGATGATCTCATCCAACTATTAGAAAGCTTGCTAGCCATCTACCCGCCAAAACGCTGCGATTGCACGCAAGCTTTACAGATGCCATATTTTAGGTAAACATAAGTATTTAAAATATTTGACTAAGGCTGGTTTCTGAATTGCGAAAAGTACAAAATCAATCAGCTGAGATTTTGCACTTTTCGCAATTCAGAAACCAGCCTTAGTTATATAGACTCAATAACTTTTTTTACGTTTCACAAGTCAAAAAATTCTAGTTTTATCTAAATACTATCAAATGATCATAAAAAAAATTATCAGAATCGAAAGATGTTTTAATTACGGTTTGAGACGTGATTAAATACTCAATTCAGAAACTGGGTGTATTAATTTATAATATAGATGAATCAGTGGCGTAGCGTAGTGGGGGCCGGGGGCGGGAAAATTTCACAATAAACAATTAAATATATTTTTTAAATATTTCAACCAATTCATATTTTTAACGCAACTATAAATTCGGACCGAATGTTTTGAAATAAAGTTTTATTCATTTAAAAATATAAATTAAATCTTCAGTTGTTTAGTTCATTCTTTTTTTATTTCAAATCTTTTTTGTTTTTTAAAGTACTATCCGCCTTTTAGGATACAAGTACAGTGTTGCGAGGGACAAAGTACACCCAGGCTAAGAACAATTGTTTGTAAATCCCACAAAAAATTGTCCTTTGTGGGGATCGAACCACAACATTCGATCCGTGGGCAGTTGCATGGCGACAACTAAACCACTCTACCAACCGTCATAATCTAACCTGTGTTACGCGAAATAATGATGACAGTTCTTGCCGAAAAATTCTTTAAAATCAATGTATAGTATAATTATATAAAATACCTATGAAGACCTAATTAAGAGGGACAGCAAATTTTTTTCCGCCCCTGGCGGCAGACACCAACGCTACGCCACTGAGATGAACACTTAATTCATAATGTCCTGACATACCAATATACTTTTTTTTTCAGTAATAAACCAGCACCAACAGTGGGCTGTAAATTGCCTATGCCATCAAACATAACAAGGATGGAGTTTGAGAAGCCCTCACTGAAAAGAAAACTATTGGAAAATATTGATGGTGGTTCTTTAGCGAAAAGACTTCAGTTTTGAATTTTGTAAAAGTTAATGCGTTTAAGAGAAGGACTTGAAAAATATGTATGTATATATATATAGTTAAAGGTCGACATGCAGGCGTATATGAAACTTGACGACCCGCGAAATTTGTACCCCCTTAGAATTAATAAAACTAGTGTTAAATGACGTTATCCGTCTATTATGACAAATTAATGCGTGCTCAGTCCCAAATGTAATAAACTATTTATCAGCAAGTGAACTAATATTAATTCATTACGTTTTATCGATAAATCAACAATTATCACTGCAGTGGTGTTACAACCAAGGATCAGGGTATTCTTTGATTTGTCACTGATATAACAATATGGTAAGGTATCTGGGACTTTAACAGCGGTTTAGGTATAGTTGCTTGCTGTCATGGCTCAGTACTGTCCTGTACTTTACGGCAGTAATATGAGTTGTCCGCGCAGCCCGCGCACCCCTATTTTAGTATGTACAGTAAACAATGCAAGCAATTTAATATAATCCCACAATCCAATCCCTAGCAATCCCTAGGGACTGTAATCCAAAGACTGACCAGTTTACATAAAAAGTACACGAGATTTCAATAGCAAGATGAGTATGCTGATGAATAAATAAGTGACAAGTTTAATATTCATAGTGCATAGGGTTTTTATTTCAAACGCGGAAACCTGATTTTTATGGGTTGGAAATTGGAATAATAAACTGATGCAAATATACGCAAATTTATTACAAGTAACTTTTGTTGAACAAAGATGTCGGAAATCATAAAAACCGGCGAGGTATGAAAAGATAGTACAAGAGATAACTAGACATTTTTTCTCGAGAAGTATTTTAGGCATTATAAAAACGTGTTAAATGGCTTATTGTAATTTCTGAACCCTAAAGATACAGTCGAGGCAGGAAAGCAACGGAATTAAGTCAACCCGTTAAATTAAAAAACAAAAATATTTTAACAAGTAAGAAAATGAAAGAAACGATTGCAATGTTTTGAAAATTAAAATATCACCCAAGTAGGTATATCGTTTTGGAATTGTCTATTTCTATGTCAGCCCACCAAGAACAAAATTACTGCGATTCAAATTAATGTACCTACTTTAATTAATCTTTCAGGTGTATTTATCATGAAGATGTTTGAAGGAACTGCCGATAATGTACCGCCACATTTAAATTCGATAGAAAAAATACAACTGGTAATATTCTTCAAATGTCTTCCTGAAAAATGCACTCTTACTAATAAATAAATATACAACGATGATTTTCAAATAAAACTGTGTTCTACTCATAAAACAAACCGAAAAGTAGTTTTTCATTTTAATTAAATTTATGATTATGTAGTAGTTTCAAAATATTTTTTTATTCGTTTTATGCCTCAAATACTTCTCCTAAATTGTTTACCAGCTGTTGGACCAAGGAGAAAGACCGTGCCTAATGACGCTCGGTCCTCTGTCTACCCCGCAAGGGGTCAGATTGAAATATGGTAGATAGATACAAATTAACTGGACTTGATACACTATTTCTTCTTTAATTTTGTAAGTGCAGTAACTCTAGATTAGCTATCAGTATTAATAATCTCATGTGCCTTTCGATCACTATGTAACACGCCGCTAAGCCTGTTGGTCTCGTCCCTATCGTTCTCTGTCCCTGTCCCCACTTAAGGCGCGACTAACTATTTCCGAGACGGGTATTATTGAATTTCTTTGACTGGAATTAACTTGAACATTAGTTTATATTGTAGAAAAACGTTTTTTATAATTTTTTTAATTAATATATTTTTTGTCATTGTGACAGCGAAAGACTAGGTATTACAAGTCTTTTTCTGTAATGTGTTGTCCCACTTTAGAAATTGAGCAATCTTATGTTTTTCTAAAATTCAGTATAAGGAATAGATGAGTGGAGAAAATTTGGCCTTTGTAAATAAGTATTTTGCGTGAAATCAATTTGAATTTTATAGCTGGACTAATTGTCAATAATAAGCTCAATATGTATATAAAATATAAGTATTTGATAGAATGTGTGTTTGAATATTCTCCCTGGATACGTGGTATCGTCGATTGGGAAACGTCAGGACTGACAAATATAAGAAACATTGAACCTTGCACACTCGACAAATTACCCATCACATACTAACTCAAGCTTTCGTGAGACTTATCATGATAAGATTCATTTATCATCCGTCAAAATCCTAAATGGCATGTGCCTTCTCTATTGCTATCCATAGTGAAGGTTCATACTCTTATTGTACGGACATCAACAGAGTGGTAGATTGTAAAGATGTTGAGCGTAACAGGTTTTTTTTAATATCGGAAGTCGATCCTATTTTATTTTATGGCAACTGCCAATAAAACACGAAAATGATACAGAAAATTATATATTTTCCCAGTTTTTTTCTATCTATGCATCAAAATATACAAAACACCATGTATAATAGGAAGTTCAGTTTAATACTAATAAATACCAATAAGTATGTAGAATAAGGTGTACAGTAATCATTAATACTGAGTCATTACAATAATTGTGCTATCTAAACTCATAACTAGCCTTGCATAAATTTTTAATTATATGTGCAGTTTTTCACTCAAAATACGAGTTCACAAAGCTAAGGCACTTTTACGAACATAAAACACCATTTTTATATTTGACATCACGAATCTGCTATTTTATAAATTATGATGAAGAGTGATCGGTGTCGATAGTCTGAAAAAGACAATCACAGTCTCATCCTTAGCAGCAGTTTAGGTAGATGCATTATTAGGTTTTAAATGGGGACGAATGTCTAACGATGGGTCAACGAAATTAAATGATTAATTAGACAAGGTTGGAATCTTAATAAATTTACTGTAAATTAATACAAAATTCTAAATAAACAACATACGAGTTCATTTTCCATATAGTGTAAGTCATTCGCGCCAGTTGTGCTTTGTTGGCGCCCAACGTGGTGCCCACAGCCATCGCCGGCCGAGGGTAAATCACTGCATCACGGCATTCAATCCTCAACTCTGACAATTGGACAGTGTATGTTATAGAAATATGTGAAATCAAGAATCTAGGGTGGTGTTAAAGATCCCTATTGCACCTCGACTGCCATTTTTGTGTAAAATGGTCAATTTTGACATTCTTGATCTCGGATTCAAAAATATATTAATAATTATGACTTATTGTATATTGCAGATTAACTATTGGCATAGTTCGTAGCACTTCGCTTTTTGTAAATTATGCTTAAAGTTCTAATTAAACTCAAAATTGTAAAGAATGTCCAAATAATGACTTACATAATAAAGTATATTTTTGTGAAGGATGCACTCATTAACAAATAAATAGTTGCGCCAATCGCAAGATTAAGCAAACATGCAAATTCTAACCCTAAACAGCTAGTGTTACTTTTAACCAATATGTGTACCTTCTGTTTGAATTTATATATTTTAGGCAAGTCTCACCATTAACTAAATTGTCACCGTCGTCTTTTGATTTCTTGCCTGTCTGTTTATTCTTCTTTATGGCGGATGGCTGTTGATACATAAAATTTAATTCTTCTGTAATTTCTTAAGTCTAATTTTCTTTTTATAGTTTATGTTTCATGCAGCGTTTACGATTACACTTTCTGTAGGAAATACAATATGTTCTATTAATTAAAGTTAGCATAAACTGCTACAAAAATGTTTAAGTTTGTGCTTAATTATAAGTACAGGGAATCGCATAAGAAAAAGGTTATAATGGAGTAAAAAATCTTATTGAAAATAGTAATTAAGTCCAATAAAAAACGTAATAACTGGTGATAGCTCAACTACCGATGCTTATGGTGACAGATATAGTTTTTGATTTTATAGTTTCAAGTTGTTTAATTTACCTTGGGGGAATTGGACAAAACAGATAAGCGGCCATACACGCCGTATTTTCGTTCATCTTCGGGCCTCAACGTACCCATTTTCTTCATAACTAGATATATCTGTGGAAACGGTAAGTTGGAACTAAAATTTTGTTTTAAATATACATTTCTTAATTTTTAGTGACAAGTTTTAGTGCGTCGGATACGTCGTTAACTTTTTGACTTGTATTTCAATGAAATTTATTGATTATTATTAAAGACCTAATCATATCCAAATATGAATATCACTAGAGAGGAACTACCATAAGAAATGGTTCTAACACAATCATTTATTAATTTAGTATGATAAAATTCCACCTTGCTCTCTAATTACGTAATGGCCAGAGGCCTGTTAGGACCAACCCAGTTGTAATCGTTTGTATACTGGAACGCGGGAACTCACCTGCTCCAGCATACCATAACTTCTGATTAGAAAATCTCTCTGAGCCAGAAGGTTAACTCTTTCACGCTCTTCCTTCTCCACAATAGGATCGGGCTCATAAGAACACAGCACGTACAAAGGCTTCGGCTCTTTTTCTATCACCTAATGAGGATTACGGATTGAAATATAGTTACGACTAAATATACCTAATCTTTTATGAAGTTATAAAAATATAATAATTTGGGGTTTTAGTTAGCCAAGCACAATGAAGTTTGACAAGCTAATCCATAAAAATCTTGAGCGTTATTGATACGGTGCTAATAAAATCATTAATAGTGATAAAACGATTTTTCACTTTATTATTCGACAGTGCCCATCATTTCCTACAGTTTTTGTTACAATGACGGCATCTGTTGATGTACCGTTGGTTTCGACTGGTTGTCAGTCAGTCGACGTAGATCCGGGCTACGAGTTTTCCCAACCGGGGCAGAAACTTGATGTTGCGTACTGTACCCCCCCCAACCCCCCTGCGCGCGCCGTATTCTTTAATTTGAAAACATTCGTTTTTGTTAAACTATTCTTTTTTTGGATTATATTATGACGATATAGGCGCCCCCTGGCACTGGCGCCCGGGGCAGGAGCCCCCTCTTCCCCTCCCCCCTAGATCTGTACCTACCTGTGGTACCTACTGTTTGTATCAGTTTCGCATTTTGACAGATGTTATATAACCCACCAGCACGCGTAGCATGACGAACTCGAGAACGTTTTGTCTACACTCAAATGTCACTTTTCTCGGGTGCGCCCATACTATATCTCACTCTCGACCTGAGAAACTGACAGATGAGTGTAAACAAAGCGTTTCTCGAGTTTGTCATGCTATTACAATAATTGTTGGATGATGATATTATCATATGATTGGCTGGACATGGATATCGTCACGAACGAATAACGTGTGCTTGAAAACCACAAACTTACCGGTTGCTGCGATAACGAAGGTTTGCCTGATAGTTTTTTATCTTTATCTTCTTTATCTTTGCGTTTCTCCCTCTCCCTCTCCCTCTCCCTCTCCCTCTCCCTCTCCCTCTCCCTCTCCTTCTCTTTAGGTTTGGGTTTTGGCTTCTCGACAGACGTAGTAGCCGTACTGACTGTAGCGGTAACGGTACCGCTGCCTTCCTCGCCTTGTTTCTTCTCACCTTCTTTGAGGGTTTTTGGTTGAGAAGGCTTTTTGAGCGCTTCGGCTTTGGCTTTAGTTTGCTGCGGGTTTCATACATATTTTATTAACTTGAAATTATTATTACGTGTGTATGTGTGTGTGTGTGTGAAGTTGGAATATCTGAGATACGTATGAATCAATCAATTTTGGTTTGTATTTTTATATAATAAATGGAATCAAAAGAATTTCTACTCTAATATAAGTGAAGCGGATTCGCTTTAAATTCGAATTCGGGTTCGGAATTTTACAGAATCGCTCTGCTGTTTCTTGTTTACCTGGAACTCCTCGCGCTGTATTCGCGTACAATCGCCACGGGCGCGTGAAGAAGCTGTCCCGGTGTATAGGGAACCGGAGGGCTGTTGAAACAGCGATGCGTATTGCTCTCCCACCGGGTACACGCGTCTAATTGCAAAATATCATATTACTTGCTCTATTATGGTTCGCGTTTTAAAGTATTTTAGGTACGTATTTAACTATGTAGCTACAGTAGTTTTGAAACGATGGTATTTTTATCCGGTAGATACATAGGTCAGACATTGCGACATATAAACCCATGTACAAATTACTCAACGTTCTTCACATTACAAACAGTAATTTACGAAAAGATACAATGCTTACATTTTATTAAATCAGCACTAAATCGCATAATATACCTACCTATGATAAAAATTTTGGAACCAATTCACCTGTAGTTTCCAAGATGAGTCTCCTCCCATTGAATTTGCGTTTGCCAAGGACTCTTCTCTGTCTCCTTTTCGTCAGTAGGTGTAAAATCTGCAAACCTTTTTTTACGATAAAAAATATTTCATAACTTATTCAATTTTAGCCACTTCACGTCAGACTACAAAACCGGCAAATGTTCCCACTCGACCTTAATTTATTGAAAGTAGAACTCGATGGCACTGGCTTGCGCGCTGGGTCGCGATACAGTAGTTAAGCAACTTTCGCAAGGGCCGGTCATAGGATGGGTGACTTTATGATCTCGAGCTTATGATCTCGAACTCCTCCGTGCTTCGGAAGGCACGTTAATCCGTAGTTCCTGGCTATATCTGCGGTCGTTAACACCCACCAATCCGCACTGGGCCCGTGTGGTGGGTCATGATCCATTCTCCCTATTCGATATGATTCGATTCTATACATGGGGAAGAACTGAGCCCCAGCAGTAAAGGTATTAATGGGCTGGTGATGATGATGAAGAGGTCAAAGTCCATTGCAGAAATTTAACATATTGTGATAATCTGACTTGCAGCCGTGCGTACATTGCTTTGAGTTAAAGAAACTAAAACCTTCTCTATGAGTGCTCTAGATATTGAATAGTTTCGCAGTCTGTCATTTGGCTATAGCCCAAAATACGTACATACAATACTCTTCTCCTAATTATCATTGTAATTAATTATCTTACTTGCTGGTCTGCAACAATCTATCGCGGATACGTTTTCGGTCTTCCTCTAGCACGCGTTTCTTGTCGCACTGCCATATGTTGAGCATAGTGAACGTGTCCGTCAGCAGGCTCTCTTTAACCTCGCGATCAAGCTGCGTGTCCGTGTGGAAGCTCGGCGAATGATTTACCTAACGATTGATTTGCTATTACTTTTATGATGGCCATGTTTTCTTTAAACTTCGACATCGTGAAGTTTTGGGATTATTGGCCATGTGATTATTCACTTATCCAGCCAGAGCTATGACGAAAATGCAAATAAGTACTTAATCAGACTTTTACCGCAGGGACCTCTCCCTGCGATCAGATCATATGGCTAGTGCGTAAATTGTTTCAAGTGGTATAAGGGACAACGATTTTAAATTAGTCCGTTAGTCTTTATAATACTGGTGTTATATAGTAAAACCTACTCATATGTACGTGACAAAATTTTCATACGAGCTCTGGAATTGGCTCACAAATATTACCGATCTGAACTCAAGATTACCTCTAAAATGTATGGATGTAGTTTATGATCTAAGAGTATATCGAAGCCCAGAATTTCGAAACATGCATGCACCTGTAAAAATTTCAAGAATTTAATTTCAGATTCTAGCATGGATAACTTATGTAATGTATCTACATATAGTCACTCACACACTACATGTATTTAGAAATACAGTATAATCGTAACAGTTCCCATGTTCTGTTTGGGGATAAGGGAATAAGAAATGCCATTATATTTAATCAAGCTGTCCTAAATTCGTACAACATAAGGTATAAAGTATGTAGCTCTACTTCTATCATACGAAAAAGCCGATACAAAATATATTTACTAAAGTAATCCAAATATAAGTCTACTAATATAAGCGTCTCTGAAGCCCTACTAGCCATGCTACTGTTCTAATAAAGGTATCAAAATTTCTCCTTTTTTTATTTTCTTTCCGTAATTCTGGGAGTCAATACTTTTATATTCAGTAGTTCAAAAGTATCAGCATGTCAGTTCTTAAAACAGTTTTTAAATTATGTTAGCAACTGATCAAGGGTTGCCTTCTTAAGACTCATTATTATTAGAACAGTGAGCAGATAGAAAAATTATAATATCTGAACTGAAACCATATCGTGCGAGGGAAAGCACGCGTGGTAGCTGTGCTTGAGGATAGGCCACGCGGATATGATCGTCTTCACTATCACTTGATCTATCGAGTGCCACAACCGGTCCAAGTCGATTCCTTGCGACACCAGAATCTTGTTCAACGTCGATATCTTGCTGGTTCGCAAAGTAAGCAACGTCAGATATAGGCAGGTATAGAATAATATCGTCGTTGTCGTTCTCGTTAATTTCAACCCGTGGTTTTTAATATTAATTGATTTCACAAAGATATTTTACGAAAATTTCATAGTGGGTAACTTAGAGATCAAAATCTTTAATACCCTTTTTTTATTATTGATATCAGAAATTATTTATTTGGGCATCTATATGTTGACAAACATAAATGTTTTATAGAAATTGTAATATAATAAAACTGACCGTTTGCTGCCTGCTTCAGAATCATAAACGTATGTTCGGCTGTGTTTGTTGAGTGCGTAATTGGTGAGATGCATAAAAACATTCGTAGTATTGTTCACGTTTGGATCCGCGTACCTACTTGTTGCAAACCTGCAGATTTTATGATTCCATTAACGAGCAACTAATGTATAAATGTTACAGATAACTCTTTTATGTTTCTGTGTTCTATGTAACCCACATATATGATTAGCAAATTTTATGAATCCCTATTGATTTCAAAATCTGAAGCTTTCTTTTTGGTTTTTACTTTGGATTTGATATTTTAATATTCCGGTTTTTTATCTCACAGTATCTTCTGTACTTACCTTACTAAGCCTTCATTATATACAAATATTCTTAGCGGATCACATGATGTTATAAGCGTATACACTCTTATATCGAATTTGTAACCATCCACAAGATATGGCTTTGACAAGTAAACCTGGAAAACAATTTTGTAACTTTTTAATATATGTAAATATATTTTTGCTTCATAATACAGTCAAGAAGCAAGCATATTGATCGATGAAAATGTGTATATTTTTGTTGGACGGTTAAAGTTATCAACTGAAATATTAATGTAATATTTTCTTGCAGAAAATCATACAGATAATAATTTGAATATTTTATAGTTCGCGCTTCTTATTTACCTTACCTAAGTTAATATTATTAACACTAGTAGATATTTTAAAAGCATCAAATGCTGTATGCTAATCAAATTCTTATTTACCTGGCAAATAAGTTTATCGGTAGGTTTTATGTCTTTAAGTGACTTGGTGAGGTAAATACCACGACCTTGACTACCACATTCTGGCTTGATTATGAATGTTTTGTTCTTACGTGATTTACTGTAGTTCAGAGCTTCGCCAAAACTGAAAAATACATTTTTCCTTTTTAGTGTGATGGTTAAAAAATTTTCATAGTCAATATAAATTTCTTTTGCTGTTTAATACTTGAATAATATAAATTATTGTATGTTTCATAAAATTAATAGCTTAAAACTTACTCTGCTGGCAAACACCAAGTCTTCGGAAAAAAATTATATTCTTTCGGGTATATTTTCTGCATTCTATTTAAGTTCCTTGCCAACAGATCTTTCCTGTAGGCGTTATAAAAAGTTTTAATATCAAATAGCTGCGGAAGGATAGTGGACGTCGTCGCCGGCACGCGATCTATTGTCTGCTGTTCTAGGTTTTGTTATTAAAGTTCGTATATGAAACGATATTTGGAAAGTGGTAATCAATGTTGTCATAAGGATTAAGTTGTAGTCGACACGCGGTCGATTAACAACTGCAACCACTGTTAAGATATTACCAAACAAAAGCACAAGCAAAGTAGATATCATTTTTTACTAATACTTTAGCTGTTGGAATTATTTTGTTCTATTATGCAAGAGTTCATGGATATACTTTAAATTGCCACTTATAAGTACCTGCATATCTCTAGCATGCCTGGGAAGTGGTTGATGCGTTGAAACCTCTTCATCTCCTTTGCGCGTTCTACCGACACACTCATGTCTGTCCAGTAGAAGTTCCAAGCATCCTCCTCTGACACCTCACGCATTCCGAAAGCGCTCGCTACCTTTCTGATCGACTCGTACCGACAGTTTGTGAGGCATATTGAAATCTGAGATCTGTTGGGAATATGTAAACTTGCGAGCGATGTTCACTTCTTTCACGGGCCTAAGCTCATGGGTTGTAATTTGAGCGCGTACCTTCGTCGGAAATTCTCGCACGCGCTCTAAGTACGATCACGCGAGTTCTATTAAACTTGGCCTAGGAGAATTCTCCTTGGATTTTGCTATCCAAAATTATTGCATTTAAACTAAGATACTTAATCTTAATCCTAAACCTAAGTGCCTATTTCGAATATACTTTTTGATGTAGGTGTTTATTGTTTGTTTTTTATGCTATAATACTTTTGAAAAGTTATGGATAAATCCGTTTTAATAAATAATTATGTATTTATAGATGAAAAATACAAACCTTTTCCTCTTTTTCTTTTTTCGAATAGCTTCAATAGGAATAATAGGGGCGGCGCGTGACGTCGGCTGTGACGTATCATCTTCCCCGTATAATTTTGAATCATACTTTCTCATTAACATCGTCGCTACGCTTTCAGCTTGCTCTTTCTCCTCCCTTGCTTGCTGCTCTGTAGTTTTATCATCTGAATAATGAGTGGTGTAATATACCAACTGTAGTCCGTTGTCAAAGAATCGATTCAAGCTTTATATAAGAATTACTACCTTATGCGATAAACACCAACATCGGTCGTGTGTTCGTGTCAACTGAAGTGCAACAACAAGCTGCAGTTGAAAATTAGTTAAAATTGTTACCGTTGCCGACGGTAAGTATTCCTGGTACCTACACACCGTCTGTAGATTAACCGCAATGACACGAACGTAAAAACTATTTGGTCACGGCATGTTATGCCTCCTTTTTCGTAATTTATTATGGGATTTTGTTTTCCTGTGCCATGAGGCTTATAATGTTTTATAAGCATCATACACATTTGCTTAATAACACGAATATTGGGTCAAAAACTGAAAGGTTAGCTAAAACTACGAACCATATACTTAGTCCTCGTTAAAGCTTTAATTTTCTAATAGTTATATTAACAGTAGCGTCTATAATTTTAACCATACTGGAAAACAATTCTCTAAAAATACCTAAGAAAGCATTAGGAGCGGTGTTGCTTTTATCAAAAAGGCACGTGAACTCACTCATGTAGGTAAATAAGATATATATATGTCGCATCTTAGCCGCTTGATTCAGTGATATAGTCACTGAATCAAGCGGGAAATATTTATTTTATCTGAAAAATATGGCTCTGGTGTACCGCGTATGACACGTCCCGCGAGTGCCTTTAAACCTAGAACCGCGCGCGAATTCAGACCAGTTTCTCTATACATCACTTGTTGTCAAGAATAAGTGTTCCAAATAACAAGGTCTCAAGGCTGAACAAACACAGTAATTTAGATATGTTAAAAATGCTCAATCGCATACAAAGGATTGCGACTCGCGTTTTCAGTTTTTTAGCGCATTCACGCTTGCATAGAAGACGCTTACGTAGTGTTATATTGTATAAGAATTGACAAAACCACTTAAATGATACCTCGAACTTTCTCATTTTTTCCTTTGTTTGAGACCGAACAAAATTGTTTAGAACTTCGTAATGACTGTTGATCTTCACCCAAGAAAATGTCTTGTAACTCCACCTTAAAATAAATACATATTACAACAGGTAAGTATAACTAGTAACATTTAAAGATAATTGTTAACTCATTTAGTGATGCGCATAGGTGATAATCAAATATATTATTCATTTAAAACAACTTTACGAATGTGTTTATTAATTAATTTCTACATTTTTAAAATTATTCAAATTGTTTAGAAGCTGCCTCATCTCTAAAATCAAAGTATACATTGAAGTCAAAACTACTTTGTCATTAAACGATACGACATCGTGACAGCTATGCTGTCCCTCAACAATGAATTTATAGTTACCTCCATTTCAAGTATGTTGTAGTAGTGTTTCAAAAAAATAATAGGTTCGGCCTAAACATACATTTTCAGCATTCGTAGCAATAACTTGTAAAACGACTGAGCAATGGAGGCCTAAAACACAAACCAAAAAAAGAACTGGAGAAAAGAATACCGTTAAATTTTTTTACCGCGTAAACTAATTTCCTAGATTAAAGAAAACACTTACCAAATTCTTTTTGGCTTAAAATCATAAAAATTTTGCAAACGACATTATATAAACTGTTTTTTGTTTTTGTTTGGTGTCATTCAGCTGTCAAGTTATTTATTGCTAAAATAAAATCGGACAAGTGTCGTGGGTAGTTAATCAAATCAATAAATAAATCAACCATAGAATAGAACTGATGAAAAGTTTTAAAAGTGCAAATCAATGTCTATGCATAGAAGTTTTTATTATAGCATTGTATTTTAAGTATTTTGCGCATTTTCTTCCTTGATGGGACACTGCGTCTTCGATCCTCGGTCGCATCTCGGTCGATCAGAAAGCGCTAACGAAAACCAACACCAAATGTGCAGGCGATCACGTTCGCCCGCAGACTTATGGCCAGTTGCATAAACGTCCATTAAGGTTTAATAACGCCTTTAAGCTCTAATGAATGGCACGTTTGAATGGGTAATGTCGCTTTAAACTAATGATAAATTTAATGGACGTTTATGCAACTGGCTGTTAGCACTGAACCATAGATGGCTATATAATACTAAAGGAAAATTGCGCAATCACACAAACACTATATCATTGAGTTCGTATAGGTACCACAGTGACACCACTAAAATAACTTGAGCATGTGGCAAGCATCTCCATGCTCACAAATTATATAAATAAATAACAACATCACTATATTACTCAGATCCCAAGATGACACCCAGCCAAGATACAATACAGAAAAGTTACTTCTACATTGTCCCGAGCGGTATCGGCCCCGGGAAATCAGAGATGGCGATTCCTTGAAACCAGCATGTGAACCACTCGGCTACGGACGGAAGTCGGCATATACATAATACAATTGATTTTGTTTTTTAATCTTAAAAAAAATTATACCGTAACGGTGAAATATTATGCTACAGTTATAAATGAAGTATCATTGCTAAGTACGATTCACAAATGTTTATATTTTAATCTTTGATTATTTACTTCAAAAATCATTGTAATCGATTTACAAATTCATCACCATCTTTCCAATGAGTTTAATAACTAGAGAAGCAATCCCATACAATTATATACAACTCAATCTCTCTCTATGTTCTGTGCATACAACAGACGCGTCAAAAAGCGTAGCTAGCACTTTTCCGAAATCAGGATGTAGCTTTACAAAATTATATTTATAGTATATAGGTAATATACATAGGTTCAGTATATTTGTCTCCCTCATATCTACTATTAAACTTTAAATTAAACAAAGACAGAAAAATGTGCGAACGACAGAATAAACGGCTAAATGGGTAATTGATACTGTATTGCCAGCTGTTGAAAATTTTAACCCTTAAGATGAATGAATGAAAGACTAATGTAGATATATTATGTATAAAATCAATGAGGAAGTATTTTAAGAAAAAAGAAAGCACTAAAAAGCACCTCATCAGAGGGCGACCCTACCAAAATTTCTGCAGGCGACGAACGGATCCAAGATAGTCATTTCCGTTCCTTTTAACTAACACATTAAAAACTGAAATTTGCAAAGTTCGAAACTTAGATGTCAATACAAATACGAAAAAGTACAAAATCAAGAAAGTACCGTAGTGACATCCATTTTGATATTGGGAACATTTTTTTAAATATTTCCTCATTAAAACTTCAAAAATTTCTTTAATATATTTATTCAAAATTGAGAAATTGTCGTTCGCTGTCTTTTATCATTTATATTAGAAGACCTAGAAATGAAACTAGTTTAAATTATGGGTGCATAAAATTAGTCTCAAATACAAATTCCAGATTTTGTTTCAAGATTACGAGAAAACGCAGCAGCAATCATAAGAGTAAACTGAAAAAAAATGTACATTTTCATTGAAATGAATATCAAATGGTTGGCTACGAAAAATACTATCTTAAATCACTCTCATAGCATGAATATCGAATGAAACTGTTAGCGGAGGATCATTTTGGTATGTTTTGCGTATACATATCATTGTATCACCTATACATATCATTGTATCTTTCATTCATTTAATTTTCTTTTTACATGTAGAAATTAATTTATTCACTTGACATTGGCAGAATTGTGCGAAATGCACAGGTAAGCCATTAATAAAAAAAAAGAAGAAGAACCCTGTTAACCAGACCTCCAAAAGTGCTTTGCGCGACAAAAATTTAGAACCGCACACAAATACTGGTGCGTTAAACTGAATTAATTTGATTAATACTTTTCTATCGGCTCGCGCCAAAACTTAAAACTTCGATTTTTTAATTATATAAAACAAAAGAATTTACCTATACAGCCTAGTCTTCGGTAGTTGGATTTGTTTTAATCAGGTAGTGTTCACTTTCAAAATATTTTGTTTTAAATATTAATGACTACCAATTTTTGAAACAAATTCTTTATAAAATAATAAAAATACAACAAAAATTGGATATCATAAAACTCTATAGCAAATGTTTTCCGGCAATGATCAATGTAAAGGACTGCATGCAGCGAGCTGCCTTGCGAAAAAAAAACAAACACGAATTCGAATTCACTCAGGTGTCCGAATTTACTTCAAAAAACGGAATATATCAGCTCAATTTTGAATGAGGAAGTATTTAAAAAAATCCCTGGTTGGCCGTATCATTGATACAGCCATATTTTTTTATGCGTGGATACGTCTATGTATGAATGGATATATGACTAATTGATAAAAAATAAATAAATAAACAAATTGAAGACACTAAACACTAAATAAATAAATATTCGTTGCGTTCATTTGTTGAATGAAAAAGTATTCACTAGCGCCAATAGATGGCGTTAGTGCATATACTCCTGCTGACAGAATGCCCATCCCCCTGCAGAGCAAGCATAGTTCACTTATACGCCAATAGATGGCGTTAGTGCATAAGCTCCTGCTCACAGAATGACCCCCTGTAGAACGAAAACATAGACGTATCCACGTCAGAAAAGCATTAGTTCCCGAAATCAAACTAGATGTGGCTACGGTACTTTCTTGATTTCTCTATGATTATCGTTATTTAATATATTATAGTTACAATGTTTCATATTAATTCAACGATTTTAAGTTCATATCAGTTATGTTCAAATCAAAAAGATTGTACCATCAACTTACCTAATTAAACTTAACTCCTGAAGAATAAAATCCATATCTAGCTTTATTTTATGGTTTTCACATTTCTAATGAGGAAGTATTTAAAAATAAACGAAAGCACAAAAAAATCACCTCTATTACATGGCGACTCTAATAAAAGTTTATTTTTGCTGGAAGCGAATGCACCAAAGACAGACATTTCCGTTCCTATTAACTAACATATTAAAAAATTGAAATTTGAAAAGTTCGAAACTTAGATATCAATACAAATACGAAAATGTACAAATAGAATATGAGTTGTTTATTAAGTTTTGAAACTAATTTACTTTTAACCATGAAAGAAAACCGCAAAGGTTGTCACGGAGAAATCAAGAACGTACCGTGGCGATTTAAACTTTAACAATTATGGTCATCAAAAATAGAACAGATCCTCATGAAATATATTGACAATGTGTTTATAATGGATCAATGAACCATTTAAAATAATTTTTAAAAAAGCGTCATATACCCTATTGTAAACTTGTTTGTGGTCCTATCAATAAACGAAAAAAAATGACAACCTTTCCGGTTTTATTTCATGTATAAAAGTAAATTAATTTTCAAAACTGAATAAACCACTAATTTTCTATTTGTATTGATATCTAAGTTTAAACTTTTACTAGGGTCACCATCTAGTGAGGTGTTTTTTAGTGCATTTGTTTTGCATATTTGCATTTGATTTCGGGAACTTATATATTTTTAAATACTTCCTCTTAGATAAAGTATAGATAGACATTGATATTTTATGTTAGCAACTCTAATTCCACAGAGTACATTATTATAGAATTAATTTTCTGTGGTTGAGTTGAATCTGACGCTAAACGTCATAGTAAATATTCCGTCAAATTCTGTGTGAAGTGCTTGTTGGTACTCGATTTTGCTTTTTAGCTAAAGTACAGAGTCATTCTAGATTTGCCAAAATGGCAGAGGGCCAAGAGGAACCTAAAAAAATTACTATTACAGTAAAAACTCCAAAAGAGAAACAGCAAGTGGAAATCGAGGAAGATGCCGATATCAAGAAAGTGAGTACAGCACCGCCAGAAACGTTGCCCGTGGCGTAATAACTTAGATATTGCATACGCAATCATTGACGATATCTATGAATTTTTGAAGAAAATAATCATTTTATTTTTAGTTGAAAGAAGTTCTATCACCAAAATTCAGTGCTGAACCAGAACAATTGTGCCTAATATTCGCCGGGAAAATTATGAATGATGCCGATACTTTGAAGCAACATAATATCAAGGATGGGTTGACTGTACATCTTGTAATCAAAACACCCCCTAGACCAGAGCCGGAAGGTGCCGCCCGAAGACCACCTGGTTTGTTATTTCTTAGTTTGTTAAATCTTGCATCACCTATTTATTGTTGATTCATCCTTAATTATCTTACTTTGTAACATTCGAATACTAACTAATATTCTTAGTGGAGCCTTCATTAATATTGATTATGTACTTTGAGAGGTTATTGGGTAACAAAAAGAACACAAATATACCTTGTCTTAATATGTTATATATCCAATCAACAATGAAATCTAATTCAGGATAGCTCTAAACAAACAGTGCTTTTGAAATTACATATATGGAAAGAAATGGTTATTGCCATCTAACTGCATCTGCACTCCAGAATTACATGGTAATATTATCATTATGGTAAAGTGATTTTGTGAAAACTACTGATGTGGAGTGAAATTTGAAATGGAATTCAAAATAAATACATGACGTTTGAAAAATTTCTTAAATTCATATTTGTATATAATTATTAAAATATTTATTAGGTAGTAATGATTGTTTAGAATATTTTTAGAAAATATACTCAATTTCTCTATTATCAAATCACTATGTCATATGGACTGACAGACACAACAATAATGGGTAGGAGGACTAGTTAAAGTCCTTTAGTTTTTATAAAAAAATAATACTTTAAAAGTTTCTTAGTCAAGGTACACAAAAAGGGCTTACTGTTACATTATTTTAATTTTTTAAATTGTAATCCTTGGTAATGTTAAACTCCATTTTAATGATTAAGTCAAATTAGTAGACATTAGTCTTTACATAATTTTAGTCCATTATTATTATATCTTGAGCATTTATTCTAAAATATTATAATAGTACTATTTAAAGCTAAGTTTTGAAAGTTTGATGTTTAGGTTGTATTATTTTATTTTATTTTTCATGGTAGATCAATGGTTGCATAAATGAACTTACAGTATCGATACATAAATCAGATAACCAATTAAAGATCCACACAGTTAGCCTTAAAATTAGGTAACAATTTTGAGTTCACTCGGTAGTTGTGAGGTATGACAAGACACATATTATACAAAGGACTCACGCAAATAATACATTTCTTCTTTTTCCCTTATTTCTCGGATATTTGCTCGTCTGGAACTTTCAAAAAACATTTTCGACATCTTGGACCTTATTGACTCACAACTAGAGTTAAAAAGATCCAGATCCAAAATCGTGCTCAAATCATTAAAGGACTTACCCGCTCGTAATAGGAAAGTATTCCGTCTGTAATTTATTTTTGAGAATGGAACATTCAATGGCTTGATATTTCGTAAATGTCTGGTGGGAACATTCAACTTCAACAGTGATAAAAGCTCAGGACAATCGATCGAACCAGAGGCTATCTTGGTCAGAAACGTAACATCCGCTATATTTCTACGTACCTTCAGTGGTAACAGATGGTGTTTCTACACAGATGATCATATTCAACGGAATAATAAGTAATGCCAATGCGATAACACAAGTAATTTAAGAACTTTTTTTGTATATTTTCATGCCTATCAATGTATACAGCGTATTGTGGGTTCCATATTTGCGAGGCGTACTCCAAACCACTACGAACGATCGAACAATATAGTATCTTGATTGTTTTAGCTTCAGTGAAATCTTTGGTGTTACGAATTAAGAAACCGAGAGCTTTCGTAGCTTTAGATACTATACTATCAATATGAACATCATATAATAACTTGGAATCATGCACCACACCCAGATCACGCATAGAATAGACTCGTTGAAGACTCCATTGTTGGAGAGTATAATTGTATTCAAATATTTTCGGTTTACGAGAGAAGGTCATGACTGTGCACTTAATTGGGTTTAAAGCCAGTTTATTTAGAGTACAATAACCTTCGAGCGGCTTAAGATCTTCTTGTAAAAGTTTGGCTTCGTCAAGACTACGTATCTTTGCGAATATTTTCATGTCATCTGCGAAGCATAACAGTTTTGATGTATGTAAACATAAGTCAACATAAGTCTAAAAACTTAATGAATTATAAATTAAATGTTTTTTTTAGCTGATATTGGTGCAACACCTTTTGGTTTGAATTCTTTGGGAGGTTTGGCTGGCCTAGAGAGCTTAGGCCTTGGACAAAGTACATTTATGGACTTACAGGTATTTCTACTTTTAAAAACAATGTCAATATCACATTACAGCTTTTATTTAGGGGCCGTCCCCCCCCTTCCTAGCGTGTGACGTAATGTATGGATGGCCCCTTAGGATTATAAGTATGATCTGTGAACTCACAATATTATTTAAAAATAGCATCATCATTATACTATAACTCCATCATAAAAATTGTTACAGTTAATAATTATTCTATCACCCAATTGCACAAATATTATTAAGATTTAATGATTTCAAGCTCTAATGAATTTTCTCAATTCGAATGGGTAATGTCACTTTGACTAATGACAATTATAATGGATAAATATGCAATTGACTGTATGTTACACAAAATTAATAAGATAATATTTTATTTTACATCTTCTCATCTCTTGTGATGGATTGACTGCTCAAAATCAATTTCATTAAGTTTTATGCTACCAATAAATATTTTTAGGCCCGTATGCAACAAGAGCTCCTGTCCAATCCTGATATGCTACGACAAGTGTTGGACAATCCTCTGGTACAACAAATGATGAATGACCCTGAGAACATGCGCACTCTCATCACATCTAACCCTCAAATGCAGGACTTGATGGCTGTAAGATTTGTCAAAGATTTATTTAATAAAACAGTTATTTTCCTCCCATAGTATTGTATATTAATTTAAATATATGAGTTCTACCTGAGATTATATTATGATGCATGGAACTTAAGTTGAACCAGAATGATGATTTGTTCATGCAAGTTTACTCACAAATCTCGATTAAGACTCGAAAATATGCTACTATACATAGTTCATCTTATGTGCCGTGATCTGTATAACTATACAATTGGTGTAATCTCTAATAAATCATTAGTATACACTACTGACAGTTTCATTACTATCCAAAAAGAAACTACTAAAAAGTATGATATATTTATTTTATTTATATCTTTTTTATTTTGATCACAGAGAAATCCAGAAATTAGTCACATGCTGAATAACCCTGAACTGCTGCGACAAACAATGGAGTTGGCTCGTAACCCTGCTATGTTACAAGAACTAATGCGTTCCCATGACAGAGCACTATCAAACCTAGAAAGTATACCTGGTAAGAATGATATTCATAATTTTTTTGATATTACTTATATTTGCTATCACTGTGCCCCAGTAATTTCTATGTAAATTACCTTGCGCACCACCGCAAGAATTCTCAAGCATGGTCAAAAAAGGCAAGTTTTAATTAAGAAAAATCTGTATAATGTATAATTTTCAGGTGGTTACAATGCCTTACAAAGAATGTATCGTGACATTCAAGAACCAATGCTCAATGTTGCAAGCAATATGGCTGGTAATCCATTTTCTGGCCTTGTGGATAATTCTGGTTTGTATAATTTTAGATTCTTATAAAATTCTTTAGATATTTTTCTAATAAACAAATTATAGCTAAAGAAGAGGAACTATTGAACTGTGTAAATAGAATTATGACATTGTCTGTAGGGTTTCACTAGCAGCTTTTTTAAATACAGTTGTTCCTCCTTACATCGATGCCCTCAATGATTGTGTCTATAATTTATAACTGCTCTATAATAGATATGATCGAATATAACTGATCAATACGACTAATTAAATACAAACACTATAATAAATGTGTGTCCTATTGCATACAACAGCCATTAAAATACAAGACATACACATGTTCACTTGTTCACAATCTCAGGCAAGAGGAAATTCAACAAAAATCTTATCTAATATCAACACATGCACTGATGATTGCTATTATCACAATTTCTCCTTGTGTTTGTAGACGGCACGAACCCGCAGCAAGGTGCAGAAAACAGACAACCATTGCCTAATCCGTGGCAGCGCGGAGGCGGTGGAGGGGGTGCGGGTGGGGGCGCCGCGGGGGCGGCGGGCGCTGGCCCCGGGCTCATCAACACTCCGGGCATGCAGTCCCTGCTGCAGCAGATGGCCGAGAACCCGAGACTTGTGCAGTCCATGCTGTCCGCGCCTTACACCAATAGCATGTTGCAAGCGCTCGCTGCAGATCCCGATATGGCATCCCAGCTCATTAACCAGGTTTGTTGATTCTCTATTCGTTTTATTTTCAAAAGAATCATTAAACACTTGTTAAGGGTTCTCTGTAACATGTGAAGGGGTGGAAGATTTCAATGAAATGTGACAACCATGTTTTGTCATATTATTGTATGAAAACAAAATTTTAAATATTAACAATGAATCGCTAAATATTATCGATGGATTTAATATATAAATATATTGTGACAAGGGGTTGAGGTCATCCTAAATTTTGTGACGTTACATGTTTCAAAATCTATAATAGCATGCAGACGGCATACAATATTTGGACTACTTGATGGTTTATTTTTTGTCTCCAGAATCCGATGTTCGCCAACAATCCTCAACTTCAGGAACAAATCCGTACAATGATGCCTCAGATGCTTGCTCAGTTGCAAAATCCGGAGATGCAACAAATGATGTCCAATCCACAGGTCAGTGTTTATGTGCAATTAATTGCACGCCTATCATGAAAAACTGTAAAAACCTTTTGTCTATAGCCAAATGGCAGATAGTTTTGATCCGAGAATGATAAAGGAGTCAGAGTGCCAAGGACAAAGTGGGTTTTTAAGCATTTTTCATTAAGAATATTATTCAGTATAGCATAGCATTATGAATCAAAATTGATCAAATATAATAATATGTGTAATATTGATATATCATCAGAAGCAAACTTCTTTTGCTATACAGCCAATACTACTAGCACATATTAATCGATCATCACTTTAAAAAGAGTATAATTAATTATGGGAGAAAACGAAATGAATGGTGAATTTTACAGGTAACTTTGTGATTTTTCTATAGAATCTTTTTACAAATTTACGTTTTGAATGTTAAAAACCTCAGGTAGATGTAGTTTTCTGATTTTTAAATATAGTTTATTTCTTGACTGATCGATGTTGCAATTGTGCCGTTTCGTACTCTTCATTGGGCCTTCACACCCTTCTTATTGAAGTACACACAGATATACACACAGTCACATGCTGTTTGCGGGCACGTGACAATAAGTATAAAACATTTGCTTTTTTTATAATTTAATTTAAATATATTTATAACATTGCTTATATTATAAATACTATATATATAAAAGTGTGGTTATCAGTAATAGTGTATATATTTAACACTACAAGAAAAAAAATGTACTTAATTTCGTTTACCGTATACACGCTATTGCAATGGCGAATGCTAAAGGTCTATACTGAATCAGTTGAGACACGTTGGAGACGAGTAAAGTGAGTGATATAGTTGTTGTTCCGTGGCAGGCGTTGAACGCCCTCCTACAGATCCAGCAGGGCATGGAGCAGCTGCGGACGGCCGCGCCCAGTCTCGTGAGCAACCTCGGGCTGGGCGTGGGCGCGGGCGCCGCCGCCCCGCCGCCCCCGCCCCCGCCCGCCGCCACGCCCCCGCAGGCCAGGCAGCATCAGAACACCGAGCTCTTCACGCAGGTTCAAAGCTAACTCGTACATTAATAATAGTGTGTTCCCAATCGTACGATACGACAATAGGGAACGGGCATTTTTTTTATGTTATTCATTTTTTTTTAAAGTATAATGGACTCTTTTGAAAATCATATAGATTTTCCAAATTGGCGAAATAAAAATGAATTTAAATTGTAATCTGTTGTTCATTTTGCGACATGATACTCGTACATTGATGTTATGGCATCGATGTTAACTTTTTGTATACTCTACATTTTCGTCACATCTGCTATGACAAGAAGAGTGGCATTTTTTTGCACTTTTTAAGACGCTGAATAGTGCCAAATCGATAAAATTGATCTTGGATTGTACTAATTCACGGGAAACCTATGGCAATCCAAAAATTTGTGGTTATACTTGATCGTATTTCTGATCTTGTGGTTGAAACCGAAACATGATTGTATTAACTTCACTCGATAGAAAATAATTCCAAAGTAGCATCTAAAAATATTGCGAAAGGCACGTTTCTCAAATATGTGATACATTAGAGTAATGATATTGAGTACAAATATGTATCAAAGGTTGATATAAAAGTTGGTTATTCCCAATTTTTGATAATGTTATTATAATAATTAATATTATTTATTTTGTGATATGGCACATATGGTCATTTTTTTCAAGCAACTTTAAAGTATTGACATTTCTGTCACTCCTACTGCAATTGACAGGGAAGGCTATAGAATAACGCACATTAACTTAGTTCACGCTGAGGCGTGTTGCTAGATGGACCTATGTTGCTTTGTGCAGCGTTCTGACGTACCGAGATCGCTAAAATTGTAAAAAAAAGAACATTTAAAATAAGTATTTTAATTTCGCTCTCATTTTAACAATATCTTTGGTGTAATGTACTAGGGTAGGGACCCGAGTGTCTCGAAGTTGTAAGTTCTAATCCCACTAGAGCTCGCATTTTTTGAAGTCGTTTTTTATTATTTTATTCTAATTTTCATTTTTTTTCTGCCATAATTTTAAAAAGCAACTTTTTATTATTATTATTAAACAGTATAAAATGTGAAAATAAATATTTCTTTAGTATGACGTAGGCGAAAGTCAGACTGACATTTTCATACAAAAGCCCCGATATTGATGAAATAGTTCCAATAAAATACATGTTCGTGTTCCAATCCCATCAAAGAAGCATTTTTGTTTTACTTTTATCTTCTTTTACCTAATATATTTTCCTCTCTCATTTTTTTATAGGTATATGTTAATCATTAATAATTCGTTAAAATAGTTTTGAATATTATTTTATACAGTAATTAAGTATTATTTAATTATCTAGTCTAGTTGATAAATTTAATTGCTATAAAAATATATAACATAAAATTTGACAATAGGTAAATATTTCCATAAAAGTATGTGTTTGCAAAAGTTTGACATTTTCATGCAAAAATCATCCCGTAGACCGTTACTCTAGTAAAAAATAATTCCTAATCAATCATATTGTGTAAATAAAATAGTTCAATAAATAGGTATTACTTTATAAAACAGATATAAAAAAGGGAATTAGTTACTATTGAATAAATTTGAAAATTATGGTAACAATGTACTAAATAATAATGTACAGGTTTTTCACAAACTTTACTAGTGTTTGGTGTGGCGCAATGTCCTATGTGCTGGTCACTAGGTACTCATTGTGCCGCAGATCAAAACCAAGTTTCATGTTTTTTTTTGTATCTTAATTTTTTTACCCAATATTTTTATTATGAGAAATATAATACTAAAAATTATTTATGTGTTTATACTAAAATATAAATTATTATATTTAATAATTGTATAGATATTATTTTTGACATTTTCATGGAAAAACGACTGGATAAATTTCGCGGTAATTTGATACAAAAATACCTCTAGATATCCTTTATTGGTTTGCAAACTATTGCAGTACGCAACAAGCGTAGCCATACAATTATTGATAATGAAAAACGATTTTTTTAAAGATTCTTCTGTAAGGTAAATGTACAGTGTTCCGGGCTAGTACACAATTTTAAACGATACTCAATAGACTATAGTTGTATTGCAACCAAAATAATACAATTTTAAGCATACTTGGTAATTTTGATAGTGGATTGGGTAGTTTCGATAGTGGAACGTAAAGCACGTTTGCAGAATCATTGAAATTTGCTTTGAAATAAAGAAAGAAAGAAAGTTTATTGACCACACCTACATGAACACAATGATAATATATAAGAGAAGAAGAAAAAACAAATACAAATATATATATAAAAAAAAATAATCATATCTAGGCTGATTTTGAGTAATAAAATCGCATAATTATCTTAACATATCAAAATTAAAGGTCCAGTCTTTTTGTTTATTCATCATGTGACTTAAAAATATAACCCACCATTACGTGACGACACTTAGTTTGAATATTTTCTGAATCTGACATCTGTCAGTAGTTGTAAAAAAATAAATAAACAGCAGCTGATTTGACAGAAAAAGCAGATTCCGAGATAATACTGTTCTTACCTTATTTAATATTATTATTTTGTCGAGATCGTTAGATAACACCGTTTTCGTTTGAATAACATCATATTTATTTTTTTTATATAGGATCAAACAGTTATGCAAAATATGAACATAAAATTGAAACATTAATAAACACATAGTTCCCTGCATTACATTTGTTAAATTGGTCAGTTGTTAAAAATATTTTAATCTGTTTGTACATTATTGTTATTTTATTATTATTATTGATATTTCAATCTGTACATAACCGAATGACGTCATAAATATGGCAGACGGTGTTTTTATGGGTGTAAAAAAATCGAATTATGATTTAATTTTAAGGTAAGAAAACGTTTTTGATTTTTTGGAATATTTTTGCTGTCGTTTATAAACACTTACAAGTACCAAGTAAGTACTTTTGCAATCAGAGTATAACACTCTATTATAAAAACCGTGACAAGTTTTCGAACGTGACTGATACGATCGCACTGCTATTTCGTAAGATGTCATTCTTTGACTTTCTTAAGATACTGGTAAATTGATTGAAATAAAATTTGTCAAGTCATTTTAGTCATTAATTTTAGTTTTTTTAAATCTACTTACGGCATCACGGACGCAAACCTTTGGCGTATGGTTTCCGTAATAATTGAAAATCGCTCCAAAATATTACTTAATTTTATTCCTGACTGAGGTTGGCATTAAAGAATTAGATGTGAATTCGGTAATCAGCATTGATTATTGTGACGTAAGTATGGTAAACGTTTTACCGTAAATTTTACAATTCAGTTCAACTCTAAGCACGGAGTTGAGGACAAGCTCGACATTCAAAGAAACGGGTGATTCTCTAGAATATCTAATCAGGACTCTGGGTCTGGGCAATCCCATTCTGAAAAGGGCAGGTTAGTGTAACTGGCCTATATGATAAAACCAGCTACGGTTCACCTCACACGGATGCAAAAGCCCAGTATCGGCATGAATATTGGAATCTAAGAACAAATTGTTGATGCAAGGGAGATCACACAACAGGATATGTCATATAGGTGTTTTCTGTGATGTATTTAAAGCTGTCAATTTTGTTGTTCATGAAATATATGTATAACGAATCTTATGAATATTATGAATTTAGAGATAACTAGTTAGATTTTGCTTTCTCTTAGTCGAGTGGCTTAGCAGGAGGTTCATTTCTTTTTTAATTTATATAGACAAATTGCCTCCTTTGGTTAAGAATAATCACGAAATAGATTTGTTTACAGTGACAATTCTGTGAAGTATAACTTCACTCTTATTTTGATTTGTGTCTACAAGAATTATCAATAAATAATAAATTAGCTTCTAAAAACAAGTTATTCTATAGCAAATGTTTCATTGTTTGGAACAAGCAAATTCATTAAATCATTGATTACTTTATGATTTATGTATTTTTATAATTAAATTAGGATAATGATGTTGCCGTCTTATTATGTACAAAGTTAATTTTAATATATTTAAAACTAAATCCAAATTATCTAATCAGAGCTTTTTGACACATTGCATTGACTGTTTCTAGAGTAGACGAAAAAACGGACAATAAACCTTAGTATTTACATGATCGTTGAAAGACAACGATACGTATCGCTAACCATAGATCTTTCCCTTTCCCGTGTTTTGTTGTACGCAACAAGGTCACAAACTTGCCCCGTACAACAATAGAGAGAACCCCGTGTCCACATCATCCTAAGGTTTACTGGTAGAAAATGGCCACGGCATTAAGTACGCCAATGTGTATTTGTGCAAAAAATGACAATAAATAAAAAAACTATTTATTGTTATGAAGTCATTTTTATCCGATGTTATAGTATAACTAGTATCTTTGAGGACCACATTATATGTTCTGGATCTTTGACTTTTGTACTCTTAGCAGAATATATTGATCAGGCACAAATTTTTTTCTTAAGGTGTCGCTGGTCTGTTGTGGTTGTGCATCAAACGTTTAAGTTTCCAAAATTAATTACACCCCATATATTGCCCAGGTATTAACAAAATAAGTTTCATACAAATATACTTAGTAGTCCCGAAAATTAACGTGTACATACCGATAAACAGACAATATTTTTTAAATTCGTATCTATTATTGTTTATAAACCACCCTCAATTTCTTTCTTTTTTTGTAAATATATTCAATGTACAGACATTATTTTTTTGCAGATTTGTTATAAGTATAAAACGTGTAACAGAAATAACGCACATCCTTATACAACCCAATTAGAAAATGGATTTATAAATAAAATTAAACATTGTTTATGACACAGTTATACTTATTGCTGGGTAACGGTGTGGACATTTTACAAATCAACACAATGACGTGAAAATTACGACTTCAGTATTTTTTAAGTTAAGGCAATAATTATAATTCTTATTTGTTATGAAAATCAGCTAGCATAGTCTTGCTATCATATATCCCATAATCCTTAGGCACTTCGATGTATTTATTAACTGTATGTTAGTATAACGAAATATAAACAAACTACTTTCAGAATGTGCGTTAATTATGTTACACGTTGTATATAGATATACAGCGGATGTAAAGTATTTAATGGCATTTAGTTCCCTGTCTGCTAATGAAATTTCACTACATACTTATATGTTTACTCATAAACTGGAAAGTAAAATTATATCTCTGCTTAGATAATAAAGGACTTAATAGGGATTCGATGGACAAAACAGTTTTTTCTCTATATTTTTAATTACAGCTACAGATGTTGTGATACATCTATATGTCATATTTTTGGTGCAAGAATATATTTTTTTATAAATCGAAGACAATTTTCTTTTAAAATAAAATACATTTTCCATGACAAAAACTATCTAAGCCAATGATAAGTTTATCTGTAAAAACTTTAGTGAATTTTCATTTAATAATTGTAATATTATGATTGTTTCGGAGTTCATAAAAAGAGTGTTTTTGGATGACTTTGCCTTCCCTACAAGCTCTTTATCCTTAATGTACTATTTAAAATATGGATAGACTTTTAAGATATTGTTTTTGAATCAGTTCGCTTTCCAGTATCAAATAAAAAATGTCTGACGGCAACTTTGAAATCATCTATATTTATGAGATTAATAAAATGATTGTGTTTTAATGGTTTTATCCTAACCGGTCAACCAGTCCTATACTTTGATGATGTGTCAGTATTACAAAATATCATTCCACCTCCATAAAAGGATCATGGCTAGAGGAAAAAATAACTTTTCTTCAAGTTATGAAAACAGGATATGTTTTATTAACTCCAGTCCAAAGATCAGGTAGAGTCCAATTCTTAAAGTATTAATTATTTTTAAATAGGCCATGAAATGTTCGACAGCAAGACAATGGTAGAAACAGGCGCGTCTACCCTATAGTCTCATAAAAACCATTCTAAAATTGCTTTTTTTCTCCTCCTCCGGCAAGTTCGACATGGATATGTGTACTAACTACAATGACTTCCAATTAATATTGCATATGGTGAATATTCGTTTACGTAAAGCCGACCTACCAAAAAATCATACAATTAAAATGTATAATGACTCTTCTTGTAATGAGAATAAGGTATGAAAGTCCATCTCAGTCAAACTCGGCGAGGATTAGGTGCCATGACGTGATATTTGGTTTATTCTGATTGGCCGACATTATCAGGTACACACAGCAGTAAGTCAGGTTACTACAGTCTATCAAATTATCGCAATTATTTTAACTCTACCTTCACTACATTAAGGTTTAAAATCGAGTGAAGAAATGTGATGTGATGTGTGGTATCATAAGTGATTTTATATAGTTATTTCATATTTCTTTAAATTTTAAATCTTTTCATTTTTCAATGCAAAGCATTTTTTTAAATATCAATGAATTAGAATAAAATTCTGAAATATGAAACAGACAAAATAATAGCATGTTATTTTGTCGACCCAAAAAGAAAAAACATACTTGTCCTTTCTAAGCCCCATAAAAATCTGGAGCAAAAAGAAATTATTCCTTTCTTTAAAAAAAATTCAGCGCCACCTATTGTATAAGCACTTTAGACAGCTAACTCAAAGCACTTGATGGTTATAAAACGTCATTGTTATTAGTACAAAGTTTATCTGCTGGCGCTTAACCGATAGGCATTTGTTATTCTTCTGAGGAACGTGCAATGAGCTAACCCACACTAGCGTAGACACCTGTAATTATGTAAGGGGGCGTGTCGAATTCTAAAAATCATTCAGTGTCCTCAGCCTCTTAATAATTAATTTTCGAAACGAAAACAAAGTAATGTTAATTTATTTAACATATACTTGATTCTAAAACAATAATGATCGTAATAAAATATATTTAACCCTTTATTTAATCAGACGCATATACGATACACAATTTCATCCAATGTACATACATAAAAAGCATGTAAATACTTAAGTATTATTCGAAATAAGGACTTATATCGAATAATGATGCATGTCTTTGTTACTTTGTTATGTACAGTCACAACTCATTAGTTATAGTGCACATTTTATGTTGCTTCCATGTCGTTATGATTTCTTCTATGTATTTTTTTTTCTGTCTTCCATTTGTTATGCTATTATTATCTACTAATTAGTAAAAATCTCAACTCGATTTTAAACCTTAATGCTTTGAATGTAGAGTTTAACGTCGCCCCAACACGAAAAGATTGACAGAGCGATATTCCTGTCCTAACATTAGTAAATTCTACTTAGATTTTAGTGCATGTTACATACAGACATGTTTGTTTCTATGTCTTGGTGGTACGCCGCAGACGCCTGCAGCTGTCGAGCCGATCGCAATTTCCTAAATCGTGTTTCTGTCTTATGTGAGATACAAAAAATATATAAATGTATTTGTCAATTCGTAGACGTAGCTAATAACTGTATAATAATTAAGCTGAGAGTAATCTAAATGATTGGTATTTTATTTTCACTATTGAAGTTTTGAAATATTTTATTGTACTTTAGTTTATAATTTATGCTCATTCTGATGCTTAATTTCTTAATTGGTTACTTGATTGATTTTAGAAAAGTTTAATAAATATTAATTTTAATCATATTAAATCACCATCAAATTTATTTTTCTCCGTAATGTGTTATTAATGCGTCACCTAAACTTTTTGTTTTAAAAAACATATTTTTATGTATTAATTTAAATCGTCCCCCGAAACAATTAGTTATGTCTGGTTGCATTCGCAATATATATGTTGACGTTTAGTTTATTGAAATGTGACGTCACACGATGCTCCTTCATGACCGCCCGCGTTTCGGTTCTTATTATTATTTATTATAACTAATTAAATAAATATTAGACAAATAAAACATACATTGCACAACCTCCAAGATGAGTAGCTTTAGCATCCATGTTATGGAGTCTCTCAGAAAACGATGATACCACAACGACCAGGTTATAAATCGCAAGCTATTAGGGTTGTAGACAATTTTTTTTTATATTATAGATGTATCTCTAAAAAACGTATTTAAAAAAAGTATCATTCATATAATAAGTCAAAATATAAAATAAATATCATTTTCATAATTTCCCGCGAAAACGCCACTTCTGTCATGGCGTCGCTATGAAGTCACAGCCTTCTGAAAGTAATATCGTACTATGTATGCATAAGGTAAGAGAGGCGCGACGTCACTCGCTGTTTGAGGTCACGTGACAACGAGCATGAAATAATTGCTTATTCATAATTAATTTAAGCAGTATAATAAGCATAATAGTGTGATTATCGGTAATAGTATATTTAATACTATTAGAAAAAAAAATTCGTTTAGTTTCTACATCCGTATTAATATACTACAATTCATTTTAAAATAAATATTACTATATGCTTGTAGTTTACATAAAAGTTACTATTTCCAACATATTTCGTGAGTTATTGTTTTAACTTTTAAGTAGCCAAAACGAAGTTAGGTTCGATAAACTATTTAAAATTTTTTGTACAATTTCAGTGTCTAAAGTTAAATAATCAGAGACAGTAAACATATCAAATTTATATTGATTAAGTAGTATGTTATGACTGCATGCTGTCAAGCACATGCAAAGTGCAACTCATTATTGTGTCAGTTTAAGATATTTACTACTCGTGCCTGGATTTGACATATGAATATTCATTATTCACATTAACATCCACTTGGGAAAATCACCTCTTCAAAAGTTGTAGTATTCACAAAAGATTTATATGAATTGAAATTTTCTGATATCATTAAATTTCTTACAGTTCATGCAACGCATGGTGTCGGCAATGTCCAATAATCAGACTAATACGCAGCAACCGCCTGAGCAACGTTACTCGCAACAATTGGAGCAACTCGCAGCAATGGGATTCCTTAACCGAGAAGCAAACTTGCAAGGTAAAACTACTTCTAAACTCTAAAAATAATATTACCCATCGATATAAATACCTGTTTAGGATTCCATAAATAAAAAACACATTTTGTCACATTTGATTTAGCTCAATCAATACTATTAGACCGATTGAGTTGAAAAGAGACAGACAAACTATGGTTTCATTTTATGCCAGTAAAATTGATGTTGAAAAATAAGTTTCATATTTTACCAAACCATCAAAAATATCGAGCCACAAGTTGGTCGGAAAACAATTCAAATAGACAAAAGGAATTAAGTGATTGAACTTTTAACATTGCCTTGCAGAGTTGCTAGTATTAAATTTATATACCAACTTTTCGAATTCATATTTTATACATCGATACTCCTATACAATAAGAGAGAACTTGTAATGGGTATATTGTTTCGTTCAAAAATTATTAACCACATCTTATCTTAATGCACAATTGATATAATAATGACTTAATTTCGTAAGTTGTTTCTCACTAACCTGGTGAACTAGAGGTAAAATGTGTTGTGAATAACAATCATAAAACATGCTTAAAATATTAAAAAAATGTATCAAGTTTCATGAATGTACGGCGTCATACAATTAAAAACTGAAGTCAACTTCTTAAGCAATCGCCTTATAAAATTTATATTCAAAAAATAATATTTCTTTATCTATGTATTTCAGAAAAAAAAAACCTTTAAAAACTATAAGGCACCCTTAGTGCACGCGCCTGACTTTTTCTTTTGTTTTGTTTTATTTGACTGTGGATATAAACCAAATACCTACATATTTCTTGATCTGGCTATGGAGTCTATAAAATTGGTGCTTCGATAATATGAAAGTAGTCAACACATATATATAATGCATTTATTCTCTCAATATTTCAGCGTTGATCGCGACTTTCGGTGACGTGAACGCAGCGGTGGAAAGGCTACTTGCGCTCGGCCAATTGTCTATGAGCTAACACTCATGCGCATAGACGTGTATCCCAAATGCCGCAGCTCACTACGTCACTGACCGCAAAACATATGACTAGGAGCCGTATCAATAAAACAACCTTATCAATAACGACAGAAAAAAAGTGTGATTTCTACTGTTCGGTACCTGCTCTGTAGACGGGTAGCAAAAATGTTTGTGTGTTATATTTGCTTTTTTGCTATTAATTTTTTTCAACCGCAGTACAACAATGACAAATACTATCAGAGCCGTCAAATACTGATGCCATATTAAGACTTCAGAAATCTCACAACATGTGTCCTTTAAGTTTTTATAAAATAAAATTGGTTAGATAAGATGTTAATGGTTAGATACCAGTTTAAATAAAAATGTATTAATGACTCGATTTACCACATATTGCCGACCAGTAGAACATTCGAGTTCCGTGAAACAATAATACATCACACATTGATAATATACATCTTTCTGTCATTTCTACACTATACCATCCAGTGTATTCATGCGAACCTAATTTTGAAAATCTTATTGTTCAATTTAAATAGTGTTCAGTAACGTAGCGAGTAAGTGGTTGTCTGAAAATATTTGGACATGTAAAACACATCTTTAAATTCCTGATGACTTCGAGCGAGGAAACGTAATTCTTGTAATAAAATGTTTTTCTATTCTGTAATTTCGATTCCATTCCTTCTTGTTTTATACAAATTTAAAAGGTATACTTACATTTATTATTTCTATTGTAAAGAAACATATATTTCCATGGTTAATTATACATATTCATAAATACATCGTGGGCGACTATTAGAAGAGGAGAACATTGCAGTAGGTTAAGGTGGGGAGGTCATGATCGATTCACAAATGGGGAATTTTTTGATGTAATGTAATTATATACATTGACAGCAGTGTAAGTTTTATTATCGCTTCATATATTTTATTGTCTCCTTTAATATTAATTTATAGATTGACTGACTATAGTATCGTATTCGTGACTCCTACCGTACCTCGGCCTATAGAATCATGTAAATAGTTTTGCTTTGGAACAACAATACGATTTCACTAGCGTTTGAATTTCAAGTATGAACTCGATTCAAACATTAATGGAGGTGCTCTTTTGCATAAGTCATATGTGACTATGGTTTGCGCCTAAAGTGTTAGTTCAAATATTTTATTTTCACTGGGCATAAGTCGTGTAAAAATTACGCTAAAAAGTATACTATGTCATATTTCTTGAATAAATTGCAGTGTTCTAAGTTATGCATATTATGCATACAAATTTTAATTTGTGGCGGTTAAATATTATTTTTAATCAGAGGTTTTGTTTCTAGCTTAATATAGTGGTTTTTATAGTAATTAATTAAATTTAAGTTGTAAAAAATATGAACGACTACTGTTTTAGGGAAATATGTTCATTTACCCAGACTTGATCACAGGAACACCTTTCCTTGTTATATATAATGCATTAATAAGGAATCACTTTATGTAACGTATAGCAATGATCATTGGTGCGTACTCGAAGTAGGCATTTTTGTGAAAGTTAGTGTTATAAAATTGTAATACACTGTGTGCAAATTTTTCATACACATTTTTGTGCTAAAATATGAGCCGATGTAAAACAAATACAATTGCTAGATGCCTCATCATAGTTCACGCCTTAACATAAGTTTCTTGATGTTACAATATGTACCTTTTTCAATATCCTAGAGACTTCTAATTCCCTGGCATTTTAATATATTATTTATAAACTTGCAAAAAGGCGTGCTGTGATGTAGTCTAGATTGCTAGAATTGTCTGAAATTGTATGAATCTGGGTGTATTATTATGTGACGGAATGCAATTATTATAATTAAACCAAAACTGGTTGTTTTATTTATTATTATTGTTCATAGGTATTCTGGTTTTAAAAATGCCGTATACCTCGTGTGTTCATATGTTTTGAGACGAAATAAAAGTTATGTAACTTTTTTAATAATTAACTTGTATTTCTAAAATGCTCACTAAGCATTAAATTTATAATTATCAACAATAAAATATATATTTTGAACAAAATATAAATTTGTATTGTTGATAATTGTTTAATATATATATATTTAATATATAATTTATATTTCATTTATATATATATATAAATTAATAATATATATTTTATTGTTGATAAAACAGGCCCTTAGACGATTTGGTCAGTATTAATGGCGGCACGAACCTTTTCTAGCGGAATTCGCTTTGCTTCTCGAACAAGAGTTCGCTTCAGTGACTCGCAAGTTTGGACCTGCCGAAAGTCCCAACTTTCGGCAGGACCTGAGCTCTAATTCAGTCCGTAAAGAATAATCCAGCGGGTTGCGGTCCGGGCTGGAGGAGGGTCACTCGTCCACCACGATGAGGGCCAGCACATTCTCCTTCAACCAAGCTTGGGTGCTTTTTGCCATTTGGGATGGAGCAATCTTGCTGAAAAATCCAATCCTTTTTGTGAAATAACGTATCAGACAGGGGTTTCACCACAAGTTCGTAAATGTCACTGATCATTCTTGGCTTTCACCTTGTCATCTTGTTGGCAGAAATGGAGCGGAGTGACACCATACGAAACTCCCCACCATACCATCACACTAGTTGGATGAGTAGTGCGCGAGACATTCCGTGCAGAAGCTGGAACGTACTCGCTACTTTTAACGTACACTTTATTGTTTTGTCGGTTGAATTTTTCTTCGACAGTAAAAATTATCTCATTGGCGAAGAGTATCTTCCTGGCATCATGTCTTCTCAGCAGCACTGGACAACGTTCGCATCTTAACTTACGAAGACGATCGTTTAAAAAGTGAACTTTTCTACGGCTATAGGCCTTTACCTTAAGATCGTATTTCAGTATTCTGATCACTAAAACGCGCGAAATATTAGTCTTCAGAGCGAGTTTCTTCTGAGTGCGATTTCCGCGAAATCGCTCTTGGATAATTTTGATGTGAGCAGACGTCCTCACAGAGCGTGACCGAGCATTCCTTTGGCAATCTTGTAGAGAACTTGTCTCTTCGTACTGCTTTATTGTGTAATAGACGAAGTTACGGCTTACAGGAAAACATTACAGCTCACGGAAAATCTGAAAATCGATTTTTTTTTCCGCCTTAAATAGCAATATGACTGACAGTTGCACGTAATGAGGAAGTATTCCCTCAATTACGAGAAAATATAAACAAATGATTTTGCGTTACAAACAAATAAACTTAAAGTAACTAACCATTCCAAATTCAAAATCGGTTAAAAAAAAAAACAGCCAGTAGTTACATTTTATTTTATTTTTTCAGTAAAAAGTATGTCTCAAAACTTATGAACACGCGAGGTAATATATGACTCTATAAGTGATATATATGAATATCATTGTACCAATTTATTGTAAACACGGCCCAAATTTTAACTGTCCGTCCGTCTCAAAAACCGTTATAGTTAGATAGTTGAAATTTTCACAGCTTATAGTATAGATAATGGTATGGAACCCTTGGTGCGCTAGTCCTACTCGCATTTCGCTGTTTTTTTCTGTTGCTTCATCTTTTAATAGGTAATTTTTGTTAAATTTTGGTATTTGCTTTCATTTAAAATAATTATTTGAATCGAAAAATACCGTGACGTAAAAATTAAAGCATAAAAAAATAACATTCGCGCAAAACCGGTCACACAATAGGTCGACAGAAGTGACGTCATCAAATCTTTTGCGTTATTTTTGCATTTACTGTCATTTTATATAATTTTAAAGTATAAAACTCAAGAAAAAGTAATACATTAAAATGAACAAAGATATTCATAGACAAAGATATTCAACAAAGATAACATGGATTTTAGGTCATAAAATCACACGATAATCAATAATGTATTAAAGTTTAGATGGATTATCTGCGCACAACATTGATTACAAGAAAGCAAGGCAATTGCCTGAGTTTCACTTTAGCCACGTTACAGCAGGCGTCGTGGCTAATGTCATTTTTACACGTAATTATCCTTTGAAAAGTTGTAGAAAAAATGCCTTCCTGCGTGTTTTAAACAATGCACAAATTACACATGCGAAAAGTAAACAACGGTTGCGCTTAACTCATTCTTTCGACTCTATAAGATTGGCTATTTCCAACTACAACCTGATTTTCCAAAACTAGCGGAAGATTTTCATAAGCCATTTACACCGATCAAATTAATATGACCTAATAAAAATGCAAACATTAAAGACATTATTAATAAGTAGCTGTTAACTAGCTAGTTACTAACAGTAAAATATTTGTCTTTCCTTTAAAAAAAAAAAAAAATTCATGAAAATGATTTATCATAGAAGTGATCATTATTAGACACGTGCTTTTCTAGTTTCTAGCTACACAACTCAAAAAAAAATTGTCACCTGTTTTGTGTCTGTTCTCTGCTCGCCTGAATTTTATTGATTGAACAGATTATTATATTAGGGATGACGACTGAGTAAAAAAAGAAATTCTGTTTAGTCCGTCAGACAGATAATATTAAAATATAATACCTATACGTAATTTTTTTTGAGACCGCTGGAGATATTTTAACAGAGTGCAATATCCTCAGCAAAATCTACAGTCAATCTGCCTCGAAGCCTACAGTCTTAAAAGCATTGCTAAAATCAAGTAAGGATAAAACCGCGCCATTTCAATTTTCCATGCAGCCGTTGGTGGACTTGTAATAAAAACGCTGGTATAATGTAGAGGTTTATTTATAACCGAGATGCGTGCGACTAGTAAGATGTACAGCAAAAGAATTTTTTTTCGGTTCTCAACCTTAGGGGTTCGGAACCACCTTCCCAACGGAGGAAGGAGGCGGGGAATACTTCGACATCGAGATGTTAGCCGTTAACCCCGGCGGGCTCAGCTCATCGGATTGAAATACAGCTGACTCCCTGAAGGGGAAAGATCAGCCAGATCGGACGGGGGTTTGACCTGAAGGATCGGGGTATGGAGGGAGGGGAGCATCCTGAGGGGATGGCAGGTCGAGAGGGCAGAGAGAGGGTTGACCTGAGGGGTCAGGGGTGATGGGAGCGGAATTGGCCTACTGGATCACGTGAGGAGGTCCAGATCATTACATTTGAAATCAAAAGAGTGACAAACCGGATACTGGGTTCAGAAATAAATATGAATCGTATCCTTGCAGTCTTTGAGTAAACCGAAAGCTGTATTCCTACAAAGTAATATCAAATATGGTCAAGTCCACAGGAAAGAGGTGACCTATAGAATATATTATCAACAAAGATAAGCTGAATGCTTTATATCCCTTAGCTTGTAAAAAAGTATTATATTTTTTGACACTCACAGTCTGTGGTTGCAGGTACATACCGTTGTGGTTTGATTTGGGTTTGATATGTAGTATCTCCTTACTAGTCTGTGGTTTGTCGTGTAAATAAATGGTAAAATAGGTACTGAATTGAATAGTTTCTTTAACGGAGAAACTTGTGTAATATTTAAAATACTATGGCATAAATGATATTTCAAATAGTTATTTTTAATAATGTCTTCGTCCAGTTCAAACACTTCACAAATTTACTATGAAGATATTCCACCGGGAACTCTCAATGAAGAAGAATTCATATGTACTGAAAGAATCGTTCCAAGAAAAATAAAACCACAAAACATTGTAATGAGGTTAATGGACAGAGAAATATATGGTTCTCGAAAACCAGGTTCCCATTTTCATGTCGTTCGAGAGTTTTACCAAAATGTATTTCCAAATTTGACTATTGTTAATGTCGAGAAACCACCTTGCTTTTTGAGAAAGTTTAGTCCCGATGGAAAGAATTTTATAGCTTTTTCAGCTGACCAGACATCATTAGAGGTAGCCAATAAATTTATTTAAATATCGGAAGACATATCTTTCAGTGTATAACATTATTTAAATTATTTTAAAATGTTTATAGCTTAGCAAATTATTTTCAGATATATGAATATAAAGGTGCTGCAGCTGCTGGTGATCTAGTGGCTGGATATCCTTCTGATTTATTAAAGACTGATGCAGATGCACATCACAGAATACGGACACACATATTTTACAGATTTTTTAAGGTAACTTTATTTATGGTTTCTTATTTTATTTGTAAATTAACAGATAAGGATAGTTGACATTATTAAATGTTCATTATTATCTCTAAATATCATGAGTAATGGATACAAGGGAATTTTCAAAGTTATTACAAAATAACTTTTTCTGAGTTTCTAATAGTTATTGCTTAGTTTTTCTGTTAAAGTTCAAAGTTTTGCACTATCTTCCTCCATGTATATTTATGACTAAATTTAAATTTGTAGCCTAAATTCACTGTTAATGTATGTCAACAAAGAGATAACCTAAGACCAGAATCAAATCCTGGTCAAATGCCTTTCATGGAACAACAGTTGAATAGAGAATGCAGCTTATTTACAGAAGATGGTAGATATGTGATTGTTGGCTCTGCTGCACATATACCAGATGATTTGAGACCACATTTCTATCACATACACAGCAACAATGAGGCAGTCACACCCACAATAAGGTAAATAATGAGCTAATAATGATAAAGTTTAAAAATAAGAATAGTGTGTTTACTGTAACTCATTCATTTAATGTAATTATAAAAACAATGATAATGGTTCTTATTAAATTAAAATTTGCTTTAACATTATTCTGCTATCATATGTATTCAGAGATACAGAATTATGCTTATATATACCATATGTTGTCTCAGTATATTTTATAAATTATGCATTCATAATGTATGTATGTCATTTTGTTCTATAAATTGACTTCAGCTGACTTAGTTGTTAAAAGAATTGTAAACACAGTTTCATCCACATCTTTAGCTCTATAGTGACCTAAATTATCATTCCGCATAGTAAGATTAAGAAAACTATTTTGTAATATTTTTGTTTATTTTAGATCAGCTTTAGAAGACTACTCATTGCATTTAGTTGATTTACATCATGGGAAACTTTGTGATACAAAACATTTCAGGATTGACAAAATTTATCTCTCACACAACCAAGGCATCTATTTATACAAAGAAGTCTTAGCAGTACTCTCTGTACAACATCAAACTATACATTTGTTTCAAATTGTTGATGGAATGCTAATAGAAATACGAAAAATTGGCAGATTTTGCTATGACGATGATCCATTACTGGTAAATTCAGTGTTTACCCCAAAAGGAAACGAAAGGCCTTTTCATGAAGAAACAATAAACAGTTTAAAACATAGACTGCTTGTGTTCCTTTTTAAGAGGGCTAAGAAAATAAGTGATGAATCTGGTGATCCTCTTGAGTTAAGAAAATTTTATAAATATTTTGATATGTTTAAAAGTTTACGTATGTGGAAGATGCAGCTTTTAGATGAAGACCATCTTTTTATCAAGTATGCAAGTGAAGAAGTTGTGACACTGAGAGTTGCTGAACCAAACAGTCAATCATCTTTCTTTGTTATTTATAACATAAGTGAAAGTAAAATTCTAGAGGTTTATGAAAATACATCTGAAGGATTACTACAACTCTTTGAAAACTACTGTGATTGCTTTAGAAATGCAAGATTACGTGCAGACTCACAATTCACATGTTCTCCTTCCAACAATTTATATGCAAGACTAACACAACAAAGATTCAAACAGACAATAGTGCGAGCAATCTATGGTGGTTGTACAGAAGCTACTAAGAGAATTTTGGCACAATTACCAATAAGTGCTCAGTCATATAGTGGGTCACCTTATCTAGATTTAGGTTTGTTTAGTTATGATGACAAATGGGTATCTGTTATGGAAAGACCAAAGGCATATGGAGAATATCCTATAAGGTATGCTCTTCAAATTTTTTTTTATTTCTTCATCTTCTTCAACTTCTTTGGATGTTTGCCATTTTGGAAATTAAGAGATAGATTTTATATTTCTAAGTAGTTGCGTCCACGTTAGCCGCCTGGTGTGTATCTAAGCGTATCAATTAATCGTTAATGATTGATTAATGTAGAATGTTATACTCGTTGACAACATCCGTGACTGAATGACTCGTATGCTAGTTTATAGGTGTCAGCTGGTTCTCAGGTCAATATAGAAAATGAACTATTCTAAATAATAACTTGTTTCTAGATAATATGTAATTAATTAATCCCTTTGTTTCCAGATTTTATGCACGTGACTCTGGTTTATTAAAATTCAAAATTTACGCTGGAGTAATGGGCCAGTCAGTACCTGCACATGCGCGCCGGCTGGTTGCATTCACATTCCACCCCACGGATCCATTCGCCATTAGCGTCCAGAGAACCAACTCTGAATATATTGTCAACTTCCATATTAGGAATGCAGTGTTCAGTTGATATTATGAGAAATACTAATTTTTTATTGTACTTATATAATTGTGTAAATATTATTACTAAGTAAAGTTGCTACCATGTAGTAAACATTGATTTTATCGTAGTCATCTGACAATAACACTGACTAATAAATAATATGATCAAATTCAAAATTGCTGTTTTAGAACTTGTATGGTTTAACAATATACCCTACATGAAATCGGTGCAATTTTTTTAATAATGTGTTGCTTACCGTAAATCATATTCAATTTGTTTTCCTCTTTTTGTGACCTACTAAAATCGAGAATAAAGATATTTATCCTCGATTTTAGTACCTGTTATATCTATAATGTAAGTACTAGTAGTTCCACCGCAACAGAAGAACTGAATGATCTGTTAGGCTGACAGATCAGAGGAGCGACCACCAAACTCTCGCCGCTATAACTCTAGGCGTAGCACCGATAAACGTATAAAAGATATACGATATAAAAGTTGTCGATTTTAAGAATTAATATTTATATCTTTTGTAACAATATGTTTATTGTTATTTATATATTAATTCACTCATTATAGTTTATTTCAATTTTCGAAAAAGCTTAGTTTACATTTCAGAAAACTATAACAACCAAAACCATTGATTATAGGTTTATGTAAAATATTAACAAGGAAAAATTCGTCAGTCCTGTTAGATCCTGGCTAGATCAGTGATAAGAGTTATGGGTTCGAGTCCTATCTTAAAGTGCCAGTGACAAAGTGGATATTTTAAGCATTTTTATAATAGATTAAATATAAAAATTACATTGTTATTGATATTTAATCAATAATAAGTTTTTACAGTTATGGCTAGTTATAGCGAGAGTTAAATCAAAAAATAATGCAACGTAACAAAAGCTCCATGATGTAGGGGAGACCGAGGGGATTTGAAACAAAGGTGAGTTGAAACAGTACCAATTTCTCGGAACTTAAAACCGTTAGCGGGTTAGCAACTTCGCCTTATAACTATTTTTCTCCAGTTGGGAGGTGGGAGTTCACGTCGGTGGTGTGCATCGCGCGGTTGTGGAGTTCTGTCAGTCGTATGTCAAAAATCGTAAAAAGTAAGTTTTTTAGGCTTATTTATGATGTTTATATTTTTATATAGGTTTTGTATTTTGGTTTAAGTTATATGTGTTTCGAAAGCCCTTTCACTAAAGATTCATTGTATATGTTTGGTACTGTTGATTTCTATGTATTTGCTTCTTCATTGTGTTAGATTAGATTAAATAAAAATGAGAGGTTTTATTTCTACTGAGGAGATTTTAAACAGACTGTTTCAACTCTCTTCGGTCTCCTCTACATAGATAACATGAGATATTGGAAAATGGCTGCAAAGCAGAAAAATGCCAGAGCATACACTTCACGAATGTTGCACACAGCGTGACGGGTAGTAACGCTCCTAATTAATGTCTATGATAACTTACTTTATTTATTTTGTTTTAGAATGCCAACTTATTATAAAATAAAGACTGACAGGGGTATGGCAAGTCGCGAAATAAATCTCGCAGCAGAAGAAGTAATTTTGCGCCAGAAAAGTGTCCGTGACGCGGTTTCGAGTTATAATCTGAACCATACATCTCTCTGCAGGTATATTAAAAAAAATGCTTATGAAGGCAACGAAACGGCAACTGCTCCTAGAGTTGGATATCCTGAAAAGACTGTTTTAACAGCTTCAGAGGAGAAGGCAATCTTTTAAACTGCGCTGCTGTTAACTTTGGCCTAAGAACTAAAGAAGCCAGAACTTTTGCCTATAAATTGGCTGTAAATATATAAAAAATATAATAAAAAAATCCCTTCTGCTTGGACTGCTTTGGCTTCGATCATTTATGAAACGGCATCCTGTTCTTTCACTTAGACTACCTCAACCTACAACTATCGCTCGAGCTACAAGTTTAACAGATCAAATGAACAACTTTTTTTCCAAAATTATACCACAGGGTTACAAGGGAAGGATATATGGAAAGTTGATGAATCAGGTATCACAACAGTTCAGAAACCAGACCGCATCATTGTAATACTTAAGAAATTACTGAAAATTAATAACTATTGTATGTTAAAGATTGAGGAAGATCCTTTTTATTTAAGTTGAAGGTGTAATTCTCCTTTAAGAGTTAAATATATTTATGAGACCTGTAGTTACATACTTGACTGATATATCAGTACAAAATCCTTATATAAAAAGTTGTTACACACTAAAAAAGTTTTATTTGAATAAATACCTTGAAATTATATCATCTTTTTTATTTTACATCTCTTAATGCTTCTCAAAAATCATATGTTTCAACTCTCCTCGTTCCCTGTTTCATTTTACCTCGGTATGAGGAGAGTTGAAACAAATTGACTTGTTACGGTTAAGTCGATGTCTACCACAATATTTAACGTTTACAACTACTTTACGTTAGTCATTCGCAGGTGTAAATAATTACCTTTCGATTGGTACTAATATCATACGATTTCTGTCTAAAGCATTTGATGTATGAAATAAAATGTCAAAATTGTTTTAACTCCCCTCGGTCTCCCCTACAATTTTATAAGAAAACGTCACAGAATCACTTCAACAAGGAAGAAATAAATAGCAGCTTGCATCAAATTCGCACTTGTGCAAATAGTGATAGATTTATGTTTTCTATGCATAGTGATTGTGTTCTGTGCTATGCATATAATAGAAATAGAACTGCGCCGTCCCATCTGTTCCTGCAGTGTTTTAGAGGCCCAGGTCTAATAATCGTAAAAATGGGTAACTTGAAATGTGTTTCTAAATATTTTAATAAACGTTGAACAATTTTCAGTGGATATTCGTTGATAAAGTGCGGTCCTAATATTTTACAGATACATTTCCCGCTTCGACCCAGCGCCTCCTCTGTCACCAGATATTTATCGTCGCACACCTCGCACACATTACAACAAAAAAGAAATTGATCCATAGACGTAGGTATATTGATCAAAGAGAATTGAAACCTTTGATTGAAATATGATCTTGATTTTGTCAAATCCGATAAACATTTTACAATGAACGATTCTTTCCAATCCTTAACGTAAATTATATTATACCAAATGAACTCTCCCTAATATCATGTAAGCTAAACAGTTTAAAAATAGATCTCCAGCAATGCAGTGCGACCCGATGTTCTGTGGTACTGGGTATCCAAATTACATGTTCCATCCTTGCCCTATTCGTTAGTATGAATTATAACTACTTACGATCTGCGACCGGGCGGCGTCGGAGAGCATTTCATACTGCTAAAGGAAACTCTGACTTCTGTTTTAGAGTCCATCCGCTCGGATTTTAGCAGATGTAGATATCGGCTAACGCGCTCAGCTACTGACGCGTGCTCCACCCTGGGGTGCGACCGCCTCACTCTTCAGTAATATATTATGTTTTATTTTATTATTTGATAGACGTATTTATTATATGTGGAATACTGATTATGGATGCAGTGTTACAAATTTAAAAAGACACGTCGATGTTGTAAAATGAAACTAAATGGCTAGAATTAGGTTGTTGCACCTCTGATACGCTGTGCCGCTCCGTTGCCGCCCGTTTAGTGGAGACCATACATATATCGGTAAAATAAAGATGGCAGTATCGGTGAAATAAATATTTTGCAGCTTATCCACATCATCCAACATGCCCCGAAATAATAGGAGAAGGAGAAATAGCTTCAGTGATTTCTTCCGATGGAAGTTTACACTTTTACTTCCTCCCTACAAATAAGTGCAATTTTTCATTCAATAACCCTAATAGTTATGTTTGTCATCCCTGGCGGAACAACGCAGGTGGAGTGTTCTACGTCAGAAGTATATCAAATCCGTAAGTGTTCGAAAGGTGTTTATAAATAAATATATATATTAATAACTAATCAAATAATAGACAACATTGCTCAGATCTATAGCATTTCTATTATGGAAATCTGTAATATGAAAAGTCCACCACATCCAAGCCCGATACAACATAGAAAACTTTGAACATAGACAGATGGCGATAACTTAAAATCGGCGTAAAATAGAGCAAGCTCATTTAATATCATGAGAATTGGATACTGCCTAACTATTCTCAATTTTACCAATTAGCCAATCTTTTACCCTGCGATTTATGGAATTCCTAACCAGAGAACGCTGGAATCTTTCAAATATAGTTGCGTAGTTTTCTATAAATGTATACGAAGAAATTACGTCTAATTTTGACTTAAAAATTTACTAATGCGTCTAATGATAATATATCACAAAATTGTAGCTTATTTTTTACTTATTTCATATCAGGAAATTAAAATTAAGTCTGTATAAAATATTCGAAGCTATTCTATTTTTAAAGTAGTTTCACAGATACCCCGAGTTTTGACAGCTGTTGTAACCTTAAAATATTATTTTCAAATTACGAATCTCCTGGTCTCCAGATGAAAAGATCATCATCATCATCATCAGCCCTTTTACGTCCCCACTGCAGGGGCTCAGCCTTCCTTATGGATGGCTAAGGAGTATGGGCCATGACCCTCCACGCTGGCCCAATGCGGATTGGAGGGATGAAAGATGCTAACATATTATTATATTTAAAGCAAAAACTAATTTGAATTACCACTAGTGGTGGGTAGACGCGCCCTTTATAAAAAAACACGTGACAAGTCAATCAGTGTCTGGAAAGTGGGAATGATTCTTTGCCTTGTTATTATCCTAAGCATTGTATAATTATTTATTATTATTGTAATACTAATGTTATTTAATTTATTTGTAGTGCGGTCAACCTACATTAAATATCATTGCTTCTACCAGTATTGGTTAACTTGAAGAAATCGTTGTTAAGGGACAAGGCCGCCTATTGTGCACATAATTTTACGTTTGTAATGTCATTCTTTATTGATCCCTGTTATGTGTTGTACAATAAAGTGTTTTTATCGTATTGTCAGTAAAATTCTGAGGAAACTTAATAACCTGGCGATTGGACTGAAGGCATTCATGCATCGGTTATATAGTTGCCCGTTTTCACTAAACTTAGAAGTCGCCTAAATATTTAGAAATTGCCTAAGGCAAAAATGCATTTTACCATTGACTAGGAACAACCTAACGAAATTAAGCAATGTCTAAAGTTATGATATTCGTTATGCGGCGCGTTGCGCTAGATATTAACTATTAGGCCATTCCTAGTTCAACTATGCCAGATATGGGTGTCAGAATCTCAATTTATGTTTTACTTCAGGATGTCGTCAGCCGCATTCAATCAGCAGTACCAAAAAATTTATGGATACTGTACAAAACCATGCGCATTTTCAGAATGCAATTCAAGCGGATCTCAATCTGGCTTTAAACTGAAGGTAGATAACTGTAGTAACGTATTCAATTATGACAATAACCGTCAGTTCATATTCACTTTCAATAATGATGTCGGAATTATATTCAGATTACGCAAATTACAATTTTCAATTTCTAGTTTCATAACGATGGTTCGACGTCGACAACAGATCTTCACTATTTTTCGTCACGTTTACATCATTGCGAGTGGCATCCTATAACATCGTCAGTGGTATGTGCATCTGTACAAACGGATATACCCCCAGGGACTACTGCTCCCTGTCCAACTGTATGTGCCAATCATTGTTTTTGTTCACATGATTCCAAAAGAAATGCAAGATCTTCAGAGATCGATATTGGTGAAGAATGCAGTTGTGATAAAGTGCATAGAAATCGAAGTGAAGCCTCGATGTCAAGTGCTAAAACGAGTTCAAAAGCTAAGCGAGGATTAAAGAAAAAGAATAGTCTCTGCAAAAATAACCACCAAAAAAGATCTGCTAAAAAAACCAGTAAAGTTGAATGTGAATGTCGGAAACCCAATACGACAGACAAGTCCGTGACAACCTACACCGATCAAGCGAGTAATTGCATCGCTGAGGAACGTAAAACCCAAACATCACCATCAAAATGTACTATGTCTTCCTTCAGTAGCAGTCTCAACAAGCACACGATGAGTAAAGATGGATTAGCAACCGAATTATGGTTTCCCAAATCTCCCCCGCGACGTAAATCAGTAGACGTAACCACTCCTGAGAAAATAATAGGAGTTTATGAGACCGATTGCAGTTCAGATTCATGTTGCTGCTCAGCTACGGACACGGACGCCCGTGGCGATTGACATTTTGAGTAAAACAAAGTTATGGTTTTGGAATTATATTTTGCTATCATACAGTTTATCCCTTAACATACACGTATTTACATTGGAGAACATAATGAGAAATATAATACAGTAGTAAACAAAACAATTTTTCAATTTCAGTATAAGTAGATGAGATTTTAGTTTTCTTACATCGAGAACTATGGAAAAAGTCAACAATATACCGTCAAAACAATAATGCTTAGACTCACTCACTGAACGAAACTCATATCAGACTAGTGCGCCGTTTATCGACTGCGTTTTAATTACGAACAAACAAATTATGAAAAGTTAGGAAGACAAATGAAAACAATGAGGTGATTAATTTCAATATAAGCTTTGGCAGAAAAGAAATTACGTTAATCAATAACTCATTTCTAATCATTTTTCAAATGGTACATACATAAATAATTCGTAAAAACAATTCAACACTTAAAACTAGTATTGCATAAGAATACATTATACAAACGGACATTTCTTTCAGAATATAAGTCTTTGAAATACTTTTTAGAAAAATAATTAATGAAAAATCCATAATGTTGTCTCATACGCATAAAGTCTGGTTGTAGTACATGTTCAGATACTAAGTTGCGTTCAAAGTATTAGTGACCTATTTGAAGAAAATTTAGTTGTGAAGGAGTCACTTAGTCGTCATTACTTATTTAAATCCATTAAGTTTCTTTTTACAACAAAAGTTACAAAAGATATAAATATTAAACAAGCCTTTTTATGTTCAGTTCAATTTCGTTTTTCAGCTAAATTTGCCTATATCTAGAACGATTCCAGCCCTAAACAAGTAAAGATACTACAACCCGACTTTATTATTTATTGGCCCGACTCGTCAGCAACATTTGTAATAAATAAGCATCCACAGTCAACTTATGTGGTCAACTTAATAAATTACAACAAAATTCAGGCCCTTTAGTCAATAAACATTATTAACCAGTCATATTACAAATAAACCAACTGGACACCATAAAACAAATATCTTCATAAACTCTTGTTATAGAAAGTTATATTTACACATAAATAGACATTCTTAAAAATATATATTAGACAATCTTCATAGTAAATTATGCTACACACACTATTCCAGCATATCATAAGACAACATTAAATCACACCCATTCTCATTTAAAATTTGAAATGAAAATATAATTAATTTATTTTATACTTCTGTGCCTTTGACAACTACATATATCAATAACTTAATACATTACAACTCTTAAATGGAATATTAAATTTCACAATTCTCTATTTGAGATTCATCAGTTTTAAATTCTACCCCTGCCACAATATAAAAAATATATAGATTTCCTATTATTTCATGAAACTAAAAGTTTTGTGAAAATCTAATAACTATGATCTGTTTTACAATCCGTGACCCAATTTCATCATCAAATTATCTTTTCAGCAAAAAATAAAAAGATATTTTTATTAATAATAGTTTTTAATACGTATTTCACATAATTATATTGTGACAGTAGCGAACAAAAACACGATTGTCATGTTATATAAAGTACATACATATAAGATATATGCTCGTAAATTAATCATAATTCCATTAACTATTACATTTGAAACATTCCAAATGTAACTATTATCATAGTAACATTTTAAATTGCATAATAGCACACAACCTGAAAGTTGGCTTTAACAACTTTTTCTTTTGTTACATCTAATCACATATAAAATGAAGTGCAATTATAATGCATTACAATCAATGCTACATGAGCTAAAATGCAATAATTTTATGCTATATCAGACTTTGAAGTCCATATTATAGGAATGAACATTTTTTCACATTGAAATTCAGCTGCATTCACACAACCATTTAGTTCAGGTTGGTAAATACAAAAAGTCAATAAATGTATGGGACTCCATCAAGTACGTTATACTTGGAACTCCATCATGTGGTTTTGCATTAATTTTAATACTTTTTGAATATTTGGCTCTTTGATAAATTTTAATTTACACAAAATTATGTACTCGCTAGCTTAACATCGATGTATTCAGCTGTAGGCAGACATAGTATATATGCAATTGTATGGTACTAACTGCAAATATGCAATTGTATGGAAATTAATATTGTACCTGTATGGGATCTTAATTTATTTTCCTAAGTTACATTACTATAAGTAAACTCATTTTTTACCCTTATATGTTAGAAGTTAAAAACGAGAATGTGTTTCAGGCAACCTATTGAAACAGAACTATAATAATGTTAACTTATTACAAGTTAAACTGTTTCATTGTGCTTTATATGTTTCATTATATTTATATTAACAAAATTAATAGAAATACATTTTTTCCTTCTTGATTATTTAAAATTTGACGTTTTCATTATCAGTCACCTTACGTCTTTAAATAATATGCAAATAAAAATTATGTTATAATACAATGAATATTACAAACTTTACTTTGACTAGACAGTACTATAGTACCGACGTACGGCTATTGGCCATATTGGGTGGATTTTTAAGATAATATATAAAAGATATTCATTAAAATTAAGACCTAAATTATACGGGGCATTTAATGACTTAGCACGTCAATATTATTTTTGTCTAATACCGTGTTTATAATTTTTAGCTAAATATAATTTGTTCACATTAAAAATATCACTGGTCTACTTAATTTTAGTTTAATGTCGATTAATCTTTTAAGAATATAACGTTCAATTAATGGTTTCCATTGGTAAAACTTGTATTTAGAATCTAGGAGTTAGCGAGCTGGATATCTCCTTTTGTGACGTAATACCCGGACCATGTCCAGACGGGGCAAATTCGCTGCGAACCCAGATGCAAATTCAATTTTTCAAACATTTTATTTATTTGTAATGCTATTCGTAACCAAAGAGTAACGCATAACGAAAGGCGAAATATTTTACTTTGCAAAAGTACAAGTATTAAATTGATTAAATAGCCATGATTTTTTTTTTCCGTAAAATAAACTTTCATGTCTTAAAATTAAATCAATTTTTTAACTTTTTCATATCTGGGATATTTATGTCGTCATTCTGATATGTACAGTCAATTGCATGACAGACTACACAAAACTGTCAAATTTCACCATTCGATTTTAAACCTTAATGTATTGAGGTTAGACGTCCAAATACATCACAGAAATTTGAGTTAAAATCAGAATAGTTTTTGAGCAATTTCGTGACTCATTTTATCGAAACTACCCTACTCGCGCGTAGTAATCGGCAGTGTTATTTGTCCGTTATCGTGTATTGGTCATACGTCCGTTGGTTAACACAGCGGCGGATAAGACAGTTCGGTGTCGTTTGAACCTAGACGCTCCTAGATACTAGGGACAAACATGATTCATCTCTAACTAAATAGTAATTATGTCAGGAAGTATAAAGAGACACGTGAAAAACACGTAGCGTGTTATAACCAGTTTTACCTCAGTTTAGTATTTAAAAAATTATATTTATGTACATATCTAGCCATATTGTCGTAGCACGGGCACTAAAAAGATCAGGAACCAGTTTAAAGCGCTTCACTAAAAGCCCCGTACATTAATATCGTTAAATAGAAAATAATATCTTTATGCTACACATCATCATACACTATTTTAATAAGCTAGAAAAGGACAATGTTTGTGTAGTAGATGTGTTTTTTAACATATACATACATAATATATTTGTTTTAGTACTCACTTTTAGATGTGTGTAAAGTGATTTGTAAAATACAGGGTCTGTGTATACTAGATTACCATATTCAGTGTTACCCATCACAAAGCACCCCGGGAGTCGATGACGATAAATGTTCACTGTGAAAAAGAAAACAAGTACTAGATAAATACCAGCTAAATCTACATTCCATTGTGGGTGTCACCCGTAGGAAGTCGCTTTTATATTAAAATGCAAAATGTTACAAATTTGGGTTCAATCCATCGACACATTTTAGAGTTGAATTGTATAGCAATGTATTATTATGGCAGCTTTGAACTGTTATAAATTTGATTAGAAAACTCTACATATAATAAAAAATATATACACGTAAATGTACGTAGTCGTAATACTTGTTTCTTACATTTGCGCGTTTTTTTTTCAACAAAAAACAAGTATGTACATCAGGATTCGGAGTGATAATTATCATTGTAATTATCTTGATAATTATAAAACACTACACAAACTCTTTTTGTACTTTAAAACGTATTGTTTAAATTGAATCATCTTTAAACAACTATCAAATATAGGTTTTCTGATAGAGAACATCGTCTAGGATGGACTCATTTTTTCACTTTTTGTAAATGTGATTTCACAGTTTTTTTGTTCATTTTGTTTGTATAATTTTCTATCATTTAGAGCAACAAACATAAAAGTTCTTTTGGATAACTTTTTGTATTTTAAAAGTCAGTATGGATGATTATTAGATAATTTTCATGATAATTATTTATTAAATAATTATCTCAATAATTAAGAACCCTGATGTACCTACATTAAGAACACATAACATGATATAAAGAGGACGAAAAACAATTAGCAACTACATGTTCACACAAAAGAGATAAATCAGGACTCTGCTTCAACTGGTTCGATACCTCCGTACACATTGAAAAGGCTACACCACAGATGCGCTTCATGATTTTTAGTACTCTTAGATATACAGGATACCATTTTGTGGGGCCTGATATTCTAAAATACAAGCAATTTATTGCTTAATTTAGATGTCAGTCAGAAGACTTGACTGACATCTAAACGAGTTTGTAGGAACAAACTACGTTTTATGATTATGCTAAGCAAATTGTTTATGAGTTTATGGAGAAAATAAATTATTATCTCTTTATTTTGGTGTAAATTTTATCGCTCGCTTTTGTATATAGCTTTTATAATGACAGATAAGGGTAGAGTCCTGATAAATATAAATTACGAAAAATCTTTTAACTCAGATTCATGTTGTCTTGATTTTAGATACAATGTGTAAATTCATGGAGAGGCAATTTATGTCAATTTAAGTGTCAATATACTCTATCACGCTATTGTCGTCTGTTGTAGCGAAAGTAAAGTAGGTACAAATAATTTCTTCTACAACTATATCCAAACTAAGGCTGAAGTATACTCTCCCGCATAGAAAGTGCGATGTATCTATGTCATCAATGCGCCTCTACGCAACACCGGATGTTTAAAATGCACTAGCACTAAAGGCTGGTTTACAAGTATTAAGTTAATATGTAGTTCACTTAATTATAAGTGACAATGAGATAGTATTTAAAAAAAACCTTAGTTCTCAAAATCAAACCAGATGTCGTTACGGTACTTTCTTGATTTCTCCATTACAACCCTTCCGGTTTTCCTTCATTTATAGAAGTTTTCAAAACTCAATAAACAACTCATATTCTATTTGACTTTTTCGTATTTGTAATGTCTAAGTTTGGAACTTTGCAAATTTCAGTTTTTAATATGTTAGTAAATAGGAACGGAAATAACTATCTTTGGTCCATTCGTTTCCTGCAAAAATCAACTTTTGCTAAAGTCGCCATCTAGTGGAAGTGCTTTCTTTTTTTAAATACACCCTCATTACGTGTACACTCAAATAAATAATAGGTAGCAAGTTAACATTTAACTCTAATAAAGTTCATAAGAAGTTAACTAAATTTTAACTTGCAACTTATTACTAATATGTGTTTACGCGTACATTTAGAATAAAGTTCAAAATTTACTTATCTACATAATCACTAGTAAACGTACCACTATGCGGTCGGCATGGCGGCGGCAGCGGCGGCGGTGTTAGTGGGCGCGGTGTCCCTGATGGCGGCGAGTGCGCGGCGCGCGTGCTGGAAGGTGGGTCGCTGCGCGGGGTCCGCATGCCACGCGGCCCGCATCAGCTCGTACGGGCCCGCCGGACAACCCTCCGGCGCCTCCATGCGGTACCCGCGCTCCACGTGACGGACCACCTCCGCCAGCGGCTACAGTGATAATACAAATGGACTTACAATCAAATTTACTTTTTTATGTTTCACATGGCAAAAAAGTCCCTATTTATCGACTGTTATCAACTGATCATTAAAAAAAAACGAAAGTCAGAAACGAAAACCTTTAAGTGACGTTTCAGTAACTTGCTTAACTTTAAATACTCAAGAAAACGGATGTTAATGTGCCGTATGCTTTATCATCCTAACGCGAAACTATATTTTTCGCACGATATTTGGTACATCATACATATCATCATCATACATATTTGGTTAAGGAGGATGGGCCATGACCCTCCACGCTGGCCCAATGCGGATTGGAGGATATTAACGACTGCAAATGCAGCCGGGACCAACGGCTTAACGTGCCTTCCGAAGCACGGAGTAGCTCGAGATAATAAATTTTGGTCACCCATCTCGACCCTTGCGAAAGTTGCTTAACGACTACGATCACGGGCCGCGGCGTTAATCCAATACGCCACCGAGCTACTCTACTAGCTATATTTGGTACACGCAAACTTAATGAGGAAGAATAAAAAAAAATTGTTCCTGAAATCAAACTAGATGTCGCTACGGTACTTTCTTGATTTTTCCATGACAACCCTTGCGGGTTTTTTTCATGTATAACGAGCGCTTGTGCACTACACTGAATTTTCCGGTCCGATATGTCAGGCCATATGTAGGTATTTCAGACCTGATTTTTCATTGCTGCCATCTCGAACAGGAATAATACTCTATTTCAGACAGTATTATTCCTGTTCGAGATGGCAGCAATGAAAAATGTGTTTAAGCATGTGCACTGCTGTGTCCGCGATTCGAAAAATTCATGAGCCTGCGGAGTAGGCTTGCGAAAAAATGATAAATTATGAAATATATTTGAAATGGTAACTTATATGTAAACAGTTCAAATAACACCCGCGTGACGTCATTTGAAGATAAAAAGAATAGATAGCACAAAATGCAAGATACAAAATTAATTATTGAAATTTAATGAATAATTCCCAAAATATTGTTATAATAATTTAAAAACTTTTGGTTTGTTAATTTAGTGCAAAGAATTTCGGAAAAGGTCAATTTATATGTTAATATAGATATATGATAAAGAAAAAAATATGAAAAAAATACATTTATTTTGTAATAACGCAATAACAAAAGAGAAGGACAATTTTTTAAAACATTGCCAAAAGCATTTATGTAATGAGATATATTTATTATCAATGAAATCAGTTTTATATGTTGTGGAAATCATAATAGCAATTGCTTTTTTAGCCAACCATAACGATTAATAACAAAACTTAACATTATCAATCGGAAAAAATCAAAAATTGTACAATCTCAACACAATCCAACTCAATAAGTATACCAAGTGTCTATTTGTCAACGGTACTAGTTTTTGTACATGAATCGTCACTAAAATGGTGGCCAGACGCATTAATAATTTGCGGAGATTATATCTTTTATTAAATAGAAAGTATATTTTTTTTTTTTTGCAAAATAATTTGTTATTTATTACAAGAACCGAAAAGTGGGTGGCCGTAATGGAGCATCGTGTGACGTCACATTTCAATAAATGAAACGTCACCGTCTTGCAAGTGCAAGCAATATTCATTGAAATGTGAAGTTCCAGCTCGAAATGTCACATGACTGATTTTAATAATTTAAATCAATGAATATAAACATGTTTTTCCTTTATTTAATAACTATTTTTGGAGGAATATAAATCTGATAGTGGTATAATATGAATAATTAAGTAACCAATTGGCAACCACTATTAATGAAATAATAATTGATCTTTAGTCTATTTTTTATGGCAAATGCTAATTATTCCATTATTAAGCTACGATACGATACCACGGCGAAACTCTTCATATCAGAATACTGAGTTAAATGTAACTTCTTAACATTACTTATAACATTTGAAAATGATGATGAAGATACCTTTTAACATAGTTAAAGACAAGAAAACATACTCTGTGGACAAAGCCAGGACAAAGTGGACTTTTTTAGCATTTTTCATTAAGAATATGTAATACTTAAATTGTGTTTGCCATTGGTAAAATTTATATTTAACCTTTCCTTTAGCAGTTATCTTTTAAAAAAATCTATCCAGTTTAGAAATTCTGACAGCATTTGATGACACATTTAAGGATATTGATGCTGCATTCTAGATTGTCTTATAAATCTAACATATGCATCCAACTTTAGCGTAATATCAATATTGAGTTTTTGTAATGTTCAAAATATCCATAATGTACTCACGATTCTCGGATATGGCACTCTTCCGAATGAATAAATTTCCCATAGAAGTATTCCGAAGCTCCACATGTCAGACTTATTCGAAAATTTCTGTAACAAAGGCATGATTTATTAGTTACTCGTCACATCGTGAATATTTCTTAAGGACCTATACCGCCAGGAATATAGACTCTCTCGCGTTTTACATTCACAATGGTATTAAACAATTTTCTTAAATATATAATAAGTAACTAAATAAATTACAGTGCGTGACAAAATGGACAAGTTTACTAACGGTTGACACTTTAGTATGTGGAAGTATTAAGGTGAGCTGTCTTAAGATGTTCCAGCACTAGAGCTCTGCATAGGGTTGGGTATTGAGTCATGTGTTGCAGTCCCATCTCAGTGTGCCAGGGATTTTTTTAGCATTTTCCATTAAGAATATTTTTCAGTATCATGAATGCAAAATTGATCAAATGCAATAAAAAGTTATACCATCTTTGGAATCATCTGGATTTTTTCCACACCATTGGACACTACAACTGGTTAACCCAATAACTACTTTATAAAGAAGCTATACCTATATTCACACGTCAAACACTAGGTCATAACTGAGGATTTGCAGATGTGTATTACTACTTTTTAAAATGATCTAAGCAGGATCATAGATGCTTGGCTACAGCTTGCTGTCTTTGATGCGACATCTATTAAAGGTATCTATGTGTCTGACACACAGGTCGTTCTAGTTCAGACATAAAATAGAAATGTTTACATACAGACCTAATTAAATGTTGATGTATGCAAATAATATTATTAAAGAAACTATGTAAACTTTTTTAATATAAGCTATATTAAAGCTAACATTGCCTTTAAACAGACTGTAATTCTAACCAAATTAAGAACAATGTTATGTATGAATACATTATTATTTATTCTTATTGACAAACATCTCGGGGTATTTATCTGTATAGCATTGTGAACTTAAAATTGATAAAATATTATAAAATGTGCGACTCACGTTGTACTTGAGCGCCTCCGGGGCGGTCCACTTGATCGGCAACTTGGCCTGCAGCCGCAACTGGTCGGCGGGGTCGTCGTGGCCGTGGTCGTGCCGCGCGAGCCCGAAGTCCGCCACCTTGGCGGTGCCCTCGTGCGAGATCAGCACGTTGCGCGCGGCCAGGTCGCGGTGCACCACGCGCATCCGCTCCAAGTACTCCATGCCGCAACACGCGTCACTACACAACCACGTCAGCATCGATCAATAGGTAATCATCATTATCGTTTTATAATAAGGTGTATGTAAATATTTTTCAACATATAATTCGTTTTCGTCTTGAAAATGATTATTAAAAAGTGCAAAAAATACGGTAACTTTAAATATACAAACGCCATGCTGCTTTTAAGAGCGGATGTGACGAAAATCTACACGTATAGGGATGTCAAAAGGTTAAATACTCTTTCCTTATTGTTCGACTTCGATCTTTTCACTCTTATTACGTGTCAGAAAATTATTGTAATTGTGATCGAAGCTAAATACTAAAGGAGCAGTAACAACCCTTTGAAATTAATACTATTCCCCAAATAATTTAAATATCGATATTATCGACAAATTATCTTTCGACATCGCTACTTAGTATTTTTTAATTCGTATTGTTAGGTTGGTGGAAACTTCCCTGAACTCTGACGTCGAATGATTTATTGGTTCTATGGGAGTCCAGTATCTTAAAACGTAATGTTTAAATACTCTTTGATCTCTTGTATCTTGTGTTTTACACTTTTTTTAATTATATCTTTATATCTTATTAAAATATTTTTCTTCAATCACAGCAACTGTTTCAAATAACGTATGTAAAAATCACACTTTTGGTATAATTTTTAGCTAGCTATAAATTTGAAAGCTGCTAGTAAAAAAGTGATTTTTCAAAACCAGTACACTTAATTAAATCAATAACATTGCAAAATTTTTGTGTTTACCAGTTTTCTTGGTATATTTTTTCTTGTTTTCTTAATTTTGCGGGTCTACGGTGCGGCCTGAGCGGATAGTGGACGTCGTGCTATACGAATTCATATAAATATATGGAAAATTCGTTGCGTGTCGTGCTGCCGGTGCGTGCGTGCTGATAAAATGGATGTTCACCATAAAGTGCATTAGAAATCTCGAAATCGTGTCTTGAACCGATTTTGAAGTAACCCTTTAACGTAGGCGCTCTGGAAGAGTATATATATATATATATATATATATATAATATATATATATATATACTAGCTGACCCGACAGACTTCGTCCTGTCAAAAAGATTTGTAATGTGGCAGTTTTTTTGCCTACGTATTTAAAAAAAATCTCCTGAACAGAACCGTCACCCTGGTGATAGGGCGTTGTGAATAAAAAATAATTAAATAAAACATATATAAGGATTTAAAAGTAAGTAATCGCTTTATTGTTAATCATGTGAATCATAATTATTATTATTATCATTGTAGTGCTTTGTGGTATACGATGTTTTTTGTTTGATTACCTGGCGCATAGATAAACAAATCTGGGGCTCTATTTTTGAATCATTCGTCTCGCGTCGAGCGCTCGTTTTCTTCTATCACTCGCATACAACGTTCGCTAAGCGACGAGTGGTTCATACCACTCGTTGCAGTCGAGCGATTTAGAAATGGCGAATTTGTTAAGTCGAACGAAAATCAGTAGAAAACGAGCGCTCGACGCGAGACGAATGATTCAAAAATTGAGCCCCTGATGGTTTTCCAACACGGGAACAGGCAACATACATGCTCCAACGCACACACGCACATTGTTTTGATAGATATGATCTTTAACGTTAGGAACACACCTACATTGCTTAGACAACAGTGAGTGCTTGTAATTTAATATGAACTTTATACCATAGCAATAAAGCTCAAATTGACTACGTTTTAGTTACAAATCATTTATATGGGAAAAAGAAAAGGGCTATTTTTAGGGTTTTTCCAGCAATAATTCTAATTTTTCTCGCCGTAAAAACCATCCTTGAACTTCAACGAACATTTTAAAAAAAGATTTGGCCAAAGGGCTATTTTTAGGGTTTTTCCAGCAATAATTCTAATTTTTCTCGCCGTAAAAACCATCCTTGAACTTCAACGAACATTTTAAAAAAAGATTTGGCCAAATTGGTCGAGGCGTTGTTGAGTTATGCGCTTACCAACACATTTTGCGATTCATTTTTATATATATAGATATATATATGTGATCAGAGTCGGTACTCACTATGCGAAGTTGATCTGGTCTAGTTGCGTGACGTAATGTCTGCCGCGGCTCCGCAGGTAGTCTAACAACGATCCTTGCGCGCAGTGTTCCGTCACTATACACGTGCTGCCGTTACTGCTGAACACCAGACCCAGTAAACGGACCAGGTTCTCGTGCTTCAACGACCTGATACACAAGTTTCATTATCTAATAGGGTATTTGGATTATGTACACAACGTAAATGGCTCGTAATAAAAAAAACCAGCCAAGTGCGAATCGGACTCGAGGGGCAAGGGTTCCGTACCATTGTCCATAAAAGACCCAAAAAAAGTTGTCGTAAGGGAACCCCTAAATATTTATCGCATTCTGTTTTAGTATAGTCGTTTGACAACAGAAATACATCATTTGTGAAAATTTCAACTGTCTCACGGTCCATGAGATACAACCTTGTGGCAGACAGACGGATAGCGAAATATTAATAAAGTTCCATTTATCCTTTGGGTAAGAAACCCTAAAACACAAGGGTATTTTTTGACATTAGGTTAAAAACGTAATGAAGTTGGAATGGGGAAGCTTTAGTACATTCAGACATTACAAATTCTGACACTCAATTGTCAGATCTTGAAATATCAAGATCTAATAGACAAATGATCTAATCAAAATTTTTTGGGAAAATATTTTGAAACACAAAAATCCAATAAACATCACCATTGCATCGGATAACGGGTAATATTAACAAAATATTAAATAGACATTTAAAGTAGCGCATACAATAACGATTGACATTGAATTACTCACGCCATAACGCTGGCTTCTGCTCGAAACTTGCTAGCGGCCTCTCGATCCTTCAATATTTTGACGGCAACTTTTTGCGTGCCATTTAGTATTCCTAGCATTACGTCACCGAATTCTCCTTTGCCGATATTTTCTCGGATTTCAAGGTCCCGCTCGTCTATTCGCCAACCTGTACAAATGAAAATAAGAAAATATTTCAAGTTACATATCTATAAAGGGTTACTTTCAAAACACCAGCAACTTTTCAAGATTAGATTTCTAAAATCAAAGACATAGAGATACACAATTAATGTCAAACTTATTCCGTATTTCACTACTTGGCGTACAATATTATTATTTAAATTATAATAAATAAAAAAATGTCAATTACAACAAATCATTATTATTATAAAAAAAAATATTATGGTCATATGTCAATCGAAATATATTAAATGATTAAAAAATACAATAAAATTTATCATTCAAATTTGACGTTTAAGTATCGTTAACACTAAGCCTTGTCCAATAACATCATCAGCCCATATTCGTCCACTGCTGGACATAGGCCTCCCTAATTGCACGCCATCTACTTCTATTTTCGGCTGTTCGCTTCTATTGTAAATTCGAGGTGCCATACATAGTACACTATTATTCATAAGCAATGTCCTGTTACGTGGAATACAAAGTTTGCTTTTTAGTCTTTTCCTCTTAAAATTTAATATAAGTAGTAATTAGTCCTCACAAATATGGCTATTTCATATATATACATAGAAGGTAAAGTCATCATTAACAATAAACGTAAAAATATTATTCCATTTTTTTGTACTGTTAAGACATTTATTTTTTATATAAAAGAAAAACAAAGCTACAGTCTTACGCTGTGTTAAGTACCTACCTATATATTGGTATTACGCGATAAGTTATTAACGTTCGAGGAGTAAATAAAATTATATTTTATTTTTATATGAAAGTAAAATGTAAACGGATTATCAAAATTCGTAGAAAAAAATTGTTTATGATATCTATCTAATCTGTAAAAATGAGTTACCGAATACCAAAACCACGCGATGAGCACGGTTGCCCAGAGCTTTGTGAACAATTTATTTCGATCGTTCTCAGAATTTGCCAGAGTAACAGGAAAAATCCGCTGCGGAATGTCAATAGTTAATAATCAAGACTAGAAGACTTAAACTAGGCTAAAAGTTCATACTCAACCTAACCTAGACTAGAAGATGGTGTGGCTAAATTAAAAATGAAAGGTATGAGACTCACGCGCATCAACAAATTTCTGCGGTTGTATCGCGCTGTCCGTCTGATCTGTGTTGGGCGGTTGTGATGGGGTGGCGGTAGCGGAGGCGGTGGCGGTAGCGGAATGCGCGTGCGGATACTGCCCACTGTTGTGCGAGCTCGACACGCTAGGGGTGGCCGGGTATGGCGGCGGCTAGTATATAAACATATTTATATTTGAGAAGTGAAAAGAAGAAACATGTGGCGTCAGCCTCGTTTAGGAATATATGATCTGCTGGAGCCAGGTTCAAGGGTGTCGTTGTTTCAGAGGTCCCGGGTTCAATTCCCGGTCAGGTCAATATAGAAAATGACCTTATCTATAATTGTGTCTTATCTATAATGGGTCTGATCTATATTTATGTCTTATACATCTATCTTATCTATAATTCGTCTGGGTGTTGTGGTATCTTCATTATTTCAGATATTTGTAACACAAGAGATTGAACTACTTAATTTGGGATCTGAGTAATGTATATGATCTTATCTTATAAAAGATTTGTCTTATGACATTAATTATGCATTTTATACTAACCTGCGGATGAGGTGGGTAAGGAGATTGCATTGGCCCGTTGTTGTTAGCACCGTTTGATGCAGCTTTGGGTAGACATCGTACTAATTTCGTACATAGCCCATCTGCATCTTGTAAATAATGCTGAAAAAATATATATTTTAAACAGAGAAAATGAACTTTCCTATTTCGTCTCGAATGTGGTGTGTTGTGTTACTTTCGTTGTTTGTTTCTTTCGTTGTCGAGTGCTTTACGCTACTGAATTCAATATCTGAGTATAGATGCGTTCATAGTTAAATGTACGAAATAAGAATTACGATTATTAAGAATAAGTATTATGGTGACGGAACTGTGGCTACACAGATGTGTCTTTTACTCTTACGGACAAATATTAGAACATAAAGATAGTACAAATATCTATTGCTCGTTCGACTATTAATAACAAACGTCCAATTCTTCCATATCATTTTAAAATTATTAAAACTTACATGTATTAAATCGGTCATGTGGTCGAAGAATTCCTCATCATCTATGGTAAGGCGTTGTGTATTACTATCAGGTGCCGTGGCCCATTTCACCCTAAAAATGAGATAATCGAATGCTTATGAGGTGGAACTCATGGTTTCGCTGCAGTTTCGCTGGAGCGAAAATGCATTTCATATAAATGAGTAAATGTTGCAAAGAACTTAGTGCCTAGAATGTTTAGTGCCTCGCTGTCGTACCAGTTCACTATTTTTTCAAGATAGAGTTTCATTAAAAACTTTCTATTAATCAATAGTAGCCATTCATATGTAGATTTATTATTTGTTGTTGGACAAAATCTCAAGCATCACATATACGAAATGTAAGCTAATGAAGTTTAGCCGTAACAGTACCACACAATCTTGATGTCTTAAACAATTGATGACAATATAGTTGAATTGTTACACTACGCTATGTAGTTATATAAATGAGCAGCACATATAATAGTTAAGTGACAGTAACTCACCGATAATGTTCGACGCGTCCTCGAAATCTGACGCAGAGCGTATGATCGCCGGGGAAATTGGTGCTCTCTCGCACTAGAAACACGCCGTCCGGAGAACCAGACAGTAGGGCCTCCGCACGTTCGCGGGATATCGCGCCGTGATGCCATCTATAAATTTCAAGTTTTCCATTTTCAAGTTTTTTGATACAGTAAAACGAACGAATACGACTTATAACTGCAACTTTCTGTCGCCAGATCGCAGCACTAGCACATATAGGTAAACACACTAATGCTTTGTTTGGATGAACACGCTAATCTTAGGACCTACTGGTTACAATAGATTTTTTGTGTTATTAAATAGTTCATTTATTGAGGCAGGCTATATATATGTAGGCTATGTAACATCACGCTATGACTAATAGGAGTGGAGCAGCAATGAAAAATGTTACATAAACGGGGAAACCACGCGGCCGATGCCGCTGGCGGAAAGCTAGTTTTTTATAAACGTAGTGAGCAAAAGTAATAGCGTTCATAGTAATAATATAATAATATTTAAATTTATAATTAGTGTAATTTATCTAATAATGCATCATCGCTACAAATTTGCACGTAAGAAGAACGGGAATCATACTTTCTAAAAGATGATGATTTTGTAGTTTGTTTACTACATGTGCTAATGCTGCCATCAACGCCCAACTTTACTTTTGTTTCTCAAAAGAAAATTCTGTTTCATTTTTTTTATTAAAATCTATGGTATGGGATTGCCATTAAAAAGTTTACGAATGATATAATGATTTTTGGAATCATGTAACGTTTAAAGTAGGAATCGCTTTTAAAACAAATATAATTTCAATAATAAACAGACAATCAAACTTGGTAACTTAAAGTAATATTTATCTCTAACCAGCCAATGTCAATTAACATTAAATTAGCGATATCGTTAATTCATAATCTTTAAAAAAAAACGTTATGATTACAATCGCATGTCAAATAGTTTGTAGTGTGAAGTTCGTGAATATCTTCCAAAAATAAATTGAAAGGGATTGCGATCGATCTTAAAATTCTTAATGGAACGAGAAATGATATAGCATATTAATAAAACCAATAACCGCATCTATTTAATCTTAAAGATATTTCACATAACTACGTGACGCTGCTTAACATTTATTAACACAATAGGCATAATCGAATACACAACACTTAATCGTTTAAGTAAACAAGAGGCTGATATTTACTCGAAGTCATCGTACGCCACAATCGGTAGTATAAACAGCTTAACTTTACTTGGCTTATTAAAACACTCACTAATATCACTCTCCATACTTACAAGATCACAATACGAATGTCTAAAATACTACTATCTAAAATGATAACATATTGTCTTATCTTATTGATGAAATAAATATAAGCGATAAGATTATTTATAATGTACTTATATAGCAATAGGTCAAATCAAACGACATACCAATAAAATTAAAAAATTATTTCCGTAAAGCAACAATATAAGATATTCTGTAATATTTCTTATTGTTTTTAATTTACTATTCGTATTATTTTTTCGATGATTGTTGGGTCATATCATTATAATTTTATTCAGTATTAATTATTTTGTATTTATTTCATCATTAGCTCATTAACGCCCACGCTGCTGTGGTTATAGACCTTCCATGAACATAATCAAATGGTGAGGATGGGTTATAATAAGATATCACGCATGTCTAGTGAATATTAGTGAGTATTGACAACTACAGTTTCAACCAGTGCCAACTGCCAACACAGTACCAACAGTTCGACGTGCGTTCTGAAGCAAATATCGGTTGTGGAAAACACACTTAAGAAATTAACTTAATTGAATCAGTAAACTATAAAATGCATCGTGATTAAATTTTAGAAGATTGCTCGATTATGACTCCCTTCGGGCCGTGTCTGAGTACAGATAGGTTTTTTTGTCATAATATTTTATTGTTTCAACTTACGGCCACTGGGACATGTTGACAAGCCTGTTGCCAGCGGGTGGTGGATTTTGAACCGAGGAATTCACGAGAACGTCGCTACTTCCTTTAGATATTACCACTGAAAGTAAATAAATATATAATTATTATTAATTTACAAAATAATCACTTATTATTAAAATATCCATTACTGTTATGTGACCCTGTTTTAAATACAATATTTAATTTGTTTCTAGCTTGGTACGTTATAAGGATCATATTAAAAATAAGCTCAGAGTGTAATGAAGATCGTGTCTAACTATTTAAAATCTCAGCAAAGTTCAATTCAGACCGCGCACGACAGGTTCCGTACAACCTATGAAAAAGGCAGAACGCAAAAATCGCTTTTGTTTATTCTGTTTTTTTCGTATTTTTTGTCATCGGAATACATCGTCTGTGAAAAATTCAACTATCTATACAAGATACAGTCTTGTAAATAACGGATAGACGGACGGACAGTGGAGCCTTTGTAATATACGGAACCCCTAAAAACTATATGATACATCTTACTTCGTATTTACTACACAAAATACAACTAGAGAAAATAAACATAAATTCGTAAGTACAATATTAATTTCTATATTGCCATAATAAGTTTCATAGAAAATCTTATACAACAGGGATGGTTTACTTTTGTAATTCTATACTTCGATTTGTATTAGCATGTCTGCAGTATTTTGTCTTAAGAGCTCATGACAAAAAATTACAGGAGTTTTCGAAAGCTTTATATTTCAGTATGTTACTACAATTACAAAACACCTTTAATAGGTGTTACCATTTTTCGTACTTTACATTGTCCCGCCGCCCACCACACTGGGTTATTAAACTTTAACATACTGAAAAATCCAGCTTTCGAAAACTCTTGCACATTTTTGTCATAGCTTTCCGTCTATATATCGTATCCCTTGTAGTATCCCTTATAATACTATATATAATCCCTTGAATTTAGCCGTTTTGTATATCTATCTATATTCTAAGTAAGGGACGTTAAAACCAACAACGTACCAGGCGAGGTTTGTGAAGTATGCATGGCTGAAGAATTAGGGCCAACCGGTGCGGGCGCCCGCACCGAAGATGACATCACGTTCTGTAATATTATAATATTTTATTTATAATCTCGAAGTTCATTAGTGTAACCACACAGTAAGACCTAAACCACCGCATTCTGAATGGTTAATTTACAATATATTTATCTTGCACATAATTTAATATCTACTGAACATAAAATAAACATAAATACAATCAAGGTTCAATGTTAAATCCTTTTCATCTGAATATTTTTGGTTTTGGCAAAATATAATGCATAGCTGTTTTCTCGCGACTTCGACCACAGAAATTATTACAGCCTGGATGGCTTCCCGTAAATGAAAGAATTTTCATGATCGGATCAATCGGATCGGATACAAAGTCAAAAACTTCACCCCTTTATAAATATTAGTATAGATTTGTTAATTACAATGCAACCAAGATATAAAAGTTCATATTAAAAAAAAAAACAAGATTAAAAACTTGCGTTAGATATGTAAATGCATGCATATTCCGCACTTACATTATGTGGTACGGAATTCTGCAATGCGGTGGGCGAGAGAGGTGCGAGTGGCCCATTACTGCCGCTTACTCCACCTCCGGACTGGAACAATGTTTGAAATTGCACTAAAAATAACCTCGCCTATTTCAGTGCAAATATACAATCGGGGCGTAGGTAATACCGCCATGTATCGCGACTGCCTGCTCGCTTAGTGAAATGCCTATTCTGCCAATCTACGACCCAGCCAACTTTCTATCCATGTGAAATTTTTCATCATCATACAATGCTCAATGACATACGTGTGAACAGTATCATCGCATGAGATGACAATATGGAACTTAATAGTTTAATAATTAGGTTCCTGATAATACCGAACAGAGCTAAAAAGATTGTCTTCAACAATAAATTAATCTTTACTTTTTTTGTAAAAAGGCACACAATGATGTTGTTGTTAATTGTGGTTAAAGAACTAAATTGTCACATTGAATTCTCTATCTAAATAAACAGTTTTAATAATTTGCCAAAATAATAGGAAAAGTGAGTTTAAAATGATAATTATCTTGCAATTCATGAAATAGACAACAATTGCGAAGAAATTCCTTTACAGCCACTGTCGACTTTTGCCCACCGAGATTTTGATCAAGCTTTTAATCAGTGTAAAAGTAGCTTGAAATTGACTCGTAAGATTCGCTTCTATACTGGGTAAGAGTGCGATTAAACGTGCCATTTTGTTACAATTCAAATCCAAATCAAACATTCCCATACTATTTCGGGCAAAACTGAACTAATACCTCTGACCCATATAGTCAAATTACTTTAAAACCCCATTCATACAAAAACTAAACAATTTAAGCACTGCAGTTAAGTGAACAAGCTTAACATTATTTTTCATAAGAATTTAACAAATCAAATAGGACAGATTACATAAAAATACATATAGGAGAAGTTCCTACTAAAACATTAAAAATTCTAACGTCAAATTAGTAAATGTAACACAGCTTTAAACTACAGTATCTTGATAGACTCATAGATGAACTTTTGTTCACAAATACGAGATCTATTTATTTAGATCCCTGAGAAACCGATTTTGATCCCAAAGGAATTGATATAGAACACTTTGGAAGCTCAGAGATTAAACTATCATCAAATTAATAGTGAGTTATCTGCATGAGCTCTTAAAATTATTAATTCATTAGATTCGATCTTCGTTCTAGTTTCAATAACCATCGAACGAACGGCTCAAGACTTATTATCGTCACATATACGAATTACGTTTACGAACAAAATCTGAACGCCAAATAAATTTCGTAAAATATACGGTTTTTTTTTATTATTAACAACTACAATTCTATAAAAGGTCGTCTATCTTTCATTGGCGAAATCTAAATGAATACTTTTATAATCCGGGGAGTAGCGTTAACACGAATAATATCGAGAACCTCTCTTGTTGTCGATTTTAACAGGGCAAAGTTGTTTAAAAGACGTTAAGAATAACTGCACGCTGCATTCAAATAACGTTTCATGATCTTTAAAAAAATGCGTGTCCATTAATTATGTGAACTAGGTCATCCGATGAATTAAGCGATCACGCTATGCATTGAAAATAAGCTTAGTCGTGTATAAACCGTGACTTTATTTCTAATTGAAAAGTGGCTATGAAAATGCTTCTGTCGCATTTTATTTGTTAATTTGAGCAAAATTGTGTTATTGGTTGCAACGCATACCTATGTATTGTTATTTTGTTACAATTTAAATTCAAATTTTTATTCATGAATGATTGAAACCCGATTAATAGTTCGTTTCACAATAATAACATTGTTCTCGCATGTGAACTGTGAGTTATTTTACAAGAAATTCTCCATGATGGTCTACCAATATTCCACATTAACTCGATTCGTGATTTTCATGCGCGAAGGCCAAGAAACAAGCGTAAAAAATGCTATCACGTATTGCTTGCCGCTGTCGCGTCCCGTTACCTTAAGGTTATCGTCGCAAGAATATGAAATCAATTATTTACATGGTAAAGTAACTCATTATAATACTTAGAGTGTACATATATATACGTATGTAGTTCCAACAGAATGAAGGATAAATTATAATCTGTAAATATCGATATCTTTATCTGGAGAAACCTCAAGGTGTTTGTTGGCGATAGCGAGGTATGGGGAGAGACGCAAATATACTCCATGATTTACTAGAAGGATACAATTATGAAAAGTTTGACTTTAAATAGTAATTATTATGCAGCTTACACAAAACTCTATGTTCAACCCGTTGTATACGTACTTTATCATCATTCATCATCAGCCCTTATACGTCTCCGCTCAGGCCTTCCATCCAGCCGGGACCAACGTCTTAACATGCCTTCCCAACCACCCACCCACCTACCACCATTCGTACACAATTTAGCATATTGTGTGTAAGATTTACACGAAGCCAGTATCCGAGTCAAGCTTGAGGGTTATCTCCATATATACGAGGCCTGGCTTACTTGACTGTGTACTGGCCTCGTGTAGATTATCCAAAAAAATATAGTCTTTCCGTGAATATTGTTACATAGAAAATCAACTTTTTTTTTATTGAACGTAGCATTTATTAATATTACAGTGTGTTAGTTAAATATATTAATATGAACCCATCAAAATATATATATATATAGCTTAATCGAAGTGGTCTCTATTAGCTGCAGGACAGTCCTATAAACGTTGAGGCCAGTTATCACGCACACACTCTTTCCATGGGAAAATTCTTAACTGCCAATCGTATGGTTTGTTTGAGGGACTCTAAATTACATAGCGTTTAGAGCAAGCCTTGGTCTTTAAAACTGACCATAAATCATAATCCAGCAGATTAAGATCTGGACTAGATGAGTCTAGAGCTCCGACGAAGTCCGGAAAGTTTTTTTCTAACCAATATTGGGTGGATCGAGTCTTGCTGAAGGGACCATTCTTGGTTATTGAACATGGTTTTGTTAAGGGGTTTAACTGCCTTCTCGAGAATGATATCTTGATATACTTGTGCCGATGTTTTGATTCCATTTTCACTTTAGCTAATACACCACCCCACCTTTACCAAAGTCGGATAATGCCCACTTTGTACTCTTTTGACTAATCGTGAAACTTCTTTAGAGCATTCAGCATAAATACGTTCATTTTGTTTGTTAATATATTGCTCAATTGTAAAAAAAATCTCATCCGTAAACAACATTTTCTGTGACCGTCCCTTTCCGTACTGCTTAAGTAGTTGTTTTGATTTTACCACTCTATTATTTTTAAATTATCAGTTTAAAAGGGACCGGTGCGTCCTTATTACTTAGGGCTTCAAGCCCTAAGTAAAATAAAATCTTTTGCTTTCGGACAGGATTTCTTCAAATTTTTTCCCTTACCGCTTTGATCGCCTTTTGCGTACAAACACAACATGGACGGTCAGATCTTTTTCTGTCACAAACTGAGGTTTCTTCATTGTACCTATCAAGAAGCCTGGTACACTAACATTTGACTAATACCAAGCGTATAGCATAAGTGTAAGCGTAGAGGGTTTTCTAAATTGTTTAGCACCATACCTACCTTATGCAATGCAATCACTGCTATGCGGTTCTCTTTAACACTCCACTCCATTTTAATATCACAAAGTATTTATAATGATTTGGCGCGAAAATAAGAAAAGACAATGAACAATCATATAAAATTACGTTAAAAATTCAAAAGTAATATTTTGTTTACTTTTAATTCTAACAGTATTTATGGCCAGACTAAGTATATGATATCACCCACCGGCAGCTGGTGCGGCGGCTGGGAGCGCTTGAGGCGCACCGGCGCAGTTGGTGCTGGGGCAGCCGACGCTGAATACCACCCGCATGCGACACCTTGCGCGCCTGTGTGCACACCGTGCTGCAATAATATTTCAATTACACTTTACCGCCTCAACAATTGGTATAATTCTTTGTATTTGTAATGTCAATAACCTAAATAACATCTAATCATTTAATTCAATCCTCCTCTTCCCGTATAATTGTTGCAATAATACAACATTATTAACGATTTATTACTACAGAACAAAAGATCATTTTCCCATATAAAACAGTTAACGATCACACAAGAGTCAACCTTGGCGCCGTGCCAAGCAGACGAGACGGAAAACTGCAGGTATAGCTGTCGACAATTTATATAAACAAAGCACGAATTGAACCGTTTCAGACACAAAGTGGTGGATACTTAAAAACATGACAGTGTGTTTTATGAATATTAGCGACAATGTTACCTGTTAAATGGTAAGAAGTTAGACGTCTATGTATAAGGAATCTTTGGCAAAACCATATTATTTAATGATATATATAATGTTACCTGAGCAAGCGGTGGATGTGCTTGATGACGATGCACGTCTGAGTTCATGTCGAGCCGCTCCTACCCCTGAATACTCTTCATTATCTGTTACAAAACAAAAACAATCATTAAAACGTGGTAATAATACGAGGGCGCTGGCTACTCATCCTGGTTTGATCTGAGCCATGTATGTCTAATATTAATTTAAAATTCAACGATCAGAGCAATTTAGTTCATTAAACGTATTTTTTATAGCAGCAAATAAGCAAACTACAACTACTGGATACTGTGCTCGATTTCCATATCCAAGTGATTGATCTTAAGTATATATGATATAAGGTCAAAGATAAAACTCTTGTTTATCAAGTTTATTAAATTATTTGTATGCATTATCTACGAAACATAACGATTATCTGTTATTCGCTTAGAAAATTAAATGTTAATTATGCGAAATAAATAATTTATTCACTGAACTAAGACCATCTACACATGTATGTACAATGCTTTATCCTGAATGACTAACTGGTGGATCAACACACGGCCGTAAATACTGATACTACCAATCGTAGAAACTTAAAAATTGGAAGATGAGTTCTTTGTATCACTTAGATTTCCGATAAGAAAAGATTTTTCGAAATTCTACCCCTAAAACGGTGAAAAATGGGGGGCAAATTTTGTATGGGACAGCGTTCCTTGGTTCAATATACATCAAAATTTTGCATGAACATTCATTACCAGAATTGATGAAAGACTTCTTTCGTATTTTCTTGAAACACATCGCCTAACTAGCGAAGCAAGTGTATGTTATAAACAAAGAGTTTCATTTTTACATCGGAAATGCAGGTGGTGCTTCCCTAGAGACTATAATTTTTGTATACAAATTCGACACTTAAAACATATTATATAATTCCTCTTTCTTTGAAGTAAACAAATAATAACCCTCAAATTCTATTGTTTTAATAAACTGCGTAAGTACTGTACAATATAAAACCTACATACTGGAGTTTTTACTCCAATGACATCTTTGATCCGTGAAAAAAACTCGCCATACAAACAGCATAATAAACAAACCTCGTTGTTATCATGTTATCGGATGACGTAATAATACTTATAGACTGAAGGTGTGGAGGGGAGTGGCGTGGTATTGCTGATTCACCCGTCGTCCTACCGTGCCGATGATACGGAATTAACGAGTAGGCGGTCGACTGTGACGACTGTCGTGACCACCGCTACTGTTGTGTATCAAACGGCTTATGCAACAGTGCGTGCATGTATTGTTACAATAGCCAGTGTCATATCGGCATAAAATATTCTACATGAAACATGAATAAACCTCACTTAAATAAGTAATGTTTATGCTACAAAATTGGAGTAGGTACATATTATCGAACTAAATATAGGCCCTAGGAATCTGAGAATTCGATCTGGTGATCGTGACGGTAACTTAAGTTCTACCAGCCTACTTTCGGAATCCAAAACTTGTAATTTTGAGATTGTAGTTCAATCAAACACGCCATCCATTCCATTGAAAAAGTAATACTGTCCCTAACTAAACTAGCGCGTATTAAAAATTAATTTTACAATTCGTGAATTATAAATAAAGCAGTTTAATGTTTTAATATTACTAGCACATACATACTAAAACCTACAGCACAGATTGCAGGATGTATCACTTCCCAATTTTCCTTGTTCACTATAATACAAAACATACCTAGTAGGATTATATTTTATTTCACTTAAGTAACCAGTAAGCATTCGGGCTACAAAGTATCCAGACGATATTAACTTAAAAATCGTACATTATTCTTCGCGATCTACCTTAACCACAAGTGCATCTAAGCGAAAATTATTGCATAACAAACAACGCACTCGTTGCTATTAGCTGCAAGTTTTGTCACATATGAGCGCACATCGCCATTTACACGCAACTTTACCATATGAAGACAATCATGTTATTTATGTCACGTTTGTAACACGAACATACCACATTCATGGTCAATTAGGTAAGTAAACTAAAGACAGGGTTTCTCAAAGTGGAATACATAAGTTAATAGTAGATGTAAGTTTCAAAAATTACGTAACGGATTATCTAATTTTCATGTTTAACAATCACTTGGAAATATTTTATTTGTTGTAGTTTTTCGAAATGTAAGTTACGTAGAGCAATAAGTTTGAAAAACTCAGTTATAAGACGTATAATAAAATCTATATAGATGGAAAAACAACGCAATACAACTAAATTGCGCATTATAATACGTTCAGTTTGAACATGAAGAATAATAAAATAGGAATAAATTATAATGTGCACATCTGAGTACACGTGCTGAAGGTCATTCACACATTTTCATTAAAAAGCGCTTCTTCATTGGTTGTATTGTAATTAACACAGTTTATCAGTGAAATGACAAACTAACAATCAAGTTCCATAGCGATGTCTTATGAATTTCTTACGCCCTAATTTTGGTTTACGTATCAAATGATAGCAATAGATGGATTTACTAATAGATAATATTTAAAAAAACTAGTGTAGATAACATAGTCTAACAGTAAAATTAACTGTAAAATAAAAAATTACAATATTTAATTGAAATCTCTTTCCAAGATTGTTTTGGCAGATACATTAACAACAAAATACAATATTTTAACCAGGAAATAATTATAGTACAATAAACGGGTCCAATAATTTTTCGCAAACTTGACATCTTACTATAATTCTAGTTTACCACCTGCATAACATCCGTATCCATAATATCATATAGAGGGAAGATTTGATTGTTTGAATAGGCTCCGAAACTAACGATTAACTAAACTACCGATTTCAAAATTCTTTAGCCTGGGGGAAGCTACATTATATGGGTGACATAGGCTATAATTTACGCAGGCGAAGACGCGGAAACAGTATAACATATACGCGCTCAAACCCATTAAAAAGTTGTTTTATTAAATAATAATGTGCGCGAAATATACTAAACGAACTGAAAGACATTTCCATAACATAATTTTAAAAAAAATCTACATTTCACTTGATCAGTCCCGGATCTAGGAGAAGTGGGGGGGCAACTGCTCCGGGCGCCAGTGTCAAGGGGGCAGTTAAAAAAATATCTTCAAACAATAGGCTACGATGGGACGGACATGCTTCAAAATCCCCAATTGAATAAAAGAAAAAAAATCTAAACTGAAATGCGTGGGCGAAGTCTCCGCACCGGTTGCTAAAAATCGTAAGTCTGACTTCTGTATCTAAGTTTGGAATGTAATTATTTTGAGCGCTCACTGTGAACGCTACCGTTCATTTGATAGAAATGACAGACAGCGTATGCTTTGTGTTTGCAAAGTCTTTAAATTACACTACAAAATTATGTCTGTCGCCGAGTAAGGATAATGTGGATGACGCATAAAAACTTTGTAAAGTCAAGCACGCGTGACCAAAGGATTTCATGTCAAATGAAGGTTAAGATGAATATGCGATGTTTGTTATTAGATCATTCATTTGGAATTCACCACGATACTATTTGTGGTATACTAGCTACTTAATAAAGTAATTCAAATTTAAAATTGAGCTAGTATCAGCTCAGAGCGCAGAGTAGCTCGGTGGCGTAGTGGATAAGCGACGCGGCCCGCGATCGTAGTCGTTAATTAAGCAACTTTCGCAAGTGTCGGTCACGGGATGGGTGACCAAAAAATTATTATCTCGAGCTACTCCGTGCTTCGGAAGGCACGTTAAGCCATTGGTCCCGGCTGCATTTGCAGTCGTTAATACCCTCCAATCCGCATTGGGCCAGCGTGGAGGGTCATGGTCCATCCTCCTTAACCATCCATAAGGAAGGCTTGAGCCCCTGCAGTGGGGACGTAAAAGGGCTGGTAATGATGATGATGATGATGATAGTATCAGCTGCAGGAAGGGTGGTATTTAATCTATTATATTAAATTATATATCTTTTGATATATCTTTTCACTATAATATGTCACGATTTTATTTTTGATAAACATTCCATTTTTAATCGTGCCTGTGTAATAGGTATATCGGGAAAATCTGATTCTGTCATTTGTATTAAAAAATAACCTTTTACGAATCCTGAAACGAATACAGTTCCAATACAACTAAATAACGTAAGTAATAAGTTTCTTTACGCGTTTAAGGTGAAGTCTTGCGGGTTAATTTATTAACATTCGGCTTCTGGATTTATACCGGCATTACGCGAGCTCAACGGTTGTATTCTACAACGTTGCTGCAATCGACACAGTGAAATCACAAGTAATAAGAGCAATACGAGTCTACGGAGGATGCAGGCGCGTGCCAAGTTGAACGACCACTCGCCTGCGCACGCGCGCGTTCACTTTCATTGCATCCCGACGCAACCACAGCTTTAAAAGAGAAGCCTTTTGGATTCATCAATTTAGGTTGTGAAGGCAATACATAATAAACAAATGAATTCTATCCAGACGAAAGAATTATAGTCAAGTTGGAGATTTAAATTATGAAGTATCTGCAATAGTCAAAATTGTTATCGTTTATAAGGATAACAATTCTGTTGACATAAAACGGAACAAAAAGATATAAATTATTGATGATGTGCAATTTGGATTGATCTCAAAAACATAATTTCCAGATAATTGAGCGTTCAGAGTTATATTTTATACACACTCAATCAATTAAATAATCAATCACTACATAAAATAAAAAAACACATTTTCTATTACGAGCAGTTCAGAATTAAAAGCTTAAAAAGAGATTTTCGAGCATCAGATAGCGATTTCATTGAATCAGACAGATCTATAATACGATAAATAATACAATTTCTGCATTTATTATTGAGCTAATGACACGTACGAAATGTCGAAATAGAATAAATATTTAAGATGTATAGTTTCATTTTTCACATTAAGTGTGTAGGCACTGTTCTTTAATTATAATTACTGATAGTCTCCTACCAATTAAATAACAATAATCTTGTCGATTACTATTACACATTTATTAAAAAATTACACATTTTCAACAACTATGATATTTTAAAATGATAAAATTTATTTGAAAATTACTAAAGAATAGGAAATGTGTGCTGGTCGTTGACTTGCGGCCTTTAAATAAATGTAGGAAGTGATACGCA